AAATGACTTTTCTACGACTACGCGTCCTTTCAACAAACACTTCTATTTAAAAATCGAAACCTAACAAGAGAGGCCAAATGTGTACATATTAGGTTTATTGATCCATCAGTTTACTTCCATTTATTTAAATAGCATCCTAATAAGAAAAGCAGTCTCACTGAGTAACACGAGGTTGGCGCCAAAGATACAAATGCACTTTTCATTCTCTGGTCTTATTGTGTTAATATTTGGACAAACATACAAAGCGAAATCAGACGGAAGTTTAATCACATTGAATTAAATTACATTTAAATTTTTTTGCAATAAGGTACAGAGTTTGAATAACACAAGGTTAAAGAGCGCTCCGGAAGTATGTATACCAAGATGACGCACAACCTGAACCTTAATCTGGTACACATATTATGTTCAGGTTGTGTGCCTGGTACACATACTTCGGTAACTCCAGTTAAGGTTCTTCAAAGATACTTTTCAGTTGAATTACATAACACATGAATGAACATCAGCTTTTCCGAAACAGAAGGCAAATTCCCTAAAGCAACGTCCGCAACCAAGCGGTTAGGCGAAAAAAAACATTTTAGGGGAGCTGTGGAGCCACTGGTCAACCCTAGAGGGGAGTCCTTTTTAAAACACAAAAAATGGCTCACAAGGCCGCGATTTTAACACAACTAATATTGTTATAAATGCTGATTGGTTTTGTGTTAAGCCAGTTGGACATCAATTTTTTTCTGCTGAATTGCACCTTCCGTCAGAAATACGCGAATTTTTTTTATGTACGGTAATCATCAGCAACGAGACGGAGTTCCTAATTTTCCAGCTGGCAGTAAAAGAAGGTTAAAAACATAAATGGGTGGTCTGAATTCGTTAATTAGATGCTTTTTTATATTTCATGTGGGCTGTGATATCCCATTCCTCTGCTCCTAAATTAACAATTATCGTTAACGACTATGTAATTGGATTTTTGTGATTCAGTACCTGCGCCATTTTCACCTTCACTGCATTTACCAGCACGTTAACAGTAAGCAAATATTTGTCGACGAAATTCGATTTTCACAATATTATTAGACCTTTGCGCTAAGTCAGTATTTAATGAAATCTTTATTCAATCACAGAAAAGTTAGCAGAAAGTCGATAAACAACTCTGCGGCTACCATTTACCCGTTAAATTTACAACAAGGCTAACCCATTTAGTCGATCCTGTTTGACTATTTTTGGAATGAATATAGCATACGTGAGATACATTTGTCCGGGAGGCCGCCGAATCAAGTCTATTAATCTTCTGACTTCTGATGAAGATATTGAGGCGCAATATTCGACTTGGCAAATATAATTATTTGTTTGATGGTAAAATTCATCATGTTTGGGCGCATTATGCACATTTACAAATTGAAACGATGTCATACACACTGAGAGAAAAGGGTAAAATACCCTAAATTTTGCACCAATTTTGCTTTCTACAAACGATTCCAAAATACTCTCGATTGCCGTCAATACAAATACTGTACATATTGAAGTTAATTTAACAACCTTTTATATATTACAAATTAGCCTTGTTAAAATTACACGCGGATCCGCATACGAATTTATCCCTGATTATGGGAAAATAAAAGATAATTATTGCAAAGTACATTCAATCAATTTTGAGCAATTTCACCTCTGGCACATCAATTTTGATCCCGTAACATTCGGGCAGAATAATTATGGGTTGAAGAGTATGTGCTGATTTAACTACGGCAAGGTAAGAAGTGCGCACATAAATTATTTACACCTGCTCGCAGATAAAAATTAGAATAGGCTACTATAAAACATTTCGCTCCTGCAAAGAATTCGTGAATAGGTTATGGCACAAGCAAAAAAATCCACAAATATGGGTGTATGGGTGGGTGTTAGGGTGTATTATGCGAATTATTTATTGCTAATATAAGAATATAAAATCGAAGATATATAGGATAAATAAATATCTTTCGAATTGAGAATTAACGTACAACCAAGGATACAAAGATGTATAACATAGTTTCCAATAATTAGAAATCTGGAATCACCTCAAAGTACAATATTCAAAACGATACTACTACACTACGAAATAAATCGGTTGTTTGGATAGAATACTTACTCGACTACCTACGAAGCTAGGTTACATAACCGAGTCCAACTGCTAACTTAGCATTATTTTCAATAAGTATACCATGTACAGTGATCATGAATAAAAAAAAATGGAAAAGCAACGAAAGCAAATTAACATCAAAGTGAAAACACAACCATATCACAATATATAAAAAGAAACAGAAAAAATTAAACCAGCGGAATGAAATCATATTAATTAAAGAATAATATATTCCGCTGCCGTTTAGTCCCGTGTTACATAGCGGTATAACCCATGAGGCATCTGAATCTATAAGATAACATAAAGTAGCTGCATTAAAATATCGCAGCAAAACAATTATTTTCTATTGACTGACGCTTCTTATAAGCACGATATCCAGCAACATTAACGGGTGATAAAGTAACCCACATCCGACGCAAAAATATTTCATTTTGGAAAATTCACGAATCTCTATCCCCCTCTTGCGGCTGCGAAAGAATACACGTTGTAACCTGAACATACAGGCTTACGTCACAAGTCATGGATATCTTATCGTTTTGCTCAGTGAAAAACGACATCCATAGAAGCCAACATTCATCGTAAACCACTGATTTACGCACAATCGATTTGTCATTAGAAAAGCGATGGCCGAGATTCACACACGCATAACATATTGGCAGACAGCTAATTTTGATGGAATTTATTATGAAATTGGATGCTAATTACGGTACTCCTGGAGTATGCGTACCAAGATGGCGGTGTACCAGGTTGGGATTAGGCCAACATCCCGGTGCCCGCCATCTTAGTACGCATACTCCAGGCGTACCCTAAGTACTATGACAGGGCTGGGCAATTATTTTTGCTATCGGGCCACATTGAATATTCCAAATGCAGTGGCGGGCCGGACTAAGTAAAGCCAATTGTGCGTTTTTAATGCATTTCAGTACACATTTAAATAAAACAAAGTACTATTGTACTCCGTTATTTTTGTTTAAAACACAGTTATGAAAACTAGTTTAAAACATAAATATCGCGATTTCGAGACAATACATATGATCGGAGAAACGTCACGCTTGCAAAACAATGCTGAATTTTATCATTAATGCTAAAGAGTGAGTAACTATGCGGAATTAAGACCATGCCTTCGATGGCCAAACATTCGTGATTCATATAACTCTGTTGTCACCATAGCATTTTTAACGTAAACAGGGGTCGTGGAAAATTGTAACGCATTGAAAGGCGTTGCGAGTTTAAAAGTATGGAATGCACTGCTCTAAAATACAACGTCTATCTGCGTATATAAAAATGTGAAATAAAGTGCCGGAATATACTTAATTTTGATACCTATTTTTGCGATACGGGTATATTTAAAATGCATTGATATGGGCACATTTAAATGTCTTGCTTTGTTGTTTTAAACTTAACCCGCGATTGCTTTGGCAAAATATAATCATTACTACTCTTAAATACCACCCCATGCCGCGGATCTAAAAATGTGAGATAAAGTGCCAGATTACTTTTATTCGTGTTTTGCGATTTCGTGAAATCAACAAATGTGATTTGTTCTTGCAACAATGACTTGTCTCTATTTTACAGATTTCACCAATAGAAAAATCCCTACGTCTGCAATAAAACCACACCGAGTTAAATTCAATTTAGTACCGTGAAAATCGGTTGAATTTACTTTACTTTGTGCCATGGGCACCAGAAATTTTTCAGTTTCCAATTTCTACAACAGCGTTTTTAATCTGTCGCAAGCCTTCTACATCAATCTTGTATGTGTCCAGTTTTTAGTATTTTATATTGCCGCTCTGAAATCCCGATTTAGGTTGCTTGCAGATGCACTTCTTTATCTTTAGCATTATTATATAATGACTCGTTTTTCTCAATGGTTTCACAGTTCCGTATGCAAGGCATATATATATATATATATGGAGGTTGAAGGAAATTTGTGATTATAATCACCGACGTAAAGGTGTTTATGGTCTAAACTCTAAATAACATCTCGAGCTGGCGAAAACAATCGGTCATTTAAAAAAAAATTTGTCGAATGGTATTGCCGACTTTTTCATTTTTCTAAACAAAATTTTGTTCACAGTTAAAGTATATTTTATATGAAATTAAAAAGAAAATGTCCACATCTAGAAACCTGCTCGCGGGCCGGATGAAACGTTGCCGCGGGCCGGACGTGGCCCGCGGGCCGCAACTTGCCCAGGCCTGTACTATGATGTCGGTGGCAATAATTCAACTGGATTTATCGCTCCCTCGAATCATTTTATTTTTGGCGTTTTCACAACCACGATAATTCCACTCTAAAATTATCAAAACCCGGGAGATTCAAATTTTTATTTTCTCCACCTACTTTATTTGTATAAATCAAGACAATTGCTATAATTTATAGACACGAAAGCCACAACGAAGTAATACGGGTACGCAATTTTTTACTGTAGCAGTATCTGTGAACAAACGATCCCGCGACAGAAGAAATTATCTTCAGATGTTACAGTCCCAACGGAATCTTAGCCAATAATAGAGTTAATAAACTGGGCCATGACGCGCTCAGTCGAGTGATCCAAACTGAGCTCCAATTCGTTGAAGTCACGTCCAAAAGCAATAACTGGATAAATTAGGCTACTTGTCAAAGTCGAGAGGAGGCTTCTAAATATGCTCCCGAGTTCCCGAGTATCCGTATTCCATTCCGTACCGTAAACCTATATAATTCTCAACATAATACCGCAGCTACCAAGTTTCATTTATCTACATCTCACGCAAATAAGACGGTTTCGTGGAGCTTTAAAAATATTCCAACGCTGCCAAACATGAACCAACTTTATAATAGCAGAAGCGTGGACTAATGGCCACCTGTGAAACATCAACCAATCACGTTAAATTCACTTCTGAACGACATAATACTAATTTCGTCGTCACAAACGTTTTTATAATACCGCCAGTGGTGTCGTCATATGAATCGACATAATATTCACTATGACGTATATGACTAAGCATTCCGACACAAATAAACCCACAAACGGAACTTGCTGGAAGTCCTACGCTTCAGAATTCACCAGATGTTTTGGGCCTTTTGAAATGGGAAATTAACAGGAATCTTTATTGCCAGTGAATACAGGACTGCAGGAAGTATGTACAGTTTTGAAGGAAAATTTCGAACGACGCCAAATGTATCTTTAGGTGGTAAAAGCAAAGAGGTGAGTACCGTACCGTACGGTACGGTCTGACTGTACCGGTACCGTATTAATAATAATAATAATCCAAGTCGGGTACCACCGGTATGGGATTAGTTATATTGTTTGTTTTCGGAAGCATGGACTTGGTGGTGGAGGAAGCCGTACGGCGTGTGGTTAGATAAGATAAGATTTTATTTCGATTCATTCGCAAAAACAAAATAAACATATATCTGTATATACACCAAAGATTAAGGCGAAGAATCTGGAAAGTGAACAAAACCTAATAAAATAGGTTTAAAACGTATTAAACGCGTTCACTTACCAAAGAAGAAAGAAACGAGTCACAAACACAAACAAATAAACATGAATATTGACGGCAGTCATTACTCAGGCGTTTCACTTGGTAATCAGGTTGATGCAATCTTTTCAAAAACAAAAAAGTGAATTCAATATCCGCTGTGCGTGTGATGCGGCATGTAAACAAACAGTCCGAAAAATCCTAGTAGGAGGTGCGAATGCATGTTTCCGTTCCATGCTCAAACATATATCTAGTAAAATCTACTAAAACGTTAACACACCAATGTAAAAATCGATCGTAAAAATCGAATTTTCAAATATCAGTCCGTGCAGTTTAACCGTAGTAGTATATATTTACGGTTTAACATTTGTATATCCGGTCTTCTCCATATTTGAGCAGAGCATAATTTCGTCCATCACAAAATCTTCCATTTTGCGCCCATGTTGCACATTTTCAGTCAATCATTAAAAAATCTGCTATTTCTGTTTATTGATGTCACTAAGTCTGGGATTCACTTCTCGAATGCATATCTTCGGCTCGAGGTAGGCACGTCCGCGCGCGGCGGCGGTCGGTACTTGTTATACGGTATTTTAATGGATTCTAATTGATAATTAATTTTATTTGTGTCCTGTTCAGGGTGAACAGAAACCTTCGCCCACCTTCCCACAGAAACCGGCAATAATTCTGAATTCTACAGTCAGACAGTGCTCAGTCTGTCAGTGCGGCGGTGCGGCTCATTGTGCTAAGCGTTAGGAATACGCTCGTCATTGCACCTCTGATTATTCTGCACAGGTTCAAATCCTATGCAAGGATAGTTAGTTATGTGCGAGAGGAATGCGAATCTTCTCTGTATATAATGTACGGTTTTGGCAGATTGCTCTGCACACAATGCCCCGAAATTATTTATACTTACCGGTAATGATTCTACTGAATTTTTCACCCGTTTTCTCAGAGGTAATTTTATATCTATTTTCTTCAACTTACCAAATGATGAATTTTTCAGGATAAATTGAACAAGGAAAGACTTCTGCAAAAAGCTCAAAAAGAAAGACAAAAACGAGAGGTTTGTTTATTTTATAATTCTCGTTTTATCATAGAAAAACGTCTATATCAGGTTTTCCCAAACTGGGATCTGCGATGACTGCACAGGGGGTCCGCAATGATATGAAGGAAGTCCCATCGATCTTTAATGATCGATTTTAATCCAAAAGCCATTGCATTTATTTGGATGAGCGTTGTGGACAAGTATCCATTGCTGTCATCAAAAGCAATTATAATTTTATTGCCTTTTGAACAACCTAAATGTGCGAGGCAGCATTTTCAGCTCGCTCCGATATGATGACAAAATACAGGTCAAGACTTGCCGTAGAGTTGGATCTGCGAGTTTGCTTGTCACAAATTGCTTTGAGAATCGATAGATTGTGAAGTGAAAGCAACCTAATGCATTACATTATTGTCGTTGTGTTGTAAATGAAACATTATCCTTCCTCGTTGGTTAGACACAGAAATTGATACGGCATAGGATGGGTGTCCGTCAAAACCAAGATTCACAAATAGCGGTTCCGCAGCCCAAAAATTTTGAGAAACCCTGGTTTATATCTGAAACAATGCCAGCAGTTTTTGGATTTAAGTTTAGCCTGAAAAATCTGTATTCAGGATTAATACAGTAATAGCTTGACTTTTTGTCTCAAAACAGACGTTGACTTGTAACGAAATAAGAACCTTTGGTTGGGTATTCACTCATGCTAGTCTGCGAAATATTTTGGAAGCCCCGCATTTAACAAGACTTAGAGCAAACAGGTAAAGACAGAAATTATTTAGATTTTGCATGTATGGTACATCTGCTGGGCAATTCCATCACAATAATTGCTTAATTAATTAACGTGAATTACTTAATTCCACATTGAATGAAATATTTTTCATCTTTTCAGGAGATTCGTCGGAGATTACAAAGCGCCCTTGTTCTACAATCATGTGTTCGTTCATATCTCGTACGTCAAAGATTGAAAAATGATTTACGAATACAGTTTGATCAAGAGCGACATCGAGTGACCAACAAGATAGGAAATATCAATGAGCTGGTGGCGACGTCTCGTTGGTTAAAATTTTTTTACGAACCAAGCATTGATCATGATAGATTGGTGAGGACTTGAAATTTATTTCACCAAATCTCGCATGAATTTATATCTATTCTTTGCTAAATGCTGTTTAGGATGTTGTAGTTAAAACATGATTCAAATCAAATTCTGCTCAGGTGCCAATTTTTTGTGACTTCAATATAAGTTGTGAAGCGATAGTTTCAAGAATTGCTTGCTTTCTTTAACTGCGAGAAAAAATTGAACTGAACATAGTAATTTGGGATTAATTAGGCCAGAGAATGCACATTCTTCAATCTTTGTCTGATCATTCTGTCTTCGCATCTGAAAAGATCACTGATAAGAAAGTTACAAGCAAATACTGCTAGGGGCTGTATTTCTTTTAAAAAGGAGAGACTGGCTGTTTAGCACCAATATGCGTCAGTTTTATGATTTCAATTTGTAACAACTTTTTTAACAACTCAGTAGTCGCTGATAGCTTCTATTATTTTCTGTAATCTTGCATTGATTTTTCCTCAGTTTATCAAAGTACCAGTCATATTTTGTTCACAAACTTATTGTATTTTTTCCCAAACTTATCTTTATACATTTCCACCATCAGACCTGGCTGGGTCAACTTTTACTTCGCAACAAAGAAGACTGGCTGAAGAATGACGACTCAAGTTTGTTTCAAACAGCAGGAGTTTTAAAGCTCTGTTGCAGGTGGGAGTCCGGTGATAGGCAGATTTTGCAAGGGTTGAAATATTTTCTACAAAGGGCTATAATGAGAACCTATTACTTTTCCCATTCGCTCTTATAGTATGAAATTTTATGGTGGCGGACATTGTTCCGCTCTAGATGACCATATATTAAGCTCTTAGTGATGTGGCGGGCATGAGACATTTACATACTTAGAAACTATCTATACAACACTCACTACATAATGAAATACAAAATCTGGACATTTCTACAGATGCTTGTCTTCCATTGATTCCACAACTGCAATCGCCATCCCGATGAGAGTCTTAGAAACATTCACTTCGAATGGTTTAGTGGGATCAAGTCGAAAGCTGGAGAATCATGAAACAGAGATATGTTTGCTGAAGTTATGGAACGCTCTTGTTAGAAACGGTAAGTATTGTATTTGTATGCAATTTTTTATATTTTATTCTCAACAAGTCTTTAAACCAACAGTCACCAACATGCAGGGAGCTAGCCTACATTTTTCCAAGAGCCAAAATCTATTTGGATAGGCACGCTTTCTCTTGTTATTTGAATGAGAGTTGTTGGACCTTTCGACAAAGATTTTTATCAATGCAGTAACTGCTTTTCTATTGCTTACTATGTTCATGTATTGGCTTTGTGTTTGTTAAAAATTACGAAACTCACCATCTATAAGCCAGACTTTTTGCAAGTAGCAAACAGGTTTTTCATGATTAGTCTTCGGGATATTCTTAAAATTACATATTTTCAAAATAATACTTTATATCAAACACATTTATTTTTTTTTAGGATATTTTTCCTGTATTCAACATTTGTTGACGATACGTGTTCCATCGGATATACCACCAGAAGGGGATTCCCCAATACATCCTCCCACACACCTTGCTGGTACATTACTGAATCTGCTGACGAGACCTATAATCGTAGCCGGACAAACTTCAGGTTGGTGAAATAAAACTGAGTATTGGAGTGAAATGAATTGTTGAGCATGTAAAATGAATCCTTCTGCTAGTTGTTGTTGTTGTGAGAATTGTGTTTGTCCGTAACTAATGAACCAATCTATATTAAGTTTTCAGTACTTGGAGATAGTTGAAGGTATTAGAAGCCTAACTCTACTCACTTTATTTTCAAATAACTCTGAGTTCTATGTTACTCGGTAATTCATCCAAAATTTTTCTTTAACTTTTATATGTTATATGAAAATTTTTTATTTGACATGTGACTTTTGTGCCCACGTATCGAACTCATGGCATAATAAATTAGGCAATATCCAATGCCAATGAAGAATTTTTATTCTTTTCAGAATAAAGCGTCTCACATACTGAGTGTATGCTTGTTCAGGAACTTGACCGTCAATTTTCAATATTGCTTTTGTTATTGACCAAACCTATGCGATCGCATTGTCCTGTTTCGTTGTTCCTCACTTTCCATTTCACCACTGTTCAGTATTTCCAGAGTAAACTTTCAAATTATGCGAAATTCCTATTTTCCAGATTCTCAGCCATCCCAAGACACTATGGACTACTCGGACCCTATCACAGAACTACAAGCCGTCATACTCCGAACATTTATATCAGAAGTTTTATGCAAACACCCAACTTCTCAGATGTACCATTACGTCTTCCCTGCGTTTGCTGTAATCGATGATTTTCCTACTTTCAAAATATTGGAAACTGTCAGAACTATGTTGCCAGATTTGGATTTAAAATCACCAGGATTGTTGCCAGCTTTGGTGAAATTTGTTCATCCTAAGTTAGGTAAGAGCATTTTATATTGGGTAGTTGATAGGATTTATATAAAAACAAATTTCTAGCAAAAGAAAAGCCGCTTAAAACATCCATTTCGTGAGTGCGATAATTACCAACAGTTCCAATTTGATTAAAATAATATGTTTCCTAAAAAGTCGATAGCCAACCATAATGTGAGTGCAGTCTCGGCCATGTTATTTTCAACCTTTGATGTTTTTTCCAGAATCTGTGCCTGAAAGAACGTTTTCTGGGTATCTCTACTGCCTCCAGTGTCTCTTAACTCATCTTCCAAGAATACGTTGTCATGACGATGAAGAGAATGACTATGACTCATCAGACTCTGATCAGGAACTTGATGCTGACTCCGCAGAAAATAGAATGGAAACATCAACCAATAAATTTCAGGTAAATTCACATTTTTTTATTAATTTGAACAGACATTATTTTATACCTTGATGAGATTTGGTTCTAATATTTTTACATGTCTGCAAATACTTTAAACTATGTTTTCAGGGCGATGTCATTCCGTTAGCTGACCTAGTATCGGATTGCCATTCAGCTCTCACATCTCGACAATTCACCGATGCCTGTGTAGGACGTAGAATCCACGAACAATCAGGAACGGAGAGTTTGGATTCGATCTGTGCGATCTGTCATCATTTGATCGTTGTTACGAAAGTTTCTGTGCAGAAGAACAGGTAGGTTATATATTTCTTCTTTAACAAATATTTATTTATTCAATTATTGATGAATCCTAGTGTTTTTTGCAAGTCACACTCCTGTTTTTGTACAGTTTAAGTAGTTTGTAATGTGTGCAGTGCATAAACAGGTATTATACTAAATAAAAAAACTGCAGAATAGTATCAATACTACAGCAAATATAAAGCCAAATTCCTTCCCACGAACGACAAAATTCGGTTGGAAAACATGTTTATATTGTCTAATGGAAATTAATCACATACAGTTTTGGCTCACCCATGTTGACTCGCTGTTGAAAACAGATCCATGCATGTGGAGCAACCAGTTATTTGTCTATCTAGCTATTACTATGTTTAACCTGTAATCAGAGGAAAAATCAAAATCATTTATATGTTGACTAATTGACAATCTTATTGTCTTTCTTCACACCAATATTAAGGATTATTAAATTTCCTCTCCATGGGATAAATAAGAAAATGGTAACAACTTGAAAATGTGACATCATATTTCTTTCCTCACTACTTTATAAATGTGAAAATTCCCATCAACTCAATAGATACTATATCACACATAGTTTAAGACGATTTGCTATCATAAAAATTTTTCAGGCTCCTGTACACTCTTGCATTCTCATCTTCCTTCCTTCGTAAGTTATGGCAATCAACAGTTTCTCTGACGTCAACAAGTAAAGTAACAGGGAAAAGGTAGGTTTTTACTTTAATGTTTAAAGCAGTGGCCCCAACTTTTTCTTTTTGAATTCCCCCTCCATCTAGTGTGAAACTATTCATACCTCTCTCACTATGCAGGAAAAACTACTGTATTTGTTTAAAACAGCATTTCTCAAACTTGCCCAGGAACACATACATCTTGCCTAGCGCAACACATAGAAATTTGAAAATAAATGTGATGGGTGGTTCCTGAAAAATTTAGCGGATAGTAGAATTAAAAATTAACGCGATAATTAAAAACTTAGCCCTGCCTGTTTGTCGCCAGTCGAGAAACAAATTTACGACCCAGAGTAGCCTGAGTAAGGCCAAGATTGCCATGGTGACCAATTTCAATATCTGATTTGCGAAATGCCTCAAAGTAGCTTGTGAAACCATGGTTTAAACTTCAATCATTAGCATAAGGGATGGCTGTTGGACACACCATTTTCCAGACGCGCTAAAAATGTTTTTTTTTTGTGTTAGATATGAATTGATTTTCCCTCTCAAATGCAATATTATTATATTTATTTTCCAGTATACCTGTCGTCCAACTCTTATTCGAAGGAAGCCAAATCTCAGAATCAAAATCGATCGCAATTCGATCAAAACTTGTTGTTTTCTGCTCATTGTTTTGTCACAATCTACTTTCTGTTCATGACACGGACTTTTACAACAGTAAGTTTGAAATTCCATTCTCAATAATTAGTGATTCTTGTTTCAGCTACAGGATTCAGCTGAGTTATTCACTTTAAGACTGAATCAGAGCAAGTAAATGTCATGAAAATAGCTACTTACTGACTTCCTGGTTAGGTTCCTGTTATTCGGTTTATACTTGTGTGTATAGCACCACCTTGAATCTATAAAATGTCGGTAGCTTTTGGCATTTCAATGGCCACCATTACATTGGTTCAAAGCTGAGCCTTCTATATTTCTGAGTGAGTGCTAGGGAGAGTGAGGGTACTAGGATATTATTGTGTATTCAAGTCCTTTCTCTTTGTTTGCTTTCTACTTTGGATATGTATGTAGTCGTTGCCATGAGGATATTTGAATGAGATAGTAAAGTTATAAATTAAAATGATATAATCTCGTTACATAGAACATGTATCAATCTATTTACCATCAATTTTATCATCACAGTAACACAAGGATCAAGTCGACATATGGCGTTTACCGTGGCAGAGTTGGTTTCAATTGCACTTACGATACGCGACGTCTGTCTGGCATTGATCAAACAAGCTCTTCCTGAAACCAGATCAAGATTTGGAAACTTTAATGCAAAGTAAGCACTAGTTCTGAAAAATAGATGTTGATTTTTTTATATGATGTTCACACTCTGAGCAAGACTGTACAATCAGGCACTGGTAACTGATGAAGCACTGTATTTAGAAGAACTGGAATCTTTCCGGTCCAACATTGCCCAACGAAATTATCACACCATGGGTGAGGTGTTGGCGTCAGATTTCAATCTAATATTTTTAACATTCTGCCAAGACATGTCTAATGCTTTAACCACTAGATCGTACAGCCCACAAAGTTGTATAGTATGGTTTGTTACCTCATGCTGCATCATCGAATCTTTCCATATTTCTGTCTCCTATATCTCAACCAGTGAAGGCATGAATTAGCGGCAACAAATCTAGCATCTTCTCATACATCCTCTGCAATAGCTATGTCCAAAGCAACAGAAATGTTTTTTAAAGTATTCCACCTGACTATAACGCACTGAACCGTGGCCCATCAGTCGCTTGTCAGTAATTTATAGCATTTCTATTTGGCAGAAATGTTCTGCATGCATTATCATTCGGACAAACGATCAGACCAGAGAAATTTTCCGGGAGCAAAGATGTTGAGATTGGGTTGAGTGAGATCAACGACACAGTGTTTTTATTCACAGTGAGTATGGTTTGGCTGTTTATTGCAAACTCAATAACTTCAAACGTGGTGGTAATGGTATTGGTTTCCATGTTCGAAGCGATGTTCGTTGATACAATTATTTTGCGACAGATTAGATTGATATAGAACAGGGGTGGGCAAGGTTTTTGAATCAGGGGCCAAAAATTTTGCCCATCTTGTCTGGCGGGCCATGTAAGTGTGACGTAAAAAGTTACATTTTATAAGCAATATTTACAGTGTTGCAAAGCAAAGTTGGAAAACAATAAGCCTCGTGCCAAAACTAAATTTAATTGCAATCTCAAATTATGATTAGAAAACTTAGGAAAACATCGTAATTGCAATCTTGCTCAAATATTTCTTTCCAAACAACCCAGGTCTGCAGAAGACTGGTGAAGCAGTTGCACACGCGGGATTCACGTCGATCTTTCATTCCAAACAGACATTGGCTTTCAAACCTAATCTATGTCAAGAATGATCAATCGAATGATTTTGCTCAACGTTGGTATCGGAGATCTGGAGCAAACAGCACAGTTGCAGCACATTTGGCAAGTAAGTAAGCGACGTGCAGTGGTTTTCTGCCCTTTATGGCTCCGACCCCTTTTTGGAGGCTTTTAGCACTCATGGTACCCTTGTTTATTATTACAGTGGTATTTATAGTGTCATTTTGATTGGAAGATTCCAAATCCCATCATATTCAAACAATTCAGGCATAGAAAAGCGGAAGCACACTGTGAAAAACCCTTATGGAGCATTTAACTAGGAAGAATGGGGAATTTTCTTGTGAAGTGAAAGTAAAATCAGTGTTGTGCCTAGCATTGCGGCTCCCTTGAGAGCCGAGGATCCAGGTTAGGAACTGCTGGCCTTAAAGATTTTATCGCCGGACTGAACTGGTTAAAATCTGAGATTCGAATCCAATATCCAGGGTTTATTAGGTTGGGTATGCAATGCCGAACCATATAACAGTAGCCCCTTACATATCAGAGACGTGTACAGCACTTTGTTCAGAGCAAAAGTTGTGAATATGCGTTGAATGAAGAAATAGATAATTCATCGGTTCCCTCCTGTCTAAAAGTTCCTCACTTACATTGAATATCAGTGAAAGCTTGTTAAAGCGAAATACGTAAAGAAGCTGTTATAATTGTCCCTACTTTTAGATACCTCAGATGAAGACATCATACTATCAGTAACTGAAGCCAGACAACTTGCTGTCCTGATGAATATTCCTTTCGTCATCCCATTTGACACAAGAGTTTCTATATTCACAGTGAGTATGTTTGGTGGTTCTTGCATCGTGCTGAGCATTAGGGAGCTAATTATCATGGGAGGTAATTATGAGTAATAAAGATTGCTAGGCTCCTCGCCGCCGTAGGTGTTTCACATAATCACTGGCCGGTTACGAATTTTGGTGTGAAGTTACAGAGTCCCTATCAAATGAATGAGAATTAGATTCATGTCACCAGACTGCAATAACTTACGTTAGTTTTCGATCAATCAGAAATGAAAGAAGAATATAGTTTTGTTACATGAAAGAATTTTTAACATCTGGCAAATTAGGGCCGGTTATTTTTTACATTCGGTTTATTAGGAAATCGAGATGTAACCATGTAGGCTACGTGTCACACATGACATTATTGTACTAACGGTGCTTTCCACAGTTACTGAATGGTATTATGAGTTCACAAATTTTTTCTCCCACACAGACAATGCTACACAAGGATCGGGAGAGTCGTGAAACTCACCGGGATCGTATCATGGAAGAGGCGGGGTTTGGGCATTCAAGCATGACAAATGAAGTCACGGTCCGACGAGAATTCATCTATGAAGACGCTTTCAATGATCTATCGGAGGAAAACGGTGAGTTGATCAGATTCTGAATGATTGTTCCAAACGAACAATGAAAAGTTTTTTGAATTTGTGTGGAATTCACTACTTTTCTGTCGTTTTTCTGGTTTTGATCTGAATTTGAATGGATCCATGTGCCAATCTGTGTTTTCTGGTGCTCAATACACCATTATACTTACATGTAGGTCTTCCATATATCACTAACTCCTAACTTACCTGCCAAAAAGCCAATCTAATTGCCAACTGTCTTTAATAATCGTCACAGTCTTACCTAGTGGCAGCGAGCCATTTTTAGTCGCTAAATGCCCTAACTTACTTATTACTTAGTCTCTTCTATATTTGAGTAATTATTCATAAAACAGACATGTTCCCAATTGTAATCACATTTTCCACATCTAAAACATAAAATCTTTTCTTTTTAATGAATCCTTATTTTCTAATTCAAACAAAGGCGTTTTCACATTTATATCATCATTTCTCTTGCAGCACCAGATTTGCGTAAAAGACTTCGAGTAACTTTTGTCAATTCTGCTGGGCTTGACGAGGCCGGATACGGTGCAGGAGTTACACGAGAGTTTTTGCAGCAAGTTGTGAAAACAGGGTTCGATCCAACGAGAGGATTTTTCAAAACGACAGCTCAAGGAAGGCTTTATCCGAACCCACATGCATCAGCAATCACACCGAATGCAAACTCTCATTTCCATTTTCTGGGTCGAATGTTGGGAAAGGTAGGTCTTTTTTGTGTGATGCCAATTCACACGTTTCGCTTAAAAAGCTTCCAATACAAGCAGTTTCTGATACCTGAGATTGTTAGGAGATATTGTGGGATTTTACCACAGTTATATGATTAGCAATGTCAGTCGTGCCAAGTCTAATGCTTCATCCAGAAAGGCATTGCACTCACAACTAGGAGGTATTGAAGATCATAGGTTCTTGAACTTTTTCAGCTAGGGATGCTCCAAAAACATAAAAGTTATAACACAACATTAAAAAAAAAATTTCAAAGCACTTACTTTGCCAACTTTAATGTGTCTGTTTTTGAAAGTAAATACAATCGACAAAAGGCCCTTCATTACAAAGTCTTCCTGTTTTTGGTTTTAAATTCACTCAAATGACTGAATGGTAGAGGTGGCTGAGTATTGAGCAGGATATAATTAATTATCAGAGCATCAAGATAATTCTTTCCTTCCCTTTGGGATGAATATGAAAATCCTGTCCTATGATTAAGTCGTTTTATTGGCTTTTCTTTCCTGGGATAAACATGAAGACTCTATAGTATGATTGAGTCATCGTATCGTCTTTCGTCTATAAATTTTAAAATCCTATGCTTAACCCTTCCGTGCGGTGGGCACGTATACGTACCAACGACAAAAGTCACTAGATTGCGGCGGGTACGTTGATGTACTCCACTGTTTTATTTAGCAATCGGTCGCAAACTGTTGGTCTAGTTTTTCTGGGTTTTAGTTTATTGAAAAGAAGTCTTCTTCGAGATTAACATAAGCGACGCTCAATTTCGCTTTCGTTTACGACGGGAATTTTATTTGCGGCGGAACGTGGGAGTGTTTTTGAAATTTATGCAAATTTCGGTGTTTTTTGGGTGGTAATAGGAGACATATTATCCCTTCCATCTACCAAAGTATTTTGAGTTAGATTACGAAATTGCTACAGCAATATTATGCTATTGTTTGCCAACCACGAAGCGGTAACAGTAAAGGATTTAGCGAATATTTCTATTTTTATCACGGTTTGAAGTTTCAACCCCCAAGAAGAAAAAATGCCTTTTTTCTATCCGGTTTGTGACTCAGACCACCACTTTTAAAAAAAATTTTTTTTTAATCGCCAATTGCAAGCTCTTTAAATAAGCTTTCCAACGACCTGTCAGTGGGCAGCAGAGGATCATTAGTTTTTCGTTAGTCGATTGATTAGTTGTGGGGGTACAAATGCATAAAATCGGCATAGCAAATACGATTATTTAATAAAAAATAAAAATCGCATGGAAAGGGTTAATCAGCTAACAGCTTTCCTCTTCCCTGTCTTAGATATGGAAAGCATATCCTATGATTAGGGCCTCTGTATCAGCTTCCCTCTTCCCCAGGATGAACACAAAAAACCTAGCTTGATCAATTCTTCTCCCTTATCAGGTTCTCTATGAAGGAATGCAGGTTGAACTTCCCTTCGCTTCGTTCTTTCTCTGCAAAATCCTTCAGCGGAAAAACACTGATGTTGACATCAACCATCTGCAATCACTGGATCCAGACTTTTACAGGTATGTCAGGCTCATCACCTCACGCCAGTGGTTTTCAACCAGGGTTCCTTCAGTACAGTACATGGGTTCCACAAATTAACATTAAAATCCGAAAGTGTAAATTATTATATGTAGGCTATACGATTCAAGTATAATCAAATATGTTGTTTTTATTAAATTCTCTACACTTTAGATCAGCGGTTCTCAACCGGGGGCCCTCGGCCCCCTAAGGGGGCCACAGAGGAGTTGGAGGGGGGCCACAAAGATGAGCTGAAATCTGAATTTACTTTTCACTTTAAAAGAAATCTCAGTTTTTCCTAGTTTGCTGCTCAACAAGGTTATTTCGCAGGGTGTTTTCGCTCTCTTTTGTGCAAATTGTTTTAACATAATGGGATTTGGAATCTATCAATGAAAATAACCCTATTAATACCTCTGGAATATTAAAGTGGGGCCATGAGTGCTAAATGCCTCCGAAAGGGGGCCACGAGTCATAAAAGGTTGAGAACCACTGCTTTAGATATTGATTTGCCATTTCTAGCTTTATTTTTGCAGATATTTACCATTTATTTAATTTTTCATACAGTATATATTAATATATTATTGCACGAGGGTTCTGCTAGTCTCTGGACTGATTCATTGAGGTTCTGCTCCACCAAAAGGTTGGAAACTAAAACTAGGGTTCTAAGCCTTTTTTCCTGTCAGGTACCCACATTCATGTAGCAATCAGCGCGAATCCCCAAGTAAGCTGACGTGAAATGAAGTAGTGATATATTGAATGACCCAATTTTGCTCGCAATATCTATGGGGGAACCTTACATGAGCACAAAAATGAGCTGGCGAAGCCTGCATGCAATAATATTTCCCAAATATAAAACGCAAAAACAGCATACACTTTGCTGAATCTCGTTAGAATCAGTTTAATAGCAGGACAAATAATTCTGGTCCTTGCAAGGGGTTTCCCTTTATTCTGAATTTCTTTTTTGTTTGTAGAAACCTCATGTACCTGCATGACTATGATGGAGATGTTTCAGACCTCGCTCTCAATTTTACTGTTGTTGACGAAACACTAGGTGTCACTAAAGTGAACGAATTAATGCCGGATGGAATAAATACGCCTTTGACGAATTCAAACAAAGTTTTGTGAGTTCTTAACATTTCTCATTGCCTAAGCTGAGTGCTCTTATATGAAATGTTTGCTTCAAGCAAGACTGCAGACAAGCAATCACTCAGATAACTGCTAAGTTTGTACATCAATATGTATTCTTTCAGGTCAAACAATTGCTGACTTATGTGAAGTTATATTATAGGCCAGTTCAGAGTGGGTGAAACTAAATGAAATTTTTTTTCCTCTTCAACTCACAAGAGTCTAAAAATAAGAGGATGTCTTCAACTTCGATATCAATGAAACCTCACTTCAATTCCACAATTGAAAACAACATTGAACTTTTTAGAAAACCATTTCTTTCTATTCATTCCAGGTACATGCATCTAATGGCAAACTTCAAACTAAACATACAAATGAGAAGCCCTTGTCAAAGCTTTCGTCGTGGTCTAGAGAGCGTAGTCACGGTTGATTGGTTACAGATGTTTGACCACGTTGAGTTTCAAACTCTGGTCTCAGGCGCAGAAGTTCCGATAGATATTGAGGACCTTAAGCGATATACTACCTATTCAGGTGAGTTCCAAAATCTTTGGGTTGTAATTAATCCCAATTGAAGGCCAGACTCCTCACTATCATGGGATAGCTTATGATGGCGCATGATAAGGTCATATAGATATCGGATGTTTAAATAGGGTCTGGCAACTGGACTGGAGGGTTTACGAAATTAACAAATGAGTGAAATCGAACTGAACTTTGATTTGCGATGCGAATCCCTGATTCACAATTAGCATGCTCAGCCCTTGCCTTTTATGAAATAAAATCTGCGTAAAGCGAGGCCAGGCACGTTCAATCAAAAGTAAAGAAGACTCGTCTTTGAGAAAAGTTATGGGCAACGAAGGAAATGTCAGAAGCCACTCCTACTTGTTCTTAAATGTATGTTTTGAAAAGGCTCAATCTTAAAATCTCAGAGAATTAACAGTAAAATAATGACGATAATAACCATTTCTAGCGCATAGTAATTTTTTCACCACAAACAGGAGGTTACTCAGCTGATCACCCTACTGTTGAATCATTCTGGGAAGCCCTGAAGGAACTCACCAACAATCAACTCAGCTTGTTTTTACTATTCGTTACCAGTTGTTCTCGGCCACCTTTGCTTGGATTCAAGGTTTGTTAAAAGTTTTTGGACGTCTAATGTCATCTAGGCCTTTAGTAGTCAATGTTTAGGATTCTCATTTTTTCCATCAAAACGTTGCTCGGATGTGTGCGTGATATTCGATATTCTTATAACCACTAAAAACAAAACTTAATGATATAATTGATACATTATAATATGGGCAGTCAATATTTTGGATTCACAAAACATAGAAACCAGCTACGGCAATTTTATAGTAGGTGGCCATATCAGTGGTTGGAGACTTTTCAATACTTCGGCTTTTTTGAAAACTTATTCCCCCGGTAATAACGCTCATAGATATTTGTCCTGCACACTGTGGTTTTGTACATTTGTAAATTATACTGTTGAATAAGTGGAATATTTGTAATACTACACCCAAATATGAAGTGAAATCTCCAACCTCAAAAAAAAATTGAATTTCACTTTGATTGGTAAACCCTGGTCTAGAACTTTGTTCGGGTTGAAGGGTCGAAACCTTTTGCTACAAATATCTTCTCTAACACACAGGAACTTCAACCTCCGTTCTGCATTCAGCGAGGAGGTTCAGAGGATCGTCTGCCTACGGCGTCTACTTGTCTTAATTTGCTGAAACTTCCGGAATATCACGACTCGGAAACTTTGAAATCAAAGTTAATTTATTGTTTGCAAAGTGGAACAGGATTCGAACTGTCTTAGACTTCTGTTCAACCAGTGAAGCAATTGCTGTAACAGCTACAGGATAGATTTGCAACTTGGGACTTTTTAAAGTTTCGTCATTTCACACTTCTTTATTATATTTGACCTAGACTAATTTAAGCTTAAAAAATATGTATGAAATGTGCTGCAGTGTGAACTATATTTCCAATCATAAATATTCCTAAATTGCAAAATGGAGTTCCCTACAAAATGGATTGACTCTGCCTGAGAAGAGGATAACTGCAAATTTGGTTAATACATTTTATTACCTTGTAACCAAAGTACAAAAATTACGATTATAAACCTCATGAACACGCCGAATAGTTGAACTCAATAGTTTACATGTGGAATTGGCGCGGTGCCCCTACATTGTAGTTTCCTTAAAGCCGACCCTGTCGAGAAGTAATTTCAAAACAATCTCATCTCTGGCTTCCTAGTTGAGCGGAAATGTGAACTTTTGGATTTATCCTTGACGCTGAAATGTCAGCATATTCCACCTTTGTTAGTTCAGCTTTTTATCTCGTGATTATATATTTGGTATTGTTTAAATTATATGAATGAAATGTAAATTTCTTCGTTTGTTTTGTGGGATCAAATCCGGAAACACCTTCACCTTTCAATATTTTTATATTTCGTAAAAGTTTTTTTTTGTTTTGACCTTTGAGTCACCCAACTTTTTTGTGGTCAGTTTAGTCCAGTGATCCAGAATCCTTTCCCCATTCGATACTCAAGGATTGGGCAGTGTCTCATAAATGTTGTATCCCACTTGTCCACTGTTCTGAGTTTAGATATCGTTGTGACGCAAATGATTGAAAGTAAGAACGTGGAGTGCGATTTGTTGGGTTAATTGAAAAAAGATATATTGCGTCCGGTTGCGTTCCTCTCTCTCTAACATGAATGTACCGGGTGGCAATGATGTTTTTTCGATACGATTGTGTGAATCAACAAATGTTCCGGGCTTATTTTGAAGGACCCCTGGAATGTCTGTTCAAGGTCAAGCTGCCGTGAACCCCCGAATAGTCATCGTTTTTCATTACTTGTCAACATCCATCTTCAAGTTTGCTAAAATGGCAGAGATGGATGAGCAGATCAGTCGATGAAAATAACAGCTAGTCACGAATGCCTTGCTAATCCCATTGTGCCAATACAATGATTTGCCAGCATGGAAGGCAGTGCCACGCATCCCGCGTTTATGGACATGAGAAGTACATTGTTTTGCTAAATTGTTAGGGTTGTTGCTAAAACAAAATCACTTCAATTCGTAACTAATAAACCAATCAACTCACAATTTTCAGTTACAAACGATGGATGAGGCCCCCGATATTTCACCCAACATGTGGCTACTTTATTCTAATACTTGGGAACATTTTTACATGTCATTCAAATTTTTCTTCCGTATATTTGGGTGTTGCTATTTTGCTTGTGTTAATCGTTTACTGATAACAATTGAAGAGAGAATAAAGACGAGACTTCATTATATGAAAAGGCTATCTTATCCACTTTCCCTTCTCTGGTATAAATCAGATAAGTTGCGTTCATATCAGCTAATTTACGTGACCCCTCTCGATTGGCGTGAGCTCGCTTAAATTCTTTTGTATCGGTTGATACGCTTGAATGCATTTGACCAATCATTTGCGATTAAGTTGTCGGGGACTCGTATGACAAAGTGGCCCATTTATGACATAATAATACGTTTGATTAAGATTGATTCTGACTTCACAAAGTAAAAGAGATGCTCTTTTAAGCTAAAACAAACAACAAAATAGTTCAGAATTTTTCTTACGTGAAAGTGACGTCACGACAATGGCAAGAAATTCTGTACATCATTATTGTTACCGATCGGAATCCGCTTGCACATGACGTGAATTATATTTCGACGCAGAAAAGCTTCATTCATTATCCTTTCTAGGCTAGGACAAGGTCATCTTGTAAAGATGAAACTGGTAGGTTCGCGGCCGCTAACCTGTTCTTGGATAGGATTTACATATTTATTGTGGGAGAAAGGAAAGCCAGTAGAACTACTTAACGATCCACGGCCTCTTGCCCTGTTGGTTACCAGTCCATGTCAAGTTAGATTTGAATGTGGTGATCATCAGCAAACCTAATCTTGTTTTTAGAGCGATAAATTCGGTTCGGAAATTAGAAAACATATTATTAGTGATTTCAATACAAAAAAGAACCAGTCCTATATATTGAGTTCAATCACTGGTTGGGGCTAATCTTTGCGAGGAATTTTTCAGAGACTCAGAAGTTTCAAACATATATATGTCATGTAGCTAAGTAAGATATTTTAAACTTCGCCATGGTAAGGCAAAACAAGACATACACGCAGAATGGAGTTCAGAAAAGTTACAAAAACTTCAAATCAGGTTTGAAACCTGAGAAGTACTTTATGGAAAATCTTGCATTGGGGCACGGAATATGAGTAAATAACTTGAGCGAGCTCAGTTAAAATAGCATTCGATGAAGTTTGGTAATGATAGATATAAAGCATAGAAGATCACGACGAAACACTGTCGCACAAAATTTCTTCTCGTAAAAACAAACTGTGGTTAACTTATTTGACAGTGCCTGGAGTCGTACGAGATTTGTTTTCGCTGTAAACTTTTTTTAGTGATATAATGTTTAAATTTATTTCCCATTTTAATTATTGTTAGACACAGTAATCATTTATGTTTTTCTTCTTCATACAAAGTTTATTTTCAGTATGGTGGGAAAATAAAATACCGATTACTAATCCGACTGAGAAAGTAATTAGCATCAAAGTGGCAGAATTTGCTGTTTCAGTCGATATTCCATTCTCTTCTTCAATTCAGTTGCTTCTTTGGCGGATTGCAGCGGTCTCATACGTTGCAATTTCATTGACAATCCCAAACAGGCAGTGTTGCATTCAGTGCAATATCAACAAGAATAGTTCTAAAAATATGTTGATAAGTGTTCTAGAAGAAAGGTAAAACATATCGTGCCGTACGTATATCACAAATCACCAGCACCACGATGTGCTTTGTACTTTGTACACGATTGTTGTTTTTTAATCAGTAATTATTCAAATATTTTTACTTCATATAATATATACATCTGGAGGGCCAAAACAATATATGGTATTAATAACTTCTCTTCGCAATTTTAAAAAATTGCAAGACTTCATGGACGCTATTTTTGCTGGTATTTAGCGAGCGATGCATCGGGGGTGATTTTAGTGGCTTTCTGTATTATGAAAATTTATACCAGCGGAATCAACAAGTTTTAGAATCGATAACTAACGTCTGTGCAGCTTTGCAAACATTACAATCAAATACGAAAGTATAGCCAGCTTATCACTGGAATTTCACCGGAAATATCTGAAAGCGTAAAGTCAATATTTGATGGATTGTTGTGTTATCAGCGATAGCCAGATCTTCGTGTTGGTCAAAATTAGAAAAGAAGAAATTTTGTTGAACTGTTTAATAGCAGTTCGTAATTGTAGGAGATGTTGGTACGAATTTTTAGAATGGATAGGACAGAATTTTCAAGTTGCTCACGTAGGAAGCGGAAAATTATAAGAATCTTTATCATATGCTGGAAATTTTTTTTTTTCAGTATAATACCACAACATCCTACATGGGGATATTGAGCTAATTCGATCTAAAAAAAATCTATGTTCATTTTCATGAAGTTTGCCAGAAGAAAGTCTCGAACCGCCAATAAAAAGTGAAAATAATATTTATATATTGATCCTGAGATCTTAGCTGAGAGTAGAAAAATACTGATAGAGGAGTTGCAAAGGTGAGGTTAAGGTAAAATCGGGTTCGAATTAACCAGGCTCAATAAACTTGGTCTCGAGTTTATCAAAGATTAAATTATTTTTAGAAACTTCAGTCATTTCTAAATCTGTCCTGAATACTGTGAAAAACATCGTTGGCAATCATGTATTTCCGAGTAAATGCAAGTGCCTGCGTTGCTTAAGTTTGGGCCGAGATAGATCGTCTACTACAAGCGCGATAAAGCCCATAATTCTCACGCTTCGTAATCGGAAGTATTCGGTGACACGCGCCAAAATTATAGCGGTGTTTGGCAGGAAGCCGAGTCACTGGTCAGGGCATCCCTACACTATGTCAGCGTTTTTGCGGTATGGGAGGAATTCCGTCTCTAGGAAGATTTTTTTTGTTTTTTAGGGAAAAGGATTTTACTTTATATTAGGTATAGTATGATATTCATGCACGCATTGTAAACTATTCAGGCAAGTGCGAGTTGCGCGTGTCACATTCTAATTTAGATTGGAAAATAGACACATAGTATTAAGACATGGTGAGGGGGAATAAAGTGTTTTAAAAATAGTAAAGCGGAAAATTGATCGAAATTTGTATGTAGCAATAAAATATGAGATTTACGCATGGAAGCTATAGATCAGTGCAATAAGCTTGTGATGAATATTAGCTTGTTTTGTGTGGACTTTTATTTTGTATCCAGGGATTGGTTAATCAAGCGTATATATGGAGTAGCATTGCGGAATGTTAAACTTATCTTCCTGGTTATATGAGTGAAAATTGTATATAATTAATTTTAGCATTTTTGGAAGCAAAGACAGTCAATATCACAATTATAGAACCAGAGATGAGGAGGATAATATAACAGTTAGTATAATAATACGAAATTCAGAAATCGACTCTAGTTTCAAATTTTCTATGAATTGTTCCGACTATTGGAATACACAAGTTGAGTTTTGTTAGATCTTACCTTCTAACCATGAATACCTGGAATCGATTTTTTGTAATGTTGAGTTGAGAGTCAGTATTATTAATACGTGAAAGTCAGTTGGCTATGCAGAACAAAGCATACAATTGAATTCTATGTGATTCAAGAGTCGGTACTTCCGAAGTATGTGTACCGGGTTAGGGTTAGGCCATAATTTTATTTCGATTTTCCTTATTTTAGTGCTATTTGGAGTTCGGGGACTCTCTGTGTTAGCCAAGTGAATATACCCCCTGTCCATAGGCATCAGTCCCTTTACACAATTTGATGTAAAATAGGCGAATAAATTTAGTTACCTCCATATTGGTACACATACTTCTGGAGCTCCCAAGCTGCACACAAACACTGTGACGGCGAAAATTACAGAAATAACTTTGTGCAGCAAGACTCTTGAATCACGTAGAATAATTATCTTCGCTCTTGTACAGCACTCTTGCATTATAGACCTACGCATACGAATCCACCAGCACAAAAGTACAGAAGTAGTTGGTTTAACGGTATGCGGTTCAATGTGGGGTTTATGACGGTTGCATGCAATGAATCGTGAGAAATGCAAAAGTGTGGCCGATTCATTAAATTTATTTCATTGATATACTTTGAAAGAGTGGAAGAGCATACTAATCCACGCCGCATTGAACGTATTCCCAATCCACGTTTCCGCTCATTACATCATGTTAGAAAGCTTTGCTATCTGATGACTAGCGGATTATATTTGGGCCACTGATGTAGGGCACTATTACCAAAACGCAGCAAAATCAAATGGAATTTGAGCAATTGCCCTAAGCTGTTTGATAAAAAGCGTAATCAGATCACGCATGGATCCTCAACTATGAATGGAAGGAGTATTGCCATACGCTTGAAAAAGACCTCTAGCATTCCAGTCAAAGCAAAGAGTTGAGCCTTTAACTGAAATTGGAAAGAAAACTGATAGTGTTTTAGACAAATGTACTTATGTACAAAAGCTATGCATGTATTTATGTCGTAGCATTCTGGATTTACCCAAAAAAACAGTGAATTTACTAATTTTCAAATTTAAGGCAAACACATGAAAAAGCATTAACCATTTGACCGATGGTGTCTATTGAAAGTATTCATCAAATGCAGTGTACAAAATGAGCAAATTGATGGCATTTCTAGGTGATTACAGATTTACTAATTAAATGATTGATTGTGCACAGTCATGCGGTTTCACGGATTTTGATCGAACGCACGCGACCTTTCCTAAGTGAAGATGAAAAAACACATCAGTTATCGCGGCGGGGAAAATAATGTGGTACAATGGGTATCTGTGCCCAAAAGATTTTGGTTTATATTTAACATAGAACTGTTAGCAAATAATATAGAATATTTTGGATTATGCGAATTAGATAAGATGAAATTACGAGGTTTCTAGTTTAATATTTCATATTAATCGAAATATAGAACCATAGCAGACAGATTTTACTGACATTGGCCACCGGATCGGTGTCTTGTTTTCAAATTGCTCTAAGTGGGAATTACAGACCTTTCAGAAATGCCAGAGCCGTAGTTCCTTATTCAAACTAACCTCCCGCAAGTGACAGTTGTCGAACAATTCGAATTGTCCTGCATTGTGAAGGATTTCTCGAACTTATAGTTTGTCCGTTTCCACGGTGTCACCAATAGTTGATGCTCACATATAGTGTATGAGAAAGTTTTGTCAGCTGAGCAGGTCCTTCACCTAAGAGCTTTTCTGAGGAGCAAGGTTTCCAGGTGCCGGATAACGAAATTAATGTTAAAGATGGACTGAGCGCAAAAGTGAAAACAAATGTCTAATAGTATATATAATTTACAGCCAAACATTCAAAATTATTTAGTAGCATAAGATGTAGTTTATCTTGCTCAAGCTCTAAAAAACTACTTAAAGATTACGGGGGCCCTTCCAAGAGTGCAGGAGACTCCTATGAAAACAAAGTTATGGGTCAGTGGCGTGCAGGGGCGTAGCCAGAAATTTTCCAAGGGGGGGGTTTCTGAAATTTTTATTTGGCAATGTAGATCAGAGCAGCTAGCGAGTCCGAACGCTGGAATACGCGTGTTTTTATTAGTCTTGTGGGTCTAAAAAGCATTTCAAGTTACGGAAAATTGCCATCTATGATACAGAATTTTTATTTTACATTTCAAAAAAGGGGGGGGGGGGGGGTCGACCCGCGAAACCACCCCCTGGCTACGCCACTGGCGTGTCCTGGTTGTGTGTCGTTTTGGGGGAAATGTGAGAAATACATTTTCCTGTATCATACGTAGCAATTTTCGTAGCTTGGAACGCTTTTAGGCCTTCAGTCCTCCACATTTCCTCAACCTGTTAGGCGTTACAGTCCAATATATTTTATTTTCAACTCTGTTACAGGACATATGACATAATGAATAGGATTAAGCTGACAACTGCTGTTGTTCTTTTACTTTACGTCGTCAACATTGAGAGTCAAAGTGCAGGAAACTGTGAGTATTTGATTCAAATAATTCGCTGCAGTTCAGACATGTAGTGTAATAGTTCTGCTCCTAATCGTTACAATTTTTTTTCTCTGAGGGCCCGGCGTAGTTAGGATTGGCATATATTTTATTTCCATTGTAATCTTACAATCAAGATTATACTCCCAGATCTTTGTGTATGTTGTGCCACGTAGATTACGATACTTCCCGGGTTATAATAAATTGAGTCGGCAATGCGGAATCGGAAAGAGACCGTTTTTTATTCAAAAATAGTAGCCGATTCGATTTTTTAAAAGTCGCGCCCCTTTTTAGAAGTCTCGCACCCCAACTCAAAAAATAACTAACTAACAATCGACTACAAATAACAGATAGTATGGCAAAAGTATGTTTTATTCAATAACCCCTTAGAAAATAAGTGAATGGAACGTAAATATTCAAAATGAAGAAATGTAAATATCCACAACAAGGCGGGCAAGATCAATTCTAGCAAATATTTTCATTTTTAATTAACTTCACGCTCTCTCAAAATTGTCTACGCCACCTTTGTGGGACTCACCCCATCGTGTGAGAACCACTGCTGTAAAGCCTTGTTCAGGGTTAAGCATGGAATTCTCTTACAATAGAATCATTCCTTTATAACCCACAGACGCCACTTTGAAGAACCTCGGTTGTTGGCGGGATCACCGATCAAAGATCATCAAGAGCCTCGAAGGAAGATCTGATATTTTGAACGCACACTACAAGGCTCGCGGTGATGCAATACAGAAATGCGCAAGGGCCGCTCTGTCTAAAGGTAAAAATATTCCAATCATTCGAGCCTGACGAGGTCAAAGTTTATTGTTTTGAACCTTGCAAATACGGAAGGGATCACTGGAATATAAAACAGCAATCAGTCGAGATTTACCCGACTTGGTATTACTGTATGCGAATATGAAACTTTTTTCCTGATGTTAGCGTGTAAAATCCATCGCTTATGATATTGCCAGTGCCTGCTACTACCCAAAGTGAGACAAAAAACCTCCCACCTGCCCCAAATTCTTTATTGATTAATTAATTAATGAAATATGGTAGCTTTTTGCTAACCATATGTACAATCTCTACTACTTCACACATTTTTCATCATGCGTATAGCCTTTAGAACGTGCTTGCGACTACTCCCTTCCATACTATATAATTTCAATTACCAAGGAATAATTTGTTTGCAAGGTGTTTTCCTTGGTATTGCATCGGGTGAGGGTGAAGTATACAAAATTGTTTGTGCAAGGCGACGAATGCTGTAACCAATATTGATAATCATTCTTCAGGATATCGCGTGTTTGTGATACAAGACAGCGGATGGTGCGGTGCATCGTTCGACGCAAAACGGAAATATTTTAAACTCGGCAGATCAACGGGATGCGGAAAAGATGGCGAGGGAGGTTTCAGAGCAAATCAAGTGTACGAGATCGTTTCAACAGTCATAGGTGAGAGAAATAAAAAACAAATGTTGTGTGAGAAATGACCAGATGAAATTGATTAATTATTAATAATTTTATGTCCTTAATTTTTATAATTGATTTTACCATTCATTGTATAATTGTACAAAATATTCCAAATATTCACCCTTTTGGTCCCATTGAAGTAAAAATAGAACATCTACCATAATAGATGAAAATTCAATGAATGTGAGTGAGGTTTCATAAACTGCTTCTCTGCGTCATCCCACCCGATTCGAAACCTTATCTGTAGTACTGTAGTTACCTTTCCTCGCCGCTGAAAAAAACATGTATATAGATAGATGGTAGATATAGATGGAATTATTAAATTGCTGCTAATTGGACAATGGATATCAAATATTTAATAATTAAACAGGGTTAAATCCGCTAAGCAGCCTTTACTCTTTTTTGAGATTGTTTTTGATTCCAACGAGACCCGATATTCTACACAAAATTTTGCTGATTTTTCCAATCCATGTGTGAGACCTGGAATTTCGCTGATGTTGCGATTGTAATTTGACTCCATGTCTATGTAAACATTCGATCGTGAGATCACGCCAATAATGTCGGATTCTCAATCACACTTTTGACAATTCTAATTTTCCAAGTTCGTCAACTCACAATCAATTCTACTTTTTCAGAAAATTCAGGCCGCACCAGCAGTTCCAGAATTGTGCAGCCAGGGTACGTGTTCGGTGACATCAATCGACGACGAGGAACCGGTATCAGCACGGTTAACCGGAGAGAGAAGGCAATGACGTCATCACACGGTTAGGTTTTGTTGCTCTTGGGTTTGACCCTGAAGTACACACGATTGAAGTACTTTTTTCCATCGATTTTTATTCGTTTCTCCTTTCAGGTGCAATGGACATCGTGCCTTCCTTTACCTCATCATAAATTACGCTCGAACTATATGGTTTATATATTTTTTAATTGCGATTTGCGACTAATACCAGTTTCATTTCTCTTACCCTCTCTCCCCCAATATCACTATTTCCTTTAGTTTGGGAAATGGGATATGGTCGCCGATTATACCTAAGACAGTTGTTTCAGTGTCGAAACTTGAATTACCGCACTACCGTAGTAGGACTATGACCATGTAACCATGTAGCCATTCTCGTTTCTTCGATTTAGAAATAGGACAACAATTCGTTTTCAGATTTCATCTTGAATGATTTTGGTTGCTGGGCACTGCCACCCAGCGGAATCGATTCCATGGAAGGAAAACACATCGGTTCACTGGACGGGCACTACAGATACAGAATGATGGCCGTACAAAAATGCGCTAAAGCCGTGGCCAGCATTGGGTGAGACAAATTTATTCTTGCTTCGAAATATTTACCAGCAACGGTATCGTTTTGCGGCAATGCGGACATTTGTTAACAAGGTACCGATTATTCTTTAGCATGGTCTTAGAATACCAGTAAAATTTCAGGTATTTTCACTATGAAAGTGCAATAAATTGTTTTTAGTTAGAAAGAGATGTTTGTTTTACTTAATGAGCAATAAATAAGTATGGGCTCTGTACCAGTGACACCAATATAGTTGGGTACGACGTTTTACGTATTGGAAACGAAATTTCACAATAAAGTTGTACTGTGACTTTAAATTTATCGAGGGTACTACGATATTGCGCACTGAATTATGGGAGTTTACTTCCTATTTTGGATTTGTATGTGCTCGTTGCCAAAAGGATGCTAAAGTGATAAATAAGAATAACATATTCTCTTTCCGTGATCTTTACCTTTGATTATATTGTTTTGTATGGAGAAGTAAGGCTATGAGGTAGGTCTAACGAAAGCTTATAAATATACTTGCTGATGTGTGGAGACAGCCTATGTTATTCCTATTTTTTCATTAATTCTTTGTCTTCTATTCATTCCAGTCTCCAGATATTTGCGCTTCATGATGGCGGGAAATGTCTATCTGTGACCGATGTACAAGCAATTGTTCGTCACAATACCCGGCGGAAAGTCTGCAGTTACACCGGAAAAGGAAGTCGGTCGTCTATTCAGGTCTATGAGATTAGATATTCAAAAACGAGTAAGTCGCCTGATTATTATATGGTGGATTTTTAATTTTAATACTTTTCAGAAAGGAAAAAATGTTTTACAATGCCAAAGTAATTTCTAAGCTCTGGTTAATTAACATTATATCACACTTTGCAATTTACAATTCGAATGGAAAATTGCTGCCACATCGAAGTTTGATTGGAGCATTATCTATTAAAAATTGATTGTTTTATGAAGCAAAATCCGGGTCAATCTTGCATTGATCTTTTTCTGTTAAAAATTGATAATTTTGGGAAGAAGAGTGAGGATCAATCTTGCATTGATCTTTCTCTGTTAAAAATTGATAGTTTCGAGAAAAAAAGTGAGAGTCAATCTTGCATTGATCTTTCTCTGTTAAAAATTGATAGTTTCGAGAAAAAAAGTGAGAGTCAATCTTGCATTGATCTTTCTCTGTTAAAAATTGATAGTTTCGAGAAAAAAAGTGAGAGTCAATCTTGCATTGATATTTCTTTGTTAAAAATCGATAATTTTGGGAAAAAAAAAGTGAGAGTCAATCTTGCATTTTGTAAAGAAAAGTGAGAGTCAATCTTGCATTGATATTTCTTTGTTAAAAATTGATAGTTTTGGGAAGAAGGGTGGGAGTCAACCTTACATGCATCTACCATGACTTACAAGTGTTTCTATTAATTTGATATTATATATTTTCAACATTTCAGGGGAAGCTCCTTCTCCTCTCTCAACAAGCTCAACAACAACCACTACCCCACTGCCAACATACACAATCCCATACAGGCGGGTCACCCGCACATTCGTCGCCCCCACAATTACAGAGTGGTACAGACCAACTATATCAACCAGGTGAACATACATTTCAATTGAAAAATAAAACTGAAATTGAATACCTTATAACAGTAATGAAAACGAGAATTGATTTGTTGATAAAATTTTGCGCAATGATTTCAAACTTTCAGATAAGTTATTTAATTCCGTTGTAAGACGAATTTTGCAATTCTCTGTAAATATTGCACAGGTAACCATTCATATGAAAGCATTCAATGCTTATTATTTACGTCTTCCGCTTTGAACAAGGCCCTATAGCATATACAATTACCCACCGATATCTAAGAATATGTAAAGAACTACTGTTTTATTTATTACTTCACGGTTATTAAATCTAGGTGTTAGGCCTGGGTTTTCGAACAAGCCAAAACAAAACTTCAATTCTTTGAAATATGATCGCTACACAGTTACTCCCAACGTGTTGCTATAGCTCACACTTTCAAGTTGTAACGACTTGATTCATTTCCAGGCGCACAATCCTGCCAATCCCAACACCTCGTCCTACATCAAGATATATCAGATACACTACACCTCCGAGCCGGACTCTGGCTTGGGCATCGAGGACTCGCACAATAGCAGAGAAGACAAAAGGTTTGGAAATACTAACATTTCCTAGCATTATTATGTTGTTTCAAAACAAGAAGTGAGTGCAGTCATATAGCATTTATAAACTTTTATAATTCGAACATAACCAATTGTGAAAAGTCTTCAAAGTCCAATTTTTTTCATTGAATAATGTAACAATTTCTCCCCAAACATCGGACGAGTGGTCGCTCATATGCACATAGTTACTTTTTAGGAGCTAGAATCGTTACAATTTAGTATTCAATTCATTACAACCAAAATCAAATTTTCCATATAGTTGACATGGTCCAGTGAGCGTACTACTTACTACTAAGCTATGGCTCCCACCTACACGTTTTTGAAGAACTTGGTTCCTCTCATAATATTAATTCACTCACAACCAGGGTCGTAGCCAGAAGTTTTCAAAGAAGGGTTGTTCTGAATTTTTTTTTTTGACAAGTTAGATCGAAGCTGCTAGCGGGCCCGATCGAACGCTAGAATAGGCGTGTTTTTAGTAGTCTTGGGGTCTAAAAAGCATTTCAAGCTACGGAAAGTTACCATCTATGATACAGAAAAAGGATTTTATTTTTTTTACATTTCAAAAGGGGGGGGGGGGAGGGGTTTCGACCCGCAAAACCACCCCCCTGGCTACGCCACTGCCCACAACTTGTATTTGTTCGCACAATATATTCATGACGTCCACTGATACGTTTGGCATACTCACTAAGTTTTCTTAATAATATTTCACCTACTCACTAATTCTTATACTTTTGCAGAATATCTTCACATGACCGACCTGGGATGTTGGATTTACGCCTGGAATGACAGCATTCCAACGTTAGAAGGGAGCTCATCTGTGTTGGACGGACATTATAGCCAGAGATCTAATGCGGTGGAAAAGTGTGCGAAGGTTGCGATGAGACAAGGGTGGGTTGCAAAAAGAACTTTTGAAATAAATAGTGACATGTGACAAGTATAAACGATTTACCAACACTTGATGGGTAATGCGACTTTTGCTTCCTCTAAATATGATAAGATTTACATAGTCATCCCGAGGGAGAAGAAATTCGATAAGACGGCTTAATTATATGGCGAACCACGGCCTCTCGTCCGGTTACCAGTCCATGTCGGATATGACATTAGTTAGCAAATTTTTTGTTTTCAAATGCATGGACAACCGACCAGCGGTTATGAGAAGGTTGTCGACCTCTGTTGTAGTAGACTTTGATTTACACTAGCTGGCAGTCCGTATTTGTTGTTATTGCAGTTTGAATTTTTCAGGTACGACATTTTTGCAATCCAAGATGGCGGAAGGTGTGTATCGTCAAGAGATGCACGGCGAAGGTTTGCAAAACTGGGACAATCTGAACATTGCAGGAGTGATGGCAAAGGCGGATCCTGGGTGAATCAAGTTTATGAAGCGGGAATCGTTTGGGAGGGTGAGTTATATTTATTTGGGCTTTGATCATAGGGTGGATCTTAGACGGTGCATATGCATCATTTGACAGAACCGGTCACTGCAAGCAACTTCAATTGACGCGTCCTAAGTGATTAATGTGGCTTTCCATGATGACATAAAATGATATAAATCACAGAAGACCTTGGTCTAAGTTGGCCCCTATTGAATAAGTGTAATAATTAACCTCGCACTTAATATATGACTTTTGCATTTGTACAAAATTTGATCATATTCTCGTGCATTTTTTAACTAAACCCTCCGACTTGTTTCTCAGTCAAAATCAGTGGACTTGGGTGTTTTTCTTCAGTGAATACGATATCGTCGCTAGAAGGCACTATAGCAATACTTGACGGGCCGTATTATCTCCGGAAAGATTCGATCAGAAAATGCGCTCAAGTAGCTGCTATGAGGTGAGGAAATATATTCTACATATCGAGTTTTTGAGTTTCTTTTTTAATAAAGATATTTTCAAACTTTCAAATTAATTAACCAGATCTGTGGACCCGTGAAAAATCGATATGCAAATCCCACGTCCCAAAACTTTGAACTGCTGTTTGACAAAATTTTGACTCCGGCTCCTGATTGTATACCCCAGTCCCGGAGGAAAGCAAAATTAGACGCAAAACATTGGCGCACGCGAGCTTTCTCTCGTCGCCACTTGGTCAACTTGATGCTTCCTTTCCGTCCGAAATATTGACTCATGATTATTATCTATATAATCTGAAATTCCCTACTGGTAATGTTGACTCCACGATTCTAATGCAACACTAGACTAAACTGGATTGGTAACCATACTCCCATTTATATGCTTATGGTTTATGCAATCTTTTCGGTTTTCGTTGCATTTAGAATAAAAATGGAGGGTTTTATTTTGAACAAACTTCGAACTCCGAACCATACAATTGATGGTAACCGCGAAGCAGAAGTATGACTTATGGTACAGTACTGTGCCATGATGAGCTCATATACGGCATATACGCAAGGGTCGGGAGCCTAGAGCCCTAGATGACCTTCATGAGTCTAGCACACTGACCCAAACAAAACAATTATCAATTGTTAAAATATTTTCTTTATTAGATGATGTTTATAATAGTGTAGACTGTGTTTTTGTGTTAATAAATCTCTCCCTATGTCTCTTCGCATATTCGGAGATGAAAAAAAGTTTCAGTTTTCGTGATTGCTTGACAGTAATCTTCTTTGACAGAGGCTTCCCAGCGTTTGCACTTCAAGATGGTGGGAAATGCATGGGTAGCGAGAAGGCGCATACTGTCTACTCAACAGGCGGTGTTTCAAACTCATGTTCTAGGGATGGAAAAGGTGGATTTGCCGAGAATGAAGTTTATGAGATTATTTCTAACTCAAAGAGTGAGTACAGTAGAATTGTGTATACAAGTGTAGTTTCACTCCGAACAAGGCTTTGGGTACGTGTACGCCACTGATGAATAGAGAGTTAGTTACAGTAAAATAATTTTCAAAATATATTTTACGCATCCTCGCCAAAGCATTACCTAATCGGAACGATTTAGGACTTTCAAATTTAGGTAATTCTTGCATATCAATGCTGATTTTAGAGATCTCTGTTTGAAGTCCAACGCTGCACAAAGTACATCTCTTATCACACATCAATACAATACACGCGTAATATGCCACTGTCTACCATATACCTTGAGATGAATCTCTGATATTTGGTTACTTTCATCCACCTCCCTTGATTATCTGTAACTTTATTTAAGTGTATTAAACAAGGCTTGAAACTTCCTATTTTCTGAACTTTGCTATTTTCTAGCTTACTCACTGCTATAGACTTTCAGCAAAGCTGGATAAATGATTGAATCAAAAATAACCAAAAAATTCTTTTCAGTAAAACTTCGAAATCTTGGATGCTGGAAAGACGAGGCGCCGTGGGCGATACCGGGGATGGAACAAACAGATGCAGATTTGATGGATAATTTCAAATCAAGGTGAGATGCGATGTATTGTAAAGATTCAATAAAAATAAAAACTTTCGTCTTCATGGTTGCTCAATAAGTCTTCAACTGATAAAGCCAATCAGAAGGCAATCGAAGAGTTAGTCCTTCCCTAGCCGTTGATGCAGAGAGAAAATTACTTACAAAAATAGCTAAAACGATAGAATGAAATTCAAAAATTAGGGGAAAAGTTAATTTAAAATAAAAACGATGGAATAAACTGAGCTTGAAAAAACAATAAGGCTGAGGTTATAAAGAGTTGATTTCAGAATAACTATTGCAAACGTTGTAATCCGACTATTTCAGGAAAGACGCCATAAGCAAATGTGCAAGGGTAGCGAAGCGCAATGGATTCAAAGTGTTTGTGATACAGAGCGGTGGATGGTGCGGTGGGAGTCGTACGGCCAACACGAATTATTCAAAGTACGGCAAATCGGATCTTTGCAAAGCAGATGGCCGAGGAGGACTTGGAGCAAATCAAGTCTACGAGATTGTAAATTGAACTGCAATGCACTGTAATATCTTGCAGTGAACTGACTTAATATAAATCGAAGGTTTTTAGATACGAAGTGAACTTATGGACCGTTTTGTTCTTGTAGTTTTTGTTGTTGTAAAAATTGCATTTTCCATAGCTAATGAACCTATCACCGGAGACAACATGCGGAAAAATTTGCTAGAAGACCTCTACTTTCATTTCTTCACCCGAAATTTGGCTTGTTTTGTGTATAGTGCGCCACCAGGCTTCCGCCAGGCTAGTCCGCCATTTTTTCATCAAGCCCGGGGCTCGGATCAGGACTATCCAGTATCGATCGCTACACTTATTGAAAGAACAACCAGCTATTTGTTTCCATATATTTGCCTATAGCTCCTGTTTAGTTAAATACTGAGTTCTTCAAATCGTTCAATCTCTATTTCTTTTCTATAATTATCTTTTAAATATATATTGAGCAAATATTTTTGATTTTTTACATGTGAATAAATTCAGCATTTTAATTTTTGTTTGCGAGAAACAATTACGCATTTAGGATGATTTGAACGGCATGTTAAATTGACTCAAATCAGCCAAAAATTATTTAATTGATTTCAAAATCGGGAGCGTAGCCAGGAATTGCCAAGCTAAACCGTAACAGCTAGCGGGTCCGGTAAACGCGGGTTTCAGGAATCTGTGGGCTCTAAAAAGCGTTTTAAGCCTCAAGGAATTTCTATGTATCATTAAGAAAAAGTGTCTCTGTTTATATTCAGAAGTCGAGGTTCCGTCCCGCATCAGTTCGGAAGGCGTGGGAAAATAAGACTCCACTTTCACACCGAATACCGGAAGTTTTAACCTTCCCAATATGAAGTAGGTTCTTACACATCAAGGCTGCTTGTACAGAGCCTTACTCGGAGGGAAAGACGAAAATAAGCGTCGTGTGAAAAGATGAGTCGATGACAGCTGCGTTTGGAAGATTAGTTCATTTACGTTCTATCATGCAAGATACATTCGTAACTTGAAAAATATTTTAGGATTACTATATTTTCTGCTTGAACAAATGTGGGCCATTGAAGAAAAATATCAGCTAGTCAGCGCAATCAATGAAGTTCCATGGACTCGGTGAGCGGGAAACAGTAGATTTTGTTTGTGATATTTCACCCATGCTAGCAAATTTGAAGGGCTGCCACGGAATTCCACTTTTTGCGAAATCAAGGAACATTTTCCGCGAATCAGAAGATTCATTTTTCTAAATCGGTCAGATTGGCAAAATATTCGCTAGTCGATTTGTAAATTTTGATGGAATAAACACCCGAAATAACGACATTTATGCCAAAGTGATTAACCTTAAAATTCTATACATTTTACGCTTTTTACATCAATACTATACCAAACGCTGGATACAATATCCATGGATTATTTCGACTTTGTTGATTTTACCGATTGACCAAATGATGAATTATGACATAACACACGAATCATTGTTTGCGTTTGTGACGTTGTTACAATGGGAATAATTGTGTTGTCATAGGCATATTTTAGTTACAAACGATAGTGTCGATGGAAGCGTAATAGAGGTTACCAGTCAGCGGTTAGTAAGTCCGTGCGACATAACCACGGAGAGTTCGTAGCGATGGGGCTTATAATTAGTAATTCAGAGTATTTAGGCCTGTTAACGCTTATTTAGTCAACATTTTGAATAGGACTTCAGTTTGCCAGTTCGATAGGATTGTTTGTTCAAAAGGTGTTCTACACTGCTACAAACAAATCTCTGTACTAACGGTATCTCTTATTTGATGAGAAGGATTAGGTTATCTAATAATATATCATGAGTTTACTTTTTGCGGTATGCGCCAAGTTTCGTATCGGGCCCTGTAGGACCCTTCTAATGGGAGTTTTAGGCCTCTCGCGACTTTGTTGTCTGTAAAAACTAAAAAAATTTGAAATACTTTGGCCACAGTCGCATAGGAGAAATCTCAAACAAGAATAGGGCATATCTGTATCACACTTTCATAAATTTGTAGCTTTTCTTCGAATGGACGTTATAATCGGTACAGTAAAAATATTGTGGAAGTCCAAGGCAATGAAGCACTCGCTACCACCGGTTCGTTGCAGTCAGTATAAACGAATCTACTAAGGCAGATGGAAAGGAGCAGTAGTTATACGTTTCGTCTGACCAAGGTCAGACTTTGTGATAGTGTGCAGCAAGACACTTGAATCACATGGGATTGTTATCTTTACTCTTACTAAGGTCATGCATTATATGCATACGGATCCACCGGCACAGAGCATAGAAGAAGGACAAGTAGTTAGTCCAAACCATTTTTTGGTGTTTTTAAAATACATAACTGCGCAAAAGCCAGGTGGCTTGCGCGTAACCCTAGCTAAAAATTAAACAAACAAATGACAAAAGTAGTGACGGAGGAATCTATAGTCCAAAATAAGGGAGGACTTATTGAAAAAGGTTGGAAATCACTCCACTATCACGGCCGGAAGAAGCAACTCGTAGTTATGTGTACGTTACATCAATCAATCTAACTTCATGGCAGGCCGACAATTTTTGTTGAATTCCAGCGGGACGCTTAGATATTGTTTATTTTGAATTAGTTCGTAACGTAAGTGTTATTGTTTATTTCGTTTTTGGCCCAGATAAGAGCACTTTATGGAATTATCATTCAAAGATGTTAGGAAAGTAAAGTAAAATAAACTGAAATTTCAAGGTAGGTGACTCAAATGTTAAGGTGGAAAAATTAATAATTGTGTTTGTTAATGCTTGACGCGTATTACACGTTTAAGGCATGCCACCGCTCAGAAAATATTTTAGAATTTTATCTGAACTGGGGTAATTATACTGCGTTTTTGTAATAGTACTCCAAGTTTTCATTAAAAAGCGCTTAATAACAACACCAACGTGCATTTCCCCAATATTGACAACGTTGCTAAGCAACTTTCTCATCCGAAAAATGTTCTCAGGGTTTTACATGATCAAACATTAAGTATTGTAATTGTGCTGCTTCTGGGCAGGCTCCGTTAGCGAAGCTTTTTCGGCGGAAGGATAATCCGCCATTACCACAGCGTGGAGACAGGAGTGATTGCCAAGGTATATAAATCTAGATCCGCTATTTCAATAATTTTAGGCGGAGTGGAGTAGATTTTTATCGCTTCTATCCGAGATGCCATAGGAATGTCCATAAATATAGAACAAACCAAAACTGTTGTATAAAGAAGGTATTTGTGTTATTTGCCAGGTTCACAAAAAAGCATCAACTTTACTTAGATTAGTATAAAGGTTTTGAAAGTAGTTGAAATTAGTATAAAGGTTTGTATGGGGTGTAATGAATTTAAACCGAAAGCAGTACGGTTAGGACATAGATTCAATGGTGGGATTCAGCCGGTTCGCACCGGTTCTATATACCCGTCTCACGGAATTTATGAGATCAGCGAACCGGTTAGCATTACTGGTTACTGTCAATGACTTTTTATAACAGAAACGGCTGAAAAATATGACTTTTGTGGTGGAAACGAATGCCACCACTGCATAGATTGACAGTGAAAGCTTGTCTGGAGCTTTGAAAATAAATATAGCTTTTTGTACTTCTTAAAATCCATTCGTTAGGCGCGTAAGATTTCTTGAAAGGTTAAAGGTCATTTCTGGTCTAAGCCACAACGAGTAGTTTTCACAACGTTCGACCCCAGTAGAAGAGATTATTCGCGGGGTAAATTGTTGTAATTTTTCAAAATTCAGTCCGATGTTCGACAAAAGCTGTATTTTATTACGTGGGAACAAGATTTAGCGAGAAACTACAAAACGTTACAATTTATTGCAGTGTTAATGTATCATTTTGGGCAAACAAGTAAATAGTCCAAATGTTCACTGAAGCGTAACCAACCGTGTATTCTGAGAAAATGATAATTGCAGTTTTACTGGGGAAATGAAGCCGCGGAAAACCAGAGAACCGAGATGCGGCATCCGAGTTTATTTGATTGTTTGTATAGTTTTGATTGAAGTGACTGTTGGCTGTTTTTATTTTATTCTCTTTAATTATTAAATTGTCAAGCAATATGTTTAATAAAAATCGTTACACTATGACCTCGGCCCTGGCTGAATACAGTGAAAACCGTACGAATTAACGAACTAAATCGTTTATTTTTCGAGATTACATTAGGCGAATTATCCAACTGACATCGTTTATTCTTCGAGATTGCATTAAAGAGTCAAAAGAATCCACGACAAATCACCCCAAATGGGACAAGAATTTGCGAATCGTGTACTAGGTGAACAGTGTTTTGTGTAATGAAACAAACGTGTTTATAATGGCGGGATATTATATTTGATCGCTTGTAGAGTTTGAGGAAGTTACTATTGACTGTTTTTATTTGATTTTCATTAATTTATCTATTTATTAAATTGCCAGGAAGCAAGTTCCATATAATAGGACTTTGAATGACCTTGGCCTTAACTAAATACACCCAACATCGTTGAATTGTGTCGTAACACTTATGCGATTCTGTCATAACAATGTCTCTAATTTTGTGAAGAACACTTTCACTCGCAATAATTGCTTGAAGGGCGCGATACTTCAGACATGAGTGTTTTTCTAAAGTATTTCGAAAAAGAAAATGGTGCAGAACTTTCGATGGTAGATTTGAGTCAAAACCATATATTATCTTGTAGTTAGAAAATGTTTGTACTCGAATATATAACAAGGTTTTAAATTGCGAGATAATTATTTCGCCAAAATCCTATTTAACTAGAAAGAATTTTACAGAATAGTAATAGAATTAGTAATTTGTTTGATTGCATTTATTTGCAAACTCCTTTGTAGGAAATTATTACTTTTGCTTAATTTTCAGCTACTTATACTATCTCTTGATTGCATTCATTGTCTGCATATATCCTTGCTTTAGAGCGAGTTACTTCGCTATTCAACGGTGGCGACTCGTATCATTTGTTGAAGCAAACCATCATAACATTCAAATAAAATGAAGGTTTTGATTAGAATCAGGCGTTTTTACATTCTTGCGGCAATGTATTAGCCCACTGTATCAAACAAATTCGTTCTAAAAGTCGATTCCGAGTAAAATGAACGAAATTTTTAACAGTAGCGACAATTTTTACTCCGATAACAGATGTCTACTTGAGCACAGAACAGTCCACTTAAGCGTCATCGAGGATCGCTGAGGAGATTTTTGTTGAATTTGCCGAAGCTCTCAGAACAGGGTTCGTTGTATTCAGGAACTGACGAATAAACTAGTTTAACATGGAATGTATATTTTATAGATTTGAGAATAGTGTTAAAGGTATTTTTCCTACTTTGTCAACTTTTTCAGGAGAGTTCACCCAAAGCAAGGTCATGAAAAATCAACTCAAAAGTAAAAGTTATACATGATGGTCCGTTACGCTTCAGTGAACGCGAATTTTGCGAGAGTTCGTTGTATTGACGAACAAACCAGTTAAGCATGGATTTTATACTGCTTAGGCCTAAGATATCTCACTTCGTTAATTTTTTCGCAAATTTTCTCGAGGAAGGTAATGACCCCCTAAAAGTAAAAGAGACTCCGGAGAAAAGTTACCGGGATACCAGTGGAATACCAAGAGTTGCTGAAATGATATATATACTGTATGATGGTGCATCAGGCGCCAGTGAATATCAACAGCCGTGAGAATTATGAAAAAATCTCCATGTTGAATCATTGGGATGTGTTTATAGGTATTCATTCACAGATAGCCGCGTTCTGCCCATGAACATGGCCGTTATAGTAAAACAGACTTGTAGTTAGCGACCCTATTTTTGGGTTCAGTGGAGGGAATTGTTGTTTAATCAAATCGATGGTCCCTCACATTGTTGGCGGGATATAGACAAACCTTCAATATTTTTCTATATTGCATAGATGTATATTCTGACTTCGGCGATTGCATTGTAGTCGGAGACGTGTTCTTGTAAGAAAATGGCGATATTGGAAATATCAGGTCGCTTAAACGTATTTATTTTCCCAATTTTTTTTCAAAATGAAATTCCCAGCTTGTTCACATAATATAATCCAGGTATATACTTCTTCAATGGTGTTGCTACTAAATAACCAGTAATAGTTTATTGCTCCACCCCGAAATACCCTATTTACTACATTCTTAATGTACAATGTGTGTTTCAAGTATGAGGGAAAATAGTTTCCGTTTACTGTATGAAAATTCCCTAGTGTCATGTGTCAGAGAGTTGAAAATTGTTCAACCTTCTCCAGTTTTCATTTTAAATATTTTGTTTTCTTAATAAAACTGGGGAGTTTGTTTAAATTGATAGTTTTTTAAACTTTATGTTGGAATCAGATGTTGGGAGCTTGTTTATTAAATGGTGCAGATTCGGGCGAAACTTTTCACTCGCTGTGCTACCGGCTCGATGCAACTTCAGATACAAACTCGATTTCGTGTTATGTTATTCGAGCCCATATTTGACGTGATGTTTTGCAACGGAGGTAAATTACATATCGAGTAAAACCGATATCGCTGAAGATATTCTCTATTCATTACTAATGATAGGGGGATTAGTTAATAATAAAAGAACCTTGGTATCAGTAAGGTACAGGGGCTCCATTATCACGCTACATTTTATGCGTTCATATATATATATAGAATTATTACTATATATTTATGCTTTTTACTAAAGTGTTTTATTATATTCGTAAACAATATTTAATTTTAAATGAGAATTTGAAATTTTCTGACGTACGATAAAGGTCACCATAGCATTCTTGTCATAATCCCTAGTTCCGGAATTAGCATTATTGTATTTTGATCGGTCATAGTTGAAATGTGTTGGGTACATCTCATCATTCTGAGGTTCAGAACAACAAAATACAAATTATTTTTATGCCTTTTATGATGTTTCCCAATAAGGAGGGTAATAACTATAATTATTTCCTGGAATGCGCTATTTTTCAACCAATATTTGGGTTTGTTTCCATATTGCCATGGTGAGAAATAAAACGCTCATTTCGAAAAAAAAACATTCAAATAAAAAATGGGTCTCGAGCATTATGCTATCAAAAATTGATGTGTTCCGAAGCAGTTGGATCTTTCTTGATGTATTGTAAAGCTGCAATCATCACGCAGTGTGATTCGGTACCCAATTAATGCAAGGCGTTTTTCTATGCTTCCGCGATATTAGACTACTTAGTACACAATATTTATTTGAATACCAAAAATATTTTATGTTTCAACGATCAATTTGAGCAAGTTTAAGTCAAAATTTTGAAATCCGACATCAGCATGAGATAAAAATATGTCAGCCTTTTCAAGATAGTTAAATCCAGAGTGAGATAGTCAGTGACCGCGCTTGTTCTGGTTCTTCTTAAAAGCGAATTTGGTAAATATCTTGTTGAATGGTACATAATGGCTGGGCTTGGGGTAAACGGAAGAATCAATTCTAATCCAATCTGATGCTTTTAGCGATGGATCTTTTTATGTTTGTTTTCGGCACAAAATACATTTCCGTAACCTCTAGGGCTCTCGTGTCCACTCGAAATCACAAAACGGTGATAGTTGAAAAAATGTGGTAAATTCACAGGAAACTCGCGGTAATTCAACAGCATTACTCTGATGGTCTAATATGGGTCGAGCATAGGATGGCGAGACATTTGATGCAATTCAAGCCAAGAACGCGCTTAATTTAAAAGCGAAGGGCTGAAAAAGTCGTAACTACGTTTGAATTACATTGTAATCTTCTAAATTTTTCACAGTAACGCTAAAGTACGTTTTGAGCGAATGGTTTTCATTGAGGCCTGAACGACGCGCTCAAGAGTGTTTCCATATTGTAGTTTAGTCTGGTAAGTGTGAAAATTAGTGAAATTAAGAATTGGAGAATGGTAGTTGTAAACAGCCCTTCCTAGACCGTGTCCTGTGACAAACTGATATGTCTTGTAATAGATTCAGCAAAGCTTAACGTGGTTCGTAACAATTTGTTCGCATTTTTATTTTTATCCAAACCATTATCAAATTCAGTCTGATGCCTACCACCTATATATCCAAGCGCGCTTTTGGTTCGGGCAAAACGCACCATGTGAAAGACAGGGTGCACCGGATAATGATGTTGTAAATGCGGATATTGTGTTTATAAACGGTGTTTCAATTTTCTTCCGCTATCAAGTTGGTGACGAGATTTACGTTCCATAGGACATATGTGTACCAGGAAACTATTAATGCGAGACGACTCAAAACAGAGCAGTAGTTTAGGGGACTCAAGGAGGCATTTACAAACAATTCTAGATTAAAGTATTTGTTAATAAGGGAGCGAATTTAACATTTGTCTGCAAAATTAAAGCTTCGACTCGCGGTTTGAGTGAAATTCTACTAAATAAAAAGAGGTGTGAAGATTCGTTTCATTTAAAATAAGAATTATTTGCAAAACAAAGTACAAGAAACTTGAATATATAGACACGAAAATCAAATGTCCGAAAAAAAATGGGTGTAAAAGTGTTGTAATGAACTAACACAGCAAAACAACTAACACCAACGAGAATAATTTAGCAAACAGTCCACAACTTCACTTTTTGTACGAATACGAATTATTGTTCTAATCCGAGCGATACTTTATTTATTCACGTATACAGTGTTGATGAATAATCGCGCCCATGTTGAATAGCATTGTCAATATTGAATTAGAAAGTGTTTTTCAAAGTCAAATATGAAGGCAATCTGTTTCTAAGTAGCAGACATACATTGTGGGACCAGTAAACCTGGCATGAAAACTTGATCCGCTGAAAATCTACCTTTGAAATTTTTTTTTTATTATCACCCGCTTATTCGTGTCTTTTCGTTTTGATGAATAATCACCAATAAGATATAACTGAACCCGATAATTAAAATTCAATCAATTATCGTAAAGTGTAGTCAGAGATCAGGGTAGCATTTAAATAAATTTGAGTTAGAGGATATATTCGGCATTTGCCGCCGTTTTTCGACGAGCTTGCCCCCAGTAGAATCCACTGATATTGAATTGTATTCCTGATAATGTAGCACTTAAATTGGTTGTGTGGCCGAAATCCGAAAGATCTCAATGTTTAGACGGAGTTTCAGTTCTTATGAGCAATGCAAATAGAACAAGACACAAAAAATTAGAGTACCTTCCATGAAAATATGAAATCATTTTCTTGAAAAACTTTCAATTTACTCAGATTATATATGTAAGGTTACTCAGGCGGGTTCGATATTTGTTTGTGACGTTTTCCGTCGTTTGTTTGTCAACATATATTCCCACTAAATATTGACGTTACAAGCAGATCTGGCGTTAGTGCGCGAACATGGAAAACCACTAATGGTGTCAATAATAACAAATGCTGGTTTGTAATAAATTTGTTGTATTTTACAGTACTTGGGGTCAGGTCATTACAACAGGTAAGAGCCAAGTAACTTACTTTAAATATTTTATATATTTATATAATTTGTAGTTATTAATAAAAGTACTTGAAGTATTTTATCAACCTCTTGCCTAATTTACCAAGACCAAGAATAAAACTTCATGCGATTGCAAGTCGGATTCTGACATACATAAGGACTCTGAATCCGGATAGCGATTAGATAAAGTAGAAATAGAAGATTTTTAATCAATTCGGATGCAATAATAGTCTAATTTTGAACACGAAAACTTTGACGTACGCCAACCATTTCGGTTTCGGTTCAAAAATTAACCTAGTCTTAAAATGCAACCTCGACTTCGTTGAGTTTGAAAGCAGATTCCTAGACCAGCAAGAATGTCAAATCCCTACTTCACATTATTGCTAATGTCAGCCCGGGAAATTGAATACTGCTATCGCTGTGTTTTAATTAAATTTTACCAGGCCAAGAAGGCAGTCCCCAGAATATTTTGAACTGTGAATGTTTACTCTTGTTGATAATGTTATCTGTTTACGAACTCATTTTTTGAATTTGGATTGATCCAGAGACGTCATTTTAAAAGGTGTGGTCATCCGGTCAAAGAATGTTCATCTATTCAACCAAAGCCGATTATCATAGCCTTATTTTCTTTGTTATCCGTCTAAGAGCATTGACGACAAATCGCTGTTGCTGTACATTAGCGCGTTCAAAACAATGTCAGGGCTTAATATGAAGTTTTAAGTATGTTTACACTTACAAACGATAATAACAAAATGGAAAATATAAGTGTATATCAGAAACAAAAACTGACTTCGAACCTCTCATAATTCTGAGATTAGTTCCGGAGAACGCACCATTTAGCAAGTTTACTGTTTTAAGTTTTCATAGGGTTTTTATACGAAGTCCATTCGGCAGTCCATGTACAAATTTTTATCAAATCACTGGTGTAGAAACTTTTGTTTTAAACTTTTATCTTCTTTCCAGCATAAATAGTGTAGAATTCTAATTTCATGAGAAATGAAATAATATGGCATCAAGTCTTGAAGTTATGCGACAACACCAAAGGATTACGTCATCAGGAATGACGCCACCAAGTCATTATCCCATACCCCCATCTGCACAGCGACGCCTACTAAGTCCAAAAGCCCTAGTAGGATCTCAGACCCCTCAATACGGCCAACAGAACAACTTGTTGCCGGTCGGCATGCCAGGTACGATTTTTACCTTTTGGTCACGGAGTGGATGGAATTGTTGTTATGGTGTAAAAACACTTTTCTCCGCAGCTCGATTTCAAATTTTTACAACTTAAATTCTATGAAGCGCCCACTCAAATTTTGTATTCCACTTGAGTTCATGGGAACACGTTTGCACGACATTTGGCATTGTCCTTGAGGACAGTGGTCCAGGCGGCAATGACTTTGTGCAATGCGATGTTTTGATTCGATATTTAGGCACTCTGTTGGTCTTCTCATTTCCCCACCATCCCCTAGGATCTTCCAATTTCTAAGCGATTGCTCGCACAATGTGCTGTTCGCAACGAAGGCGTTATAAACATCATGTTCAATAATGATTTTTTATTTTAATATCATATTAAACCTGAATATTCAGGACGCCATTCGTGGACGGCCATGTCATCACCAACGTCATCGTTGCTGAGCAACCGACTACATCGGTTGAATTTGAGACTAAGCGCCCCAACTCCTGGCGAGGAAGAATTGTGTCGCCATTGGATGCAAAATAGTGCGAAATATAGTCGACGTAATAATGAAGAACTAACACGCAGTTCTAATTTTCCCGCCAATGAGAAACGAAATTTAGCAAAAACACAAGAAAGGCCTAGAACAGTACAGGTTTGTATTTATTTTCTTGCATGCGCTAAGAATTTTTCAGTGCTAGTGTTGAAGCAGTTCTTATGCTAACACCAATAACATTTCCAATCAGCTTCTCAATATACTGTTCAACGAACGCGAAACATACGTTTAGGAACATATATGTTTATGTAATAAGCCGCCCTGACTATGTTACAGCCTACTTCTAAACTAATGCCTTACGCTTTACACGCGCAGCTACACACCAGTGCTAAAAAATTTGGATTTTCTGTATTTATGCAAATTGTAACGAGATAGCCGGAGCGGAACCAGTAGATATTTCCAAAAATAGCAACATCTTATATATCAATGACCACATGTACAATACCTTCCTCGGGGGGAATGCGTGTGAACGTCGTGTACAAAATTATTCATAGTAATTGTATTCTTCGAAGATTTTTTCGAATCTCTGTATTTTTTCCAGACGCCTCCGAATCATCCCTACAAAGATTTACTTCCCCAACGTTCAGCCGAGAAACGAAAAGTTGTTGTCAACGTCACGTCACCAAACCAAGAATGTGTGACTTCATCGGATTCTGATCGAATCACTTCACCAACAACTTCACAAAGAAGCTCTGGAGGTCTGCGAAAACCTGTCAATAAGGTGTGTAATATGGCCCATCGTATTTTTTCAATTAAAAATGTGTGCAGTGTTTTGAACTTGGTTGTATGTTGGAAATATGTTAGAATATTTCAAGCTTTTGTCGAGTAGAGAGATTACAAGAAGCCTGTATCTGTAGTAATGAGGGAGTTTCTCTTTTTTGCCACCTTCTCTTTTTTCATTTGTTTTAAAGGCCATGTCGGCCAACATAAACAAATGAGCACAACAACAACAAATAGATCTTTCTTGAAACAAAGTCATTCCTAATAAAAACCTCTATCTCGTGAAAACCTTTAACTTTTGGAATCTTTTTCAGTTCCCCCTCAGACGACCATCGGTATCTAGTTACGGCCGAGGAGGAGAAAGTCGAGGTAATTCCCCTGCTGGATATAAAACCGACCTTTCTGGGAATCGTCAGAGTGAAGGCATGACCCTACCTCGACCCCCGTCTGCAAGACCAAGTGAAGCTAGATGGCGCAACCGAATACGGACTTCTCACTCCCCCCTAAGTAACACCAGAACAAATAGCGCAGGCAATCCCAGAGACCAAAGGCGATGGTCCCTGAATGACACAATAATGAATCAGCAGAATGACTCAAAAGATGATGACTCGGCATATTCGTCATCACGTGACATAACGGTTAATATAGAAAAAACACCAAACAATCCAAATACCCCAGTAGGAACCCCTCCTAGGTCGGCTCCGAACTTGCGGAACGATAATTTTCCTTCATCTACCTCAAAATTAGACGCCTCTAGGAGTTATGGTTCCAAAGTATTGGTTTCCGGACAAGATGGCCGATCAGTGCTTTATTATCAACATAATAAAGCAAACCAACGACAATCAGAAGCTGAAGAAAGTCATATATTACGTCACAATACAGCAACTTATTGTCATCTCCTACCTTTACGTCATAAAGCAAGCTCACAACAGCGGCCGAAGACCCAACCTGCTATGGTAAGTTTCTATGTAGCATCGCCTGGAGCAGGCGATACATATAGTATCGCAATTCTTCACTTTCTAGTTTACAGATTAGTTTCGATTAGGAACAATATTTTCAAGCAAAGACTGTAAAAGTGGCATTTACAAGAGGGTGAAGCATTTATGATTACTGTATCTCCTGCTTTCATTGTCCAATTTTGTTTCAGAATTCTCAACGAGCCAGAGATTCTTTGAAACGGAAAGGGACCACAGACCAGCGACAACAATTAATAGAAAATGCGGAAACTAAACTGATGCAAAGGTAAGATATGGGGAGTCGGATAGATGGCTGAAGTTTTAAGCTCCAACCGAAACTTGAAGGTGTACTGAAGAAAAAGTTGCGAGATGCCACTAATTAGCTGAGAGTTGCATCAATAGAATGCGGTTGATAACGCTTGTGACCTTTCGAGTAAACACTGCCCTGGAAATGGATATGAGAAAAAAAATCCAGATATCGACCATATTATGTTTGTGTTTGTTAGAATTTTATTTAAATCACGATGCGAACTACTAGATTTGCGTAGCCTGTCTGTACCCCTGTCGGTGATTTCTGTTTATCTATGTGTATCTCGCAATTTAACCAGTCAATAGATAGTTAAATGATTCTAGTCTAATAACAAGTCTCAATTTTGGTAGCACATTCAATTTGCATCAGTGCCCACACGTAATGACCTGAACCGTTTGGTTCATAATTCTTACAAAACTCAATCAGCTGCCCAATCCTGGGTTGAATACGACCACCAACTAATTTCGGATAAGACCTTTAAGCCAACTTAATACTGCTTGCGTTAATTTTACTTTTCATATTTCTAGAATAATGCCGAACACGTCGTTATCGACAAAAGAAGACAAAACAAACTCAGTCGAGTACCATGTCGGACCAAAGTTTTATCCAATTTCCTTGGGAGATTATGATGCAATAAATAAACAAAGAAGGTCAATCACGAGTAACCAAGAATCAGTAATGAATTACGTGGACCCGGAAGTAGGTCAAAGGATCGTACAATGGTTAGCAGATATTGAACAAAGTCCTGAGGTCTATTATGGATTTGAAACAGATATTTTAAAAACACATGAATGACTTAATATAGACTTATTTTAGTCAACGAATCTAAAACTTCAATTCTTGCCAAAATTTAATTAAAAAAGAAATATGTACAACTATTTCGGATAATCTGGTGTTTTTACAATCGTTTGTAATTCAACTGAAAAGTATCTTCGAACTTTACCCTTGTGTTATTCAAATGTTGTATGACCGAAAAATTCAAATGACTACATTATTTTTATTTACATTTTTACTGTTGTGATCTACCTCAGACTTCGTGCCTCTATAGCACGTAAATTCCATCGTTTTTCGTCGTTGGAAATTTAACCAAAATGTATATTTATCGATTGGTAATGACTGGGTAAATATTAATGAATTTGACTTTCCTACAGATGTTGAAAATTCAGTTCTCAGATCACGTCAAGCGCGCGATACTTTTTTTTTCAATTTATTCTATCCATCGACGTCATTCATTTAACCATTGAAATCATTATAGGAGAAAGTCTTCAAAGTTGGCAAAAGATTGGCAATTAGAGTTTTGTGTAGTTTCCCACAAAAAAGTTTTCGATTGGCAAATGTCGATGGATTGAAGTTCAAATCTTTTATAATTGTTTAGCGAATTTCATAGCGACTCACATAAGTAAATAAACTTCTTGGTTTAATTGACTTATCTATTTTCATGTTCTATATTTGTCCAAAAAATTAGCGCAATGAAACCAGACTCAAAAGCTGTGAAAACTCGTTTTTTTAAATATTACACCAAATCTTTCTGTCCAAACTTTCCTTTATTTCATCACAATCATGCTGACAAAGATTTATGTTCTACATTATTTTTTCATCACTCTGTTTTCCCTACATTCCGTGTGTATTGGTTGCTTTATTTATTTACCGTTGTTTTTAACTGAGTTACAGTTGACAGTGATATAAATGAACATGAACTGATAAACCAAGTTAACCTATAAAGTTCATAACTTCATGGGATTGGCTTTTTAGATAGAAATTTTGGAAGGGCGCGGTGTCGAATAAACGTTCTATTCGCTTTGAAGTCTCTGAAGAAAATAATTGTGATGAACCCATTTTCGTACACTAGGCTTTTATTAGCCCCAACGTCAACTAAGAGTCTCAAAGCAGCAGAAATCAAAGAATGACTTTCTAATCAGAACATCATGCTATTTATTAAAGGACGAACAGTATGCGTTAGCAGGCTCTAATGCCTTGGTCGTATGAAGCGTTTCTAAATTTTAAGAAGCAAATTACCACATTCTCCTCAGCAAATACAATATAAAATCCCAATGAATGCGAAATAGAACAATTCATCTTTGAGACCATGTCTAACAACCAAGAGCCTTTTTGATACGACTCGACTGACAAATAGGTTTCTCTTCCTTCCAAATTGGCGAAGAAGTTAATCTACAACTAAGTCATCAGAAGAGCATATGTCATCGTTCTTCGAATTGAGACTTTCAAAACTGGAAAGCGCATCCGGATGAGATGATTTCGAAACAGGTCCAGACATTTCAGATTTATTGACTCTAAACCGGGAAATTAATTTCAAAATTCGAGACCCAGATTGGTCGAGTCAAGTAATTGCGCTCACGAGTCAAGTCAAGTTGCTGTTTCAAGTAATAAATCGAGCCCGAGTCATATTAAATTTCATTACTGAAAGAGAAATGTCACATTGGTACTTTCATCTTACGCTAAATCAAATTTTTCATAGTTAAACGAGTATTTAACCAGTACTGATTAAACATTCACCCCTGCATACACATGGTCGATCCTGAGTGATGGTGCAACACATTAGAGAATTTTCCATTTCTATTCAAAAATAATCTACGTGGTTAATCGTTTTTCGAAACTTGTTCGCTATTTCAGAGACGCAAAATTGCAGTTCAAACACACAACTTTCGTTTACCGAATCAACAGCCACAGCAACTATGCAAAAATTTTAATAATTTGCGGTAATATTAATAAGTCTTGTTTGAAACCGACAAGGGATCGAAAGACACATTGAGCACGAAACGTCTGTAGCCAGATTCGAAAACAATTTTACAGCGAATTCATTCTCATACGAGGGGTTATTGACAATTTTCAATTTTTTTTACCAAGCAACAATCGAGGTTTTATTTTCTTCGCGATTACTCGTTACCACAATGTCATAGCCATATGCAGTATTCCAATTTTGCGTTGACAGAGAATAATTACGAAAAAAAAATTGAAGATTAAAAAAATTCCAACGGGTTATTTCACTCACCATCTAATAAATTTACGCTTATCTGACTGTTCCTTTTTTTGACAAAAAAATATCCATGACCCGATATATGCAGCGGATATTAGGGTAACTTTGGGTAATACTGAGTGTAATACGCTGATTCGCACAGAGAAAACGCCTCAATGAAAAACTTGACCAAATTATGATGTTTGGTCATTTTCGCAACAAATATTATCGGGTACAAACACAGATTTAGCGCGCGGTCCAAGAATGCGGCTGTGGCTCAAGGGAATACGCGAAATGCATTCTGCGTAACAGTGAGAAACTTATTGAGGGCGCTAACTTTGGCAGATTGTCTAGTTCGTTTGCTTCAGATATTTATGAGTGGAGTAAATGGGGCGTTGTTTTAGGTTAAGTGTAAACATGCTGGTAATTCAGATTTAGAATAGCTAATGCGGAGGAAGGCTGTGGATTTATTCATTCTTTTATCGGTAACTAATAAGGGTTGATGTAGTACGCAAGGACTATTGAGAAGTTCGCTAATATTTTAGAAGTTTGATATCGGCCTTCTCCCCTGGCTTAGATAACCGTTGAATTTTGTGTAGCCAGAGTTTCACTGTAACTGTTATGAACAAACTTAAAAGAACATGTTCTGAATTGCTAGTTATTCGGTTCGCTCATGTAAGAAATTTGACAGTTTTGGGTTTGCCCGTTTGTCAAAATCTGTCAACCCAGTACAGAATCGGGTGGTAAATTTGAATAGGTCAATTTGTGTTTGTGCCTTTCGAAATAAATTGTAAAAATGATAATTCCATTTCATTTAAAAAAGTGAAAAAAATATTTGAACGGCAAATTTTCAATATTTTGTATTGGATGGAAGGCGAAAATAATGTTAAAAACTTTGAAACTAAAATAATAATGTACTGCCAAAACAAAATGACCCAAATATTAGTGAAGCGCGAATCAATTGAAAGATTCAAAAACGCAACTATTAAAACTATAGCAAAATGCAACTATACACGCCGAGTTTTTTGCTGTAGAAAGCAAGTCTTTATCCTTCAAGTACTCAAAATTCGTCGTGCGTTTTTCTTCTGGTCAATATCAAATCATGCATTTCAAACGGTTAGAAAAAACGACGGATGTTCGTTTAGTTACTAAACTTTAGTCGATTCACTCAGCAGCCGACGCGTGCCTGAGAACATGCATGACACAATATCACAAAACAGGATTAAAGTTCAGAACCACCTGTCAACCATAGTGCGATTTGAGTATTGGTAGCACCTGCACTCTTTGTTAGGATCAGAGCAGTAACCCCCCACTCATTCCCATTAATAGCGGAGGCAAGGAGCGTCAAGGAGGAAGTTGACCACGCCACCATAGCACTATAAGGTTTCTATAATTAAAAACGAATAAGTCTCATTTAAGATGATACCATGATAGAACTGTAAACTTTTTCGCAACCCAAGTTACATTGCAACTATTATAAGTAAATATATTTTGTTAATAACGTGTATTCAAAAATCGTTATAGCAAGAACAATTATATTGAGCCCGCCAGATAATGTGTGTGAAAAAGTGGGAAATTTTTTCGATCTAACAGCATTTTCGATGACAATGCACACTGATATGTGATTAAAAATCCCGAGCTTGACAAAGAGGCTCCGACTTTGATGCCATAGTTTTTGTGACCTTTACCGGGAAATTTCCATCTCGGTTCACGCGTGCAATAATTTAATGAATTGCTTCAACATTTCTGAGAATAATTTTCGCGTTTCCTATAGCGGGTTCGTCGATTTGTCATATGAAGTGTGATTCATTCGAGTTTAAGCTAATTCATAGCTGTATAGTGAGAGATGCCCTGGCCGAGCAGAATGCTGAGTTGTGTACCGGAACCACTTCTATCGACTTGATTAAACATAAGTCTTTCAAAAAATGTTTTATTTATATTTAAACCCAATTTCATTATTCATTGTAATGTATTTACTGAATTAGTTTAAATAAAGATGTTTGGAAGTGAAAATTCTGATCCTGACAGCAGGCGATTTTAATATAAAACCTATTACACATAGATGCGACGTGAGTGTAGGAATATTATCTCAACCGTAATTTTAGCTATAGAGGGGTTTCCCCACATCAACTAAACTTGAGAATTTCAGGCGGGTTGATTAAATTGCGGTTTCTTGTTATTGAATCAGTGGCGTATCTACGTTAAATGACGCCAATATCAAGATTTAAAAATGCGCCTTGTTGCTCGTTGACTCATAGAATTTTTACCGACTATTGTTGAATTGAGATACTCGTTCTTATTTAAGTGAATATACGAGTTAAAATTATTTTCAAATTGGAAATGGTTCATTCATTTTACGATCCAAACTTCCCGCCCTTTTCAAACGGCACTCATGGCAGGAGCTCTTGCTGCCAAGCTCTAGATACGCTACTGTGATGGATGTAATTACCAATATGGAATTAAGACCTAAACAAAATATTTACGCTGACTCGTGTTCACTTGTTAGTCTATTTTATACACTTGTTGGATTATAAACTCATGGCCTATCACAGTACCATGTTTCGCCATATAAGCAGGTCATATTACGGTCATCATTTGTCGTTTATCTTGTTAATTGTAATGAATCAATTAATATACGAGAATGACTTTATAATTCACAGAACGTAATCTAATAGTCAGTAACAATGGAGGACGGACCGAAATATGCCATTTCAAAGGAAGGAATCATCAAACTGATAGTGATTGCATTCGGGTGCGTCACATTTGCATTATTGGCTGATGTTGGATATACCAACGGGACAAGGATGCGATGGGTGTTTGCTGCTTTCATCATCTCATTCGCTATTTCCGTTCTTTTCTACATCTTCAGAATCACGGGTGAGAATGTTATGTTAAACATATCCCAGTTGAGAAACTCCATTTATTTCGCGAATAATCGATACCTGCTAGGGCGCGGTAAATTTGTCAATTATCCTAAGTTTCGTGTTCCACTCTTCCGAACTATGGGAGAGATTAATTGTGGGGCAAAAGGTTAAAGTAAGCATCTGTAATAGGATCTATGCAATTTTCTTTGGCAGGAGGGAAGTGTAACCACATTCATACAATTTGCGGGCAGTGGGTTCGACATTTGATTATCAAACACCCGTAAAACTACTTTTTACAGTAAAGATATATTTGCCATGGTACGGCACGCAGCTTTGTTGAGACGCACCGACAAAAAACCATCTAATTCTAGATACTCGGGGGCTTATCTGAACTCCTGGAAAATGTGAAAACTGACAAATCCTAATCGATAATAAGGCCAAAGTAACATCAAAGAGGCCCTGGTAAATGCTCTGCAAAGGTGATGAATCAAAATGCTTAGGACCAGAGTCAGACCGGTGAAGCACAGCTACACCTAGAACTTCTTATTATCAGTTATTTTTAAATATAAGTTAATTAAATGATTATTTTTCACTACATAACATACTACATATTTTAAAGGTTTGGCATCAAAGATCAGCACGTGCGGGCCATGCACGTTCGATGGCTTCGATTTCTTGTGGTCGTGGTTCTCAACCATATGGTGCCTTGCTGCAGCTGTTTCGTTCGCTTTAGCTTTTCCCAGAGTACACCCACAGTAAGTTGTTAGAGTTTATGAATAGTATTACCAATTCCCAGGTGAATGGCAATACATACTCGAAAGTGGGATGCCGGCTATCATTAAACTGCTGCTGCTGAGAATATATTGAAAAGTAATGTGTCAATGCATAACAGCGCTCACGGTGGAGAAATTAAATTATTATAGATTAAGTGGTATATCCACGACATACTTAATAGGAGTTCAATGAATTTGGTCAACGTGCATGTAGCCACCCATCTGCGAATATTACTTTTTCCGCAAGTACCTGCATTCATTCAGACAATACGAATATTCCTCAAAAATTAGGGATGAATTTACAGTCTGACATTGATTACTGCAGTCAATTTAATTTTGTTTTTACAATTATTATTTATCCAACTTTCACAAGTATAAAATAATCTACTCCGTTGAGTGGATACAACATTGACTCATTGCGTTTATCCATCTCTCTCACAGATCAAGATGGCACAGTGAACTTATCGCCGCTGTCATATTTGCGTTTCTAACCGGGATCGCTTACGCCGTAGAAGCCTACATATTGAAGGATAAAGCACCAGCTAATGTTGGTGAGTGGAAGCGTTTATAAGTTAAACTTTGACCTTTAGAGAGTGATTAACTATGACTGATAAAGCAGAATGTATCACTAGTGAAATATGGATAATTTGATGCAGAAATCGGTCATTTTTTCACAACAAATTCTATTATGAAATCAATTGCATTAACACAGGAAAAGATTTGTAAACATTTGATAACATGCATTGGCGTCAACGCTTTCTATTCCTTAATAATTATAGTTTTCATGAACAACCACGAACACGCGAGGAAAAAAACCTTGGTGGTTAACTCAGGCGTATATATATGTGCTAAAGTTCGTTATAAGAGGTATAAAAAGTGAATATTTACAACATGATATTTCTTTACTGAGCGACTCCCAATAAGATTCATTCAATTTTGTTAAAAAGTTCTCCATTCCTGGTTTAATATGGCATAACGGCATGATAACCATGTGTATTTTATCCACTGATTTCCAGGTTACATCGCAACTAGAAACGGTTGGTTGAAGACAGTGATCGTCGCACTGGGGGCTGCTGCATTTGGTTTGCTCGTCGACTCTGGATACAGCTGGTGCGGACGAAACGGACCGTAAGTGCTGGATTAAAATAATTGAATGTGAAAACTAAGCATGACGCGTTACTCACATCAGATAAAATATTCTTCAGAAAGTTGCCGTTCACAGGGTCGTAATAAACTACATACAACCATTATCAGTGCAGCAACGTTTGATTCCAATTCTGGACAATTACATGTTTGAATAGACTTTGCATTGCTGCCCTCTCCTTTATGGACAAAAATGAATTACTACACGTGGCCATCCGAATCTGGATTATTTTATTTCACCCCGGTCAATCTCCGCAAAACCACATTTTTGGATTTGGAACAAAACTTTGACAAATACGACAATTTTTTGTTATTATGGACAAACTTCCACTGATGCAAGGAGTTTGGGTAAATTTGTGAGGAACCAAAATCTTTACGGCTCAGAATTACCTAGACAATTGGGCGAGTTCAGCTCTGATGATTCATTAATCGAGATATTCTCTTCCGCAGATGCAACGCCGGAGTTACTTTCGCATTGGCTGCCTACATCGTCGGATGGGGAATCACCGTCATTATTTGGTTGCTGCATATCTCCGGGCTTGTACAAGGGTGAGTGTCTTGAACTTTTGACCTAGGATAGCAGGAAAGTCTAGACGAAGTTTGCGCATACTAACAGCGGCTTTCAACCTATTTCGACATATTCATATTGGATCTCTTTATTTTTCCCTCACTTTTCACAAAAACTATGTTTCCGATATATATCCATGACTAAAAGAATGCCGTGTCTTTTCTACCCGCTAAACTTTTCTGCTGCCCTTGGTGAGTTTCTGATATTAATTCCCTAACTTCAAAAGCAATTCGGGTTGCTTTACATGAAAATAAATACCTTGGAGGTTGAATAGGAGTGAAATGTTTGCATTATTAAATAAATTACTAAACTAAGCAACAAACTCCTCCCTAATGCATGCTGCCCGGAACGACTTCCCTGTCCCTGCTTCTACCAATCCGAAATATAAGTTTCGCCAACAATCGCCTCGCACGTCATTACCAAAATATGTTTCATTTATTTTAGAAACCGTCAGAGCAACTTAAACAAGTTCGAATTTATTTGGTCAATAGTTTGTGTCCTGCTGTTCTGGAGTGCTTCGGTGTGTTTTGCGGTTTACATGGTTTGCAGAGGAAATGATTTCCAGAAATATCGGCAGTGTCACCTCAGATTAGCAGGAGTTATCATTGGATTCGTAACCGGTGTGCTGTACATTATCGATGCGGTGTTTCTAAAGCGTGCCTAAGATAACATGCATGGACTTGAGTTGCCTTGGCCAGAATTCTCGTCCTCGATCATTTTCCAGTCTAAATCTTTTACGTTAATATCTATTCATTCTATGTTATTTGAAAATTTGTTCTGTCGTACATTATTGAATCCGGCAAATTAGTCACTGAAGAATTTGAATTACGAAGTGTTCCCAAAACAAATTTAGCAACGTTGTTTATATCATAAAGAATGACAAGTGTATTTTATGCATATTTTGTTCAAAAAATAGATAATTTGAAACCCATGTTATCAATACATTACTTGAAACAATCGCGTTAACTTTTTATAATGATTAGAATAATATTTCAAACAAATTGAACGGAATGAAAATAGTCACCTGCGCTTCTACGTCCGGTTGATCTACAACAGCCTGTTACGTGCTCATCATTTGTTGCATGATTTAATTATTTCGAAAAATTGACACCAAATTAAATGTATAAATGTATGATTTGATACGTAGATACTAAAAACTCTTTTAATAAAAACTATTTTAATACTTTTGTTGAAGATGCCAATAGGCACAAAGTTCATGCGAGAGCTAGGACCATGGCTGTATCGTATTCTACGTTCGGCTTTGCCTGTATTTGGAATTTACATTAAGACGAGATAACAATAAATGTAATTTGACAATATTCCTTTATTATTTTTAAACCAACGCTTTGCTGTAGTTCCATCAAACAAACTTGAACTTGTTTAAAGATATAGTGAATACAAATTTCTTTGTTGAGATTTTACGCAGTGATATGAAATGGCTTTTATAACCTGCATTCCGCCGGTTAAATTTCCCGGGGGAGATTTCATTGTACGTGATGACAGATACGAGTTAATATTCAAAGGACTATAAAGTGTGTTTAGAGTTGCCAACGGGCTCATTTAAACAACACTAAACAACATTTCAACAACAGCCATGAAAACTGCGCAATTTGCCATTGGTACTGTTGCACAAGTACTGCTGTACATTTTGAGAACCAGTATTTTTTTAAGGCTCAGCCTCAAGCATGACTCGAAAATTAGTCTGCAAGATGTTTATCAAACTGTGTTGAAAGCATTTTAATCAGCCATGATTTTCGCAATACTACACCAAACGTTGTATTCGTACCGTGAGCACTGTCCCGCCGCTTATTGTAAGTGGCCAACTCTTCTATAGATGGGTCTGACCCCTTTCTAATTATGATCACCACGTGACTCGTGCGTTCAAGTGTTACTCAATGCGGTGACGACATGAGTCTGGCCACGAATGGTTGTCACCACAACTCATCTCCACACTCAACATTTCCCTGCGGATCTATAGCTTCGGATATGAGATTTTTATCGAGGGCGGGTAAATGATTGACAAGTTAAATTTTCGCTTCTTCTGAAAAGTAAAATCACTTTTACAACCGATCCCGCCTAGCAACTGGGTGTAATAAATATATAGGAGACTGTTGTAAATAATCATAAATTTTATCGATATTAACGAGTTACAAAAATCTACAGGATCGAAAGGCCGCAATTATATTTGTTCAATTATTAAGCTTCTCTTTGCGGATTGTTAGTCACGTAATCAAATAAATGTGGTGACATCATAGCTGATGACATCACTACTTTACGATTGTTTCGAAATCGCTTATCAAACCAGATTATACATTCAACAACCGGGAATTATATCCAATCCAGGGTATCTAAAGAATGACCGACGCGCAAGTAATAACATGTCGAGGATGTCACTCGAGTAGGGCTTGGCATTTACGAATACCTGATGATTTCAGAATCGAATCGAATCTCAAAAACTTGCATGTGACGACTTGTAATGGGTTCTTTATTCAAACAAATTACGGAAAACATAAAATCTAGCACTCAGACAATTCGCTGAGCTACTCTTGGCAATGGCACAACTTATGACAGTGTAATAAAGCGAGAAACTCTAGCCATTGTGAAGTGCTTTGGGGCCTGTGAGTGCGACATAAAGGCTAATAACACTGACTCTGGGCCATATTCGGAGAGAGGCAATGACGAATACACTCATAAACTGTTGATATAAATACCAACGAATTCAAAGGTATTTTGGGGCCGAATCGAAACTGAATTGATGACCTAATATTCCTGGTTGATTGCAATGTCTTTGTTGTCTTATCAACGACGAATTGTTCTCTTTATAACATCATAAACGTCTCGCAGGCGAAACAAGCAAACAGGGCGCGGCCGCTTGATATATTTGCTTTCACTTAAGAAGAATTTGATCAGAAGAATCCCAGAGCCGTCCACTGTGCATGGAGCACGTGTGGTCGATGAATAACTGACTAATGTGAGAATGTATCGTACATGGCTGTCACTGACTATGACGACATTAATTCAGACAAATATGACGGAAGCGAAATGTTTTATAAATTTAAATTGTTTGTCATTTATCACGTGTGGCTTTCGATAAATATCACATATTTACATATGGCCGAACATAGAACAACGAAACGTAATGTTTTATTTGTCTTAGTAAATCATTAATTAGGGCACGAGATAGTATCAAGCCTCGGAACTGAAATGGTGTTTTGGGAATGCCGTCCAGCCCTGACAAGGCAGGGACGAAGTTCCAAGCAGTGTCAAGTGTTTGTGCGCAGTATTAGCTAGCAATACGTGGAATATATATATTTTGCTTGGTTACATCTAATTTTGTTTTAACTTCAGTTGTTGAGGCTAGTGTTATTTCCGATATTTGTTGGGCCCGACAGACTACTACATCGCCGCAGTAAAACCAAAATAACTTATCACATCACATTTTTCAGAAATTAATTTTTTCTGATCTTCTGACGTTATGAAGGTGGGAGGTGAAATATAAGCCTCTGACACACAGGAGGCAGATTCAACAGTTCGCGCCAGAAATGATAGGTTCATACCAGAGCCCAATTATCAAAGCAGTTAATACAATTCCTTATGAAATCAAAAAAAGAACAGCAGAAAAGTAACAACTAGCTTTACACAAAAGTAGCCTGTATAAAAGTACTACTACAAAATAAATACTAACCTCCGCCTCGTCAAAGAAGGTGGCACATCTCAGAATAAGCTGGACGTAGCAAAGGAAACGCACGCGTTTTTCATCAATGATGGAGATCTGTGCAAAATAATATGAAAATCAAAATGCTTGCTTATAGGGTTCTTGTGACCCCCCCCCCCCTCCTTTCAATGTAAAAAATGCATTTCCTCAGAAACGCTGTGCCCCACAATTGAATTTTTGCGAGGCAGGGGGAGGAACAAGCATGTTTCACCCCCATTTTTAGACACCCCTGTATATTGCGAATACATACTAAAGATGTTGACCTAACAGTCTAAATCTTACGTATCAAAGTTTCCAGTTTGGTTTGATATAATAAGGCCCTCGTCGATATTTCAGTTAAATCGAGGATTCACATTACCAAGTGATATGTAATTCTATGCTATTCCATACTTCATAAACTCGCAGAGTGGATGATAGTGTTTGATAAGATACTGCACATTCATTTCCAGATTTTATCAATTGTCTAACAAAAAATAAAATGGAGGACGGTTTAAAATACGTCATCAGTAAAGAAGGAATAATTAAATTCATCGTCATATTGTTCGGCTGCGTCACATTCGCGCTCCTAGCGGACACCGGTTATTATTATTCGACTGCAATGAAATGGGTTCTGGCTGCTTTCATCATTTCGTTTTCATTATCTGTGCTGTTCTACTTCTTCCGTCTTATAAGTAAGTCAAATTTTCAATTTTTTTTTGTTAAATCGGTTACGAAATATACAAATAGATTGTTCAACAGAATTTATGTTGTTGTTATATATATGTTGAAATATCGCTTTTCATCGCAGTCAATGGCAAATTTTCAGTACTCGGTATGGAGTTGCTATAAGACCAGTATTTTTTATTTTTCTATGAACTCCGGGGCACAATATTTCATCAAAATTTTTCTGCTTATTTTAACTCGCCGGAACACTTTTATGGCATATGGGAACATTCTAATGCAGTTGTCCTCAAACTTTTTAAGCCCCCTTTCAGAATTTGTCTCGAACCCCACCGCAAAAATGACTTGCTGAAAATTAGCAGTTATAAATAATAGATAGTAAGACGAAAGTATGTCTTATTCAAAAAACACGTGGATGGAACGTCAATTTCCAAAAAAGGCGAGCAAGATTAAGTCTAACAAATATTTTTATTTAGCCTTACGCCCGATCAAAAATTTGTCTACGCCCTCTTGTGTGACGAAATCCACCGTTTGAGAAGCACTGCTCTAATGACAAATGGGGACATTCAGATTTGATCTCCGTGCTCGTACATCTAAGCATTGCTATCCTGCTTTGAATTACCGAGAACAAAATACGTTAACGATCGCAAAATGATATATTTCAGAACTTGCACCGAAGATGAATTGCGGAGGTCCCTTCTCTTATGACGGATTTGATTTCCTCTGGGCCTGGTTTTCAACTATCTGGTGCCTCACTGCTTCCATCGTTTTCAGCATGCATTTTCCAAAATCAGAGTGAGTGAAATATCATCAAGAACGCGCCCGAATGTGGGTTTATGGTATCATCTTGTCTGTTGCGGTGACAGCGAAGTCTTTTCTCAGGCGATATATTGTTGTCTGCTTCAAAAATTTATGGCGTAAAGTCGTAAACAAAAAAAAATCCTATTTTCCTATCTTCATTCACGCAACTTAACGCGTATAAGTTATAACTCGCTTGAGTCCATTTTCGCAGCACTAGCAATCCTGGATGAACTATTTGGGAAGCAAGTTGATGAAAAGGCCTAATATGTGTGTTTTTGTTTCATTCAGTTTCTACAAATACGGAGAAGCAATCGGGAGCATCATATTTGCCTACTTGACTGTCATAGCTTACGCTGTCGAAGCTTTCTTCCTGAGACTGTACGCTCCGGCTAACATAGGTAAGACTTCAATGCAGAAGAAGAACAAAGCTGGTATCTACCAGGAAGCAACTTCGAGAACCCCTGGCTCTTTCACTATGAGCGTTCCCACATTGCGTATACCGGAGAGGCAGATCGGGGTATAGTTGTTGAACTGGTACCACTACTAGGTGTTTGCCGAAACCTTAATTTGAGCAAACATTCGTAGCCGATCAATGAGAATGTTGACGATACATATAAATTTACCATCGCGACGGAGGCGTCATTAAACACTGATTAACGCAAGACTTGAAGCATTTCACATTACTCTGGCAAAAAAAAAATTTGCATAGAATATATTCCCACTTTTTAGAAAATTATTCAGAAATTAAAATATCTTTTTTTATATACGGAATGTATAATAATACGCTCGATCCAACACAATATAGAAATACCAAGGTTGACAAATTTGTACAAATGCTTCACGAGCAAACATATTTAATAACATATTTCAGACATAATATATATAATAATATACATAATAAACATATTTCAGATTTATTAGGGAAATTATCACATGCTGTAGGGATTTTGAGTAAAATTCATAAACTCCTCCCGACTCAAGTTCTGCGTATGATATACTTTGTACTCTTTCAGTCCCATATACAATATGATTTGGTGGCATGGGGATACTCGGCTACTAGCAAATTGTCAAAAGAAATAGAAAGAAATCAAAATAAAGCTGTGAGAATATTATCTAATTCTCCACCTCGCTCCAGTTGTACCCCTTTATTTGCTAAACTAAAAATACTCAAATTCAAAGACTTGTGTCTTTTTAAAGTTGCAAAAGTAATGTATCAATATTCATCAAATTTATTACCAAGAGCTTTTGATAATTATTTCACGGCACAGTCTCATGTAAATAGCCACCACACTCGATCATCAGCCCAGAATCTTTTTTTGTTCCAAGATGTAAATCAAAGCGGACACAAAGCGCTCTGAGATACACCGGGGTAAACATTTGGAATGACTCACCTCCTAGCATCAAAGCCTCAACATATCCAAATTTCAAAACTCAGTTACGCAACTATTTACTATCCTTATATTTTTCATAAATGTGTGTTGCATTTCCCTATATCATAGTTTTATTTCAGTGTCTCCTAGACATGATTCTGTGATTGTTGGTCTTTAATATTTCTTCATGTACATTGAGATATTTTACTGTCATGCAGACGTCTTTTCTCGTTTCAGTACTGGTATTTATTCCTTTGGTATCGTACTCTTTCTAATCCTTACTTAATATGTATTGTCCAATTTTTTCCCAGAAACGCTAACCAAAGTATGCCTGAACAGCACCGCTTCGAAATAATATAGGGGGAAATCCCAATTCTATAAACAACAAGGTTTATTATTGCCTTGCAGCGTCATCTTGGGGCGATGCTGTTCTCGCATAAAAACGTTTCGCGCTGTGCTAATTTTGTAGCCATAAGTTTTAAGCTATTTAAGGTTGCCGCTGACAAGTAGACCGAATGGTCATTTCGCGGTTATCCCGTCATTCTGTACAAATTTTTTTTTATTTTTCTTATTTTCATTTTGTTATATTTTATCGGAATGACAAATAAAAAACGATTTGATTGATTCTTTTTATGTTTTAGGTTTCGTCGCCACAAAGCCAGGCTGGATCAAGACAGCAATTGTCGTCTTCGGTGCAGCAACATTTGGTCTCATGGTCGAATCGGGGTACAACTGGTGCTGGTGGGAGAAAAGGTATATAATATATCAATATAATCAAGGTGTATTTAGATGCAACTAGGTCCCAATGATGTTTTGTACAAAATCACTGTCAAATGGGATTAGTTTCTGGGATTGGGATGGGATTTTCACTCCAGTAAATGATACTGATATTTTACTCGCCATTGGTTCTCGGATTAAAAGGATCAAAAATCGTACCGGTACCTTAGAACTTGACAAGTGCCCCATTGTAACGTGTTTAATCAACTTTAGTTAAGTAACCGATGACAATAAACTTATCTTGAAGCAAAAATGCCTCAAGGATGCTATTGATCGCCCACTCCCTGAAACTGATATCAAATTCAACTAATGTCAAAAAGTAGAGCAGGCATACAGCCCTTCCCAGATACCGGTCATGCCGTAATATCATCTCACTCACCTAACTCATTCCAGTAAAAATCCGCTATAGACTTCAGAAACTTCTTTTTGAAATGTTGTAAATAATAACATGGTAGCATCGCGACAAAGGATACTACTATTTCGTGCTTTCAGAACCGTTCCCTGATTTTTATAACTGTCTACTACTGCGGCTGCAATACAACTCGAATAATTGCATTCCTAGATCTTTAGCGTGGATCAAGAGCGCCACCTTACGAATGTTCAAGTTATTTTGCAAACTTCGATATCTTTTATTAATTAATTAAGCTTATTTAACCAGGTAGATAAACAACTTTTTATTATGCACTCATATAAGACGATCGTTTGGCTTACGCCAGGTTACTAGGCTGGTTTGGGTATAGTCAATATTGTTCCACAGACAAGGACCGTTCAGAAAATTCAAATTCAGAAAAGTAAGAAACGAAGTCTCCTGATTATCTCAAAAATATAAATTCCTAACCCTCTACTTTTTCTCGTAGTTGCGATGCGGGAACAACGTACGCATTGGTCGTCTTCTGTGTGGCTTGGAGCGTCACTACGTTAATGTGGATAGGACATATGGCGGCTCCTAAAGGAAGGTAAACCTTGTAAAATTTTCTTATTTAGTTTATTGTCTCAAATAGCCGAAAAATAATAAATAATGAGAATTATACAACATGTCGCCAAGCATTCCAGATGTTTTAATTTCCAGCTCAGGGATGATTGCGTACATGGTGCAGTAAGGGGGAAACGGTACTTAACAGTTTGAAAATTCTAGCCCATCACTATTTCCCATAAAATTTGACCCACGCAGAGTTATTGGATGCGTCATGACAAGAGTATCTCCAGCACGAAGCACCAACTGTCAAGTCTAATGCCAACCAACTGTCATCTTTTACAGCATCGAAGGATCGCCCGCTTTTCAAAAAGTCGAATTTGTTTGGGCAATTATCGGAATCCTGTTTTTCCTGAGTGGAGCGTCGTGTTTTGCAGCGTACATGGATTGCAGTGGCAATGATTTCGACAATCTTCCAAAATGCCAGAAGAGACTCACTGGCGTCATAGCAGGATTTCTTGTTGGAGTTCTTTACCTGGTAGAAGCGGTCATGCTGAAGCCGTAGTAACTTGAAATATTGAAAATACAACCACTCGCACAAATCCTCCAAAATATAAGACAAAGGAACTAGGCCTACATATGCCGAGCACCGACAGAACCAGCCATTTTTTTCATAAGCGTTTCTGTCACGACTAGTTAGTTACTTGTTTCATATATCTGTTCTCTACTAATGAGTTTTTAGATTGATAATTTGCATCTGCACTCACTCCAATTTGCTTTATTTTATGACGAGGTATGACATGTTTTTGCCAGGTGGCCAATTTTGAAATAATTTCGTGTTTGTATCGAATTATAGCGTAGGGCATTTTTTTCTGCTGTGAATTGGTCTTTTTGAAAAAATAAACTCGTTTATTTCAAATCCTAGTGTGTAATTATCCATTCCTTTGGGTTGAAATTTCACCACCTACCGCAATAAATTTAATGCATTATGTTATATTTGTTGTTTTCTATTGAGGTTTACTGATAACGTTGCGCGCACAGGCGCAAAAATAAACGGAAGCTCAATACATCATCAATAAGTTTAGAACCGATTAAGAAATCAGGTGACTACATGTACTCCCATTTCGACTTTAAAATACTTTCTATAACTTCTAATTTGCCTTAAAATATTATTTATCATCTGATGACTTGAATTCGGGAACTCCTTGGAACATTTTCAGCCCAATAGAAGCTTCAACTACAGGGTATATTTCGACATTCCACACAGTTTTTTTTTTCAATTATAGCATGCACATGATTAGAAAGTTTTGAAAACTCTGCCATGCGCTTTCTCAACTTCACTAATAATCACAAGTTTTCACCCAGACTATTTATTCTACCCTAGCCCACATCTTCATTCATCCAACTTGGCATTCGGTGACTCCACAGCTATAATAGGCGCGAAGATATTTTACTCCTGTGAACTAATTCGATATCCTATTTGGCAATCCTCATAAAATCATTCACGGCGAGGCAAAATGTCTTTTATCTATTTTTCTTTCATACTAGCCGTTTCTCTTCTGATCTCATATTTTCTCGATGTATGTTTGTTTTAAATAACTCAACAATTTTGGGTGAGCGGACACCTACCACTTCTTTTATCAATACCTTTCAATCTAAAATCTGTACGTTTTGAACCTTACTGAAGGTTTCGTTTGCTCTTCCGATTTCATAAACAGCTCGATTTCTTTTGTTATTATCAATTATTAAGTCTTTTATGCCGATTACGGAGTCAAAATGAACTTATACTTTAACCATAGAAGTCGACACCTAAGAACAGAAATGTTCTGTACAAGCAGCCTACTCACAACACACTGAAAATCAGAAGTCATTTTCGCATTATTTTGATTTTTATTGTCAATATAACATACTTTACTTCTTCTTTGACACACCAACTGTTCTACCACGACGTCCCGTAGTTTTAGTGTGTTGACCTCTGACACGAAGGCTGGAAACAAGATTCAGAGAATTAGAAGTCAAGGAAATGTTAGTGTTGGACTTCGGAATTTCAAGAACATGTTCTCTTTCATCCGGAACTATTAACAACATGTTCCTCATTTTGTGAAATATAGGTATGTCACTATGTAAGCTGCATTCACAGAGCACTCTTTAAATAAATCTAATACATATAGGAATGCCACCGTCTAATACAGTGGTTCCCAAACTTTTTCACAAAAATTCCATGACGAACCTCTTGCATTTTTTTTTAATGATTCGCGGCCTCGTGCACCAGAACAAAACATTAAAAGATCACAAGAAAAATATGAATGCGCCATAACCACTCGTCTAATACATAACTTTTGAAATGACGAACATAACGTTAGTCATCAGCTGTGGCGCACATTACCTTCAGAATCTGTTCTGGTCGTCAAACTAGAACAAAACTATTCGCCTGATCCAGGCTAGAATCACGTGATAAACCTCATCTGTATGGCGCACAAATGGCCCCAAGGGCATGACAGCCAATCTTATATTCAAATGAATTATCTTGTGTCGATGTATCTACCCACAACACCAATGACACAGAAGGGGCTTATCACTAATCCTATCTTTCGATATAGTACCGATAAAGTACTCGCCACGTGTCTGGGTAAATTTTGAGGAAGTCCAACGCCAAAACTAAATTGGTGATTTAACTTTCAAGTCCCAGGTAGAGTAGCTATAATTCCGAGTCGCAAGTAGTTGCTCTTCTCAACCGCAAGTCCAAGTCTGGGCAAATATGGATACGGACACGCTTCACTTAATTGAGAAAGTTTTTTTTCAAATTACAATTGACAGCATCAGCTACCCCCTTTCATATTTGTTTGTTCATTCTTTAATAACATCGATTAATTTGTGTTAGTTGAAAATATCTTAAGAACCTCTCGAGACATTAATAAGAACCCTTCCCCTCTGCTAAGAAAATGGTTAGCAGGGGAGATCTGCCAGCCTGATCAAACCATATTGACAGATTCCTCTATTCCCCCACAGTAAAAGGAATGCTCACCCCCAATAATGTCTCAATCCCCTGTGAGCTCTGATCTTCTTCAATCTCTCTGTATCTTCACGAAGTTTGTTATCGAGCTGGTTAGAGAGAACCTGCAAAGAGAACAATGTGTAACTATATGGAATTGCTCTTGTGCCTTGACCAGGGCTGTAAACTTCGCCATATTTTTTACTAATATTTAGAGCCAGAACTGGGGCCGCACTTTTAGCCTCCAGTTGAGATTTTAAATTATACGGAGCCACAAGTCCAGCATAGCTTACATACACCAAAGTTTGGGGTCAAAAACCGAAACATCCATAGAAATATACACCGATGAGCACTAGTTGGTAATGGCTCTATTCTTTACTCTACTGCTAGGTGTCTAAGACCAGCAGACTCAGTGTCAAGATTTCTCCATGGTATGTTACAGAGAGATTCCACTCTTACAAGTCATCATTGTCTGCTTTCCAGTCCATCAATCCTAGATTTAACCAGACCCAGGTAATTAGAGAGGCAGGAGTTTGGCATGTCTCATCCATACCAGAGTCGTAATTGTATTTTTTTTTTAAAAGTTCCACATCGGATTATTCTTAATCATTATGAACGGTAGCATTTTTGAACCAAAATTTTGCTTGATCTATGAAGAATTTTTGATTTTGGTTTCTTCCCGAAAACAAATATTAATTTTGAACGTATCAGAGATATTCAACAAATCTGACAAAAATAGTAATTCCAAAGCAACACAAAAAGTGACAGTCAGCTGCAGGATATTAATCATTATAACATTTATAATAATCCCTACAATACACAGAGTCTCACCTGACTAAATTTGCCGTCCTTTATATCTTTCTGTCTGTTCAAGAACCAATCAGGGATCTTATATTGCCTGGGGTTCTGCATGATCGTTACGATTCTATCGATCTCATCGTCTGTCATCTCTCCAGCACGTTTTGTCAAGTCAACATCTGCCTGGGATGAGAAATATAGTTATTCTAAATTGGATTGTGTTCAATAAAAAATTTGGATAATTCATTGTGAATGGCTATATATCAAGACTGGTAAAAATAGTATAGAAAACCTGTTCTGAATAATATGAATGTGTGACCATGGAACATAATATCTTTCCTGCAAACATTTAAATGAGGTAAACCAAAGCCTCCTTTATGGAGAATTTATATTAGTTTTATTATCGCTTTGTTGTGTCTGGATATTGAAGACTGGTTACATTAATATCAAGACAACTGCTGGTACAGCACAGTTCTATATATATCTATAAAACAAGAACTCTACTCGCCCCTGAAATGAGAGCGCCTGGTACAACAGCAAAATGTTTGTTGTGATAATATTATAAATTGATCATGAACAAGACCCGAGTCACTGTTTATTAAACCAAGATTTACTCCTGTATTATTATTAGTGACAGAATAGGAACAAAATTAGATGGTCAAGCCTCCCATTACAAATCAACCCCCTACCTTCTTGCAAATCAAGTTGCTGAATCTTCTGCCAACGCCCTTGACAGCCGTCATCGCGTACACGATCTTACGACGACCATCAATGTTGGTGTTCGTGATACGCAGAATGTGCTGGAACTTCTCAGGAATAACCAAAGCCTGAATTGAATCATTGTCAAATTAGAAAAATGTTCCGAAATATTCACAATTTTACACCCATTGTTTGGTTGTCTACTAACTTGCTGTAGGACAGGCAACAAATACAACTAAATTTTTATCAAGTCTGCAAGACAAATTTGCAATGGTTTTGTGTTTTGTCAGTTATTAAATTATCAGATTATTCCCTCATATGTAGAAGCGGTCATTGTAACTATGACAAAAGTCCGATCACTGCAATCCTATTGAAACCAATACGGTTAGAAGAACTGCTTTCGGAAATTATGAATATAATCATCCCGCTCTGAAAGTGTCGCTATAAATTTTGGTCACGAAATTTTAATAAATTACCTTTTAAAACACTTGAATCCAATCTTGCTGAATTCACAGAGTTGATTATTTCTAATAAATGTCGACAATGAAAGTTTGATTTCACGCGATATAAATTTAACTTACCATGACCACAGGCAGCTACGAAACTTCTCCAAAAAGAACGGTATAGCAAAATCATTCAACCAAATCAAAAACGGGTGGTGGCAGAAGACGTAATTATTAAATCCGGAAATATACAGAAATTTGAAATAGGAATATATTTTGTTGTAAAACTCGCGACAATAATAACCAGTAATGTAATATTCAGAAAAACACTTTAATAAAATTTGAATATAAATAATCTTCGAGTAGTATCCTAATTATCGATTTCAGGCTCTTTTTTTAATCTGGATCCCCAACCTGCCTACCATATCCGGAATGGTGGATGTAATCAATTTGCCATAAAATTAATCGGTGTTTACATTGAATTTTCCATCATCGGGGTGTTCATAATCAAGGACAATTATTTACCACCTTTACAATTAAATTATCTTGGAAAAATTGGAATTTAGGAAAATGAGATTTTATCGCATCAACTCAATTCTAGGTTTGACTCGAAACTCATACACGCAAGAATTTCGAATTTTGATTTGTAATTACAAGAGTTTGTCTGGTATAATGATAATTTTGAATCGCCAAGGCTCATATCGGTTGAATTTTATCATTTTTATCAATTAGTGAAGAATGATTCAACAATCACAATTTGTGCAGTATACACTTCTTTCGCTTAGGTATATTTGTGAGTTTTTAATTGTGTTCCCATAAGTTAGTTGTAATTAAAATAACCTAATTGTCACCAAGTCTTCCTAAGAGCTTTATTTTTGCCCCAATATTGAAAATTAATCACGATCAGTTACTGTAAGCCGCACGCGGTTGAATTTATTTTTGTATAAAAAATCATGGGTTTTGAACAGGCGAATCAATTTGTGAGCGCCAGCTCTTCAATACAATTCTGAAAAAAGTCAAAAAGTTTACATTACTCAAGTATAGGACCTGATTTTGATAAAACCATCAATAATTTTCCACGTGCGCTTCGCATATATTTGTTTATCTTCACCCTTTCAGGAGAATAGATTGGCAACGCATAGTTTAAATGGCACACGTGGCTCGTCGGTGTGCCACATCGTGCCGGCGTTGGGATGTTCTTGCCACCGCGCCTTTGATTACCCTGCGTGGGTTCGAATCCTCTGTTGTCATAACGTCTATGCATCTGAAAATAAATAGGCGAACTGACAAACCAATCCCATTCCCGACATGTCCTAGTAAACGGATGAAATGCAGGCCGTATATATGCTTAAGTCGGTCCCCATTTACTTTGGCTTAATAAAGACCGGCATGAATACTTAAATATGATCGAATGATAGTGGGGGTGTGATAACTTAGAATAGGATTTTCATATTTGTCCCATGTGAGAGGAAAGTCGATAAGAAGACTCAATCATATGACGAACCATAGCCAGCGGTTTCGTTAACGCCACGACGGCGCGAAGTCCAGCAACTATCTCGGACATAATTATACATTTGATTGGCCCCCCTAATAAACATCATTTTGTACACGACTTGCCTCTAGCACAAAATTGTCGCAAGAGTTCTGGTAGATTACATAGTAAACCATTAACATTCACCAATTCTTGGATTGACGATCATATACGGTTATGGTGCATAAAATAAGCACATGCTCTAAGAAAAAAAAATTTCAATGTTGCCTCAGTGTTCAATGAAATAAATAGAGTTGGTCATGCGATACAAATCTCAATCTTGAAATACATTTTTGCTTCTTTTTCAAGTAGCGACTTGAAACTCCTCATAAATTTTTGTACGTATGAGAACTATTTACAGTGTAAAAGTGCCTTAATGTGGTTGAAAGCTGATCCAAAAATATAAAACTATCAGAGTGGAATTCCCTCCAAACTCTTTAGATCCGGAAAATAATTTGCCGCATCGTCCTAAGCGTTTTTGGTGATTCATATGCGTGTTTTTGTACTCTGATCTCATAAAATCGAGTTTAATAAAAAAGTCCCTGGTAGAAGTGCTGCATAAGTGAAACCCAAAACTACAACAGCACCAACAGAAGCTTATAAGATTTGTTTCAGAAGTTTCTTATAGATACAAACATTGATTAAATATCTGTGACCCACTCTCTTCTGCGATAAAAATATAATTTTTGACCCATTCATTGGAAAAGGTTCGCCATCCCTGACCTAGAGCCTAGCACTGATTCTCAATGAGGACTCCTAGAAACAAAGATCCAAAAACATTGTATCGACATGAACTGTTTTTTTCAATCGGTACTTAATAACAGTTTTAGTTTCAGTAGCCTTCGGCACTTCAGTGCTCACCCATAGCACGACACAAAAATCAGTTTCTTTGTGACAATATAAACTGTTACAAAAAAGGCCGGACTTCCTCTGCAGTCTGTTAGAATTTACCCAGCTCCTATTCACCGATAAACTGTTAAAATCGACAGACACTACAAAAAATAAACTATTACATTTTTAATAAAATCACACTTTTGCAGATAAAAATATTGCTATATTACTTCATCTTGAAAAATAGTGCAACAATTTCACAATATACGCATGGCATCACCATTGCCAAGAGACTTCAAGTCAACCCTGTCAGGAAAACAGCAAGGCCTGTGCCCTAAAATTCCCAGGATATAAATCCTAACTGTTTTCTTACGCTCAAATCGCATCTACACCTTAACGAAAAATCTTCAAATTAAACAATAATTTCAGAACCTCCTAAATTCAAGTGATTTTTTCCAAACTTTTAGAATTTGCATTGAATAATAAAACTTTAAATTCATCTAAAATATTCTTCCAGGTAACTGATGACATATCCGATGCCGATTCGTTTTCTGAGGTCATATTTGTGACATCATTATCGCATTGGCTAATAATGTCACAATGACTAATGACATCATAATCATCAAACGAATTCTCAGAAAATAACGAAAAATTCGAACTGATAGCGTAGGAATCATTAGTTCCGTTATAAATTGAATTTAACTGTTCTGCATCACCGGCCATGAAAGGATCAGTTAAGGAAATAGATTTTGGCAAAGCGACCAAACTATCATCATATTTGGTTTCGGCAATTTTGGTCCGCTGAGAAGTCTCATTGCTGTCACAATGTGTTATCACAAGGGATGAAAGGGATTTCATAATTTTTTCTAATTGCGTAATAGTTGATCCCTCGACTATCGGATCATGTAATTGCGCAATACGGCTCGATGGGTCTGCCGAAGCACTTTCAGTCAGTTCGGACAGAATATTGATCAGTAGACCTCTGCTACCACCATTAGGAAGTGTGTCATCAACAGTAAATGGTATGCGAAATGGAGTTTCTGCAAGAAAAATATGATAAAAGACTTTTTCTCAAATCGTATTGAAAAATATACCGTTCAAATACTCAAAGTGGCAAAGTGGACCTTGAAGTCTTGCCAGCCCCTTCCGATTATATTCATGATTGTTCGTGTTCGTATTCATTATTGATCGTGTATTTTTACTGCGATATGTACTTACATGTAGTGCAATATTCGAAAATAAATCAAAATCTATCCACTCAGGCACATTAAGAGTCGTCGACATCAAAATGTCAGACAACCATTTAGCAGTGATATGCATTTATTCAGAACTAATAATTTACTCAGTGATTGATTGTCTGTGGCAGGGGTTCCCAAACCAGGGGTCGCGACTTCAAATTGGGTCAGAGTGATAAGTCGGTGGGTTCGCTGAGGTATGGTAGATGATGGATGTACAAAACATCTAAGATTTGACAAACCATGTTAAATTTAGCAGTTTGCACCATGGCTTATTGTAAAACAGGCCCATAGGCATCGCTATATGCTTATGCTATAGAAAATGTAGGTGCTTATTGTAACGTCACTATTTGGTTTTAGCTTACTTTCCTTAATACCATCACATGACCCATCTCAAAAGTCTAGTGAAAGAAGCCTCAGAAGTTCATTAGAAATATATATATATATTGACCTGGGGTCGCACTGGACACTTGAAAGTTGTCTTTGGGGTCGTCCTGAAAAAAGCTTGGGAACCCCTGGTCTATGGAGTACTGAGTGGTCATTTGATTATCCTGAACCATATATATCCCATCTTCATACTAGTGGGACCTGCTAAGAGGGTGGTTGGGCTCAGGACACACTGATTGCCACTTCCAAGTGAGTGAACAGGAATCCAACTAGCTAATGAACCTGAGATAATAGTTCAACACAGCGAAGCAACTGACCTGGCATGTCGGTACCTCCTTTCTCAATATGCACAATATTAACTTCAGATTTAACTTTATATCTGTGGTGGCTGGAGATAATCAAGCCAAGGAACACTGAGCCATGATTCGAGAACATCGTTTGTTGCTCAAACTGGAAAAGCAAATGTTTACGTTAAAAACCATCTGATAAGTTCACATTTGTTATCCCAGCATATAGATTAAAATTTGCAAATCAAGGTTCAACATGAAATTACAGTTGCCCCCACTAGAGCCAAGTAGGAAGTTGCAGAATAAAGGGTGTGTCAATCAGTAACGGGGTTAAAGTTAAAACAGATGAATAATGGAGTAAGAGTAACTGTAACCTTACTATAGGCCAACCCTATACAAAGCCCATTCTGCCAATAACTTGCAGACACATAAAAGAATATTAGGTACATACATGCTGGAGATATAAAATATTGGAGGAAACTATTTCAGATGGGCACGGAATCATTAACACTGAACCACAGATTCAAAGTCCATCGACATCGAAGAAATTCTATGAATATAAAAACTGCTGAGCACGACTTCATCAGCAAATCTGCTGTTATGAGCAAGAGTTCAGAAGCTTTGTTGCATGGGTTCAAATTCCCTCCCTTATCCGTCATGAACTTTGAATACTAATGCTACATAACAGACGTACATCCCATGGCTTGTGTCACGAGAAAAGAGGCAACAACTTGAGAAATTGCATGGGTACAAAAAGAGTTATAAAGCCAATGACACTGTCCATGTCAGCACAAACATTTCACTGGTTTTATAACTGTTCGTAACCATAGACAGGACTGGTAACGGCATATTACTGGGTTGACATTCCATTGGATAAATATATAATTGCACCTATCTATAGCTATAACCAAACACAAATATTGCTGACTATTTCAACCCTTCATCCACACAGGATAATGAGGCCAAATTACAAACCTGTGTCTTGATGTCGGTCTCTGATGGATGGGAAGGAAACGTAGGGTGGGAGTGGTACCAACCAATCACTGTGAGACCTCTAGTGGTTATGTGATCATTTGCAACAGCCTGCGAAACTGCAAAGCAACAATCAAAGAGTGAGAAAAATGGTATTCATGATGCGGGAACCTATGAAGGTATGCAAACATATTCCTAATGATTAATACAGCGAGGGAATTATTGGGTTGCATTGATGGGCATGAATTTTCGACCCAAAATGTAGTTGAAGCCAGCACTCTCACCACATCACAATATCAAAAAATTGAGCCTTCATACTTAAATGATTTATCTATCCCAACAAACCAAACCTACCTGAGTTCATCTCACAATGCCTCGCAGAACTTGAACTTTTACATGGTTGAGCGCACACAATATGAACTTTGATTCTTCCCTTATCGTCATTGGTGATATAGCCTCCAAGCAGCCCCATAACTTCATGTCTTGATAAATGCGAATGAGCATCCACAACAATCAATGCCGATGCATGGATTGTGACATCATAAGGGCAATCCTAACATAAGAATAAATACAAAGATTTATGGCGAGCAAACGTATGTCACCATCTTTTGGGGTATGTTTTCATATTTATCTTGAGATGAGGAACGGCTTAATCATATTGCAGACCATGGCCTCTCACACGGCCAACAGTTCAATATGGTGAACTAGTCGTTTATTTCAGATGCAGGGACTTGATGGTAGAGGAAGCTGTAACCGACCAGCGTTACGAATGCATGGACAACACAAACATTGAACGAGTATTTTTTATACCGCAACCTTTCTTATTCATATAGCCAGGCATTGTTTCTAATTTACATCAGGGTTGAGTACATAGAATAAGTAGAGGAAGTTGAGTCATGCAATGCACAAGGAAATTAAGTCTAATTTTCATATGAGATTGTGGCAGCTTTGTCCTTCAAGCATGCGTAAAGCTTTATTGAGACAACTTGTCACTGTTGCAAAGTATGTATGGGCTCTTGGAGTTGAATTCTGTATATTATTTTCATCATATTATGGACCATAACTCACTACGCCAACTTATATGTCCTACAACATTATCGGACATCCAGACAAGGTGTATCATGATTGAGTACAATGATAGACAGCTAAATCGGCTTGCAAATACCACACAGTAACCTTGCAACCAAACAAGGTTCACTGTATGCTAGGCCAATGTCCCACGAACATTTCAGCCATAGCTATATTGATTTTAATGGGAATAAATGTCATAAAAAAGGACCACATGGGGCATAAGAACCTTCAGGCTAGATCAGAACATTTGTATATAATTGACATATTCCAACAGTGCTGGCTGTACAGACAATAACGCTATTTCGGTGAATTAATTGCTAGTAAGATATCTCCAGATGTGATATTCAGTGTATTTGAGGAGAGCTGGGCCTTAACCAAGTGGTGGCTGGTATTATGTCACTCTTACATTAAGATCTTAATAATACCCAGAAGCCAGCCGAATATCAATGAATGAATACTGGAGCGGCAAAGACTAGAGTAACAAGAAGAGATAACTCACGACTTCATATTCGTATTCTTTGCATTTTATCAATTTGAATTTGTTAACATTTGACTTGGGTTGCGGCTCTTTCTTGCTTTGTGGGATCACAATTTGATTGTTATTCGCATGATCGATCGTGTATCCACCAATCAGATCGTCTGTGGCAGGGATGATGGAGGCGGGCCTTTTGCGACTTCTCTAAAAAAAAAATTTTTATTGGCAAATAAGGGAAAGGTTCGAAAATTTGTCCAGTTTGATGGGAAGGCAAAAATACAGCTTAATCATATGGCAAGCCATGACATCTTGTCCTGTTAACCAGTTATTTATTCAGGATGTACAAACTTGAAGCTGTAAACCGTAACCGTTGGTTGCTTGAACCACCCTATGACGAGGACAAGTCCAGCAATCCTAACAGACATAATTATTCAAACTTGCGAACCCATAGAGAGTCATCATCAGTGCAAAGGCAAGCATATTTCTGAAGCTTAGCATGATGCGGCATCATTTTCATAGGCAAGGTCAATCATTTCCACACATTATTCGATTTATTGGTCATATATTTAACATATATTTTTAATTTTTAGAAAAGTTAGAATATTTTAGAAAAAAGTCACAATATTTCCAAAACATGATATACTTATGTACTTTCTGAATTTCCTAAATTCATCTCATTAAATATGCAGACTCTTCAGTGTGTTCTATGTAATCTAATTCGGAATAAAATTGATATACCATAATCCAAAAATATAAATACATTTTCAGAATGTATTTAGAATAGCATATTACTTGGTTTTGGCTTACATAATGAAAATATGCTCTGCTGAACTCGGATCCAATTTGAGAAAACCTAAACATAGCCATATGAGATAATATCAATCGGTATAACTGCATTAGCACTATGGTTTGGTGGCCGTTTAATTTATTTGGTTATGCAAGATTGGGCATAGCTTATGGTTTGGTGGCCGTTTAATTTATTTGGTTATGCAAGATTGGGCATAGCTTATGGTTGGTGGGTATGTATCCCCCGTTGTTTGTTATTATAGAAAACCCCTCGAATAAAAAATTACCACTCACTCCACTCATTCTTTGCTCTAAGGCCCGTTTGAGTTTGAAATCTGTATCCAGAGCTGTATGGTTGTTGGTTGGTTGAGGTCGATTTCTTGGCTTCTGTCGTTTCTTTTGCTTTTTCCACCAGACCAGGTCACTCCCATAGTTTATTGCACCGACTGATTCAAGGTATCTGTGTGAACAAAATTGTTAGAAAACTTGAAATTCTAAACATACTTCAAATTATCTGCCCTAAGCCAAGAAAATTCAGATCTGGGGTGGAATTGCTCCATGGAAGATAAACCCTGGCTTAAGTGGCAGACACATGGGTTATCAAGTCTGCATTGTTAAAAAGTTCAGCAATCAAGAGAAATCAAAAATTCTGCCTGTTTTTGCCTCATTCGGATAAACTGTCAGTTGGTTTAGACGAGGTACATGATGCTTGTATTCAGGTCTGCATTGTATGAACGGAAATCGGTTTACAAGATTAGGTTGCAATTCAGGGCAATAAAAACAAATCAATTATTGAGTGAGCCAACGATGTTTTATGAGGAAAATAAAAAGAATTATGATCATTTAAATTCCAGAAATTATAGCTGGTTTTTAATGTTGAACAAATTTGAAAGTGAATGAAGATTGCTCTGAACAAAGATCTAAACGAGCATGACTAAGCATTTTTACAGGGTCAGGATACGTCCCTAATTCATTTCTTACTTGAATGAAGAAGCCTAGACAGACCCAACACCTACTATACCAATGTTGGTATTATGTGGGTGACAAGTCAAAACTGAATTACAAACAAAAAATTAATTTTACATATGGCCTGTAGAATTAATGCAGTGGTAATGCTAGGATATAAAACTAGTAATGTAAACGACCTAGATACCATTTGAGTCAATATTTAAAAGGGATAAGGGGTTTCATAAATTATTATGGCAAACAATGAAAACTGACATAAAATAGGTCAATTGTTGGGCTGGGTTTCCATTTAAAGGACTCACAGTAAGTTATTCCACAAACAAAGATATTCTAAGACTGCTCTTAAAACTTTATGATCACAATGATTGATTCATGTATGGCCAATGAAAATTACAAAACCCAAGTTATAACGGTTTTCCAGAAGCTTGAACACCCTTTTCATACTACCTACTTTAGATACTACCCAATCAGATTTAATCTGAATCATACGACATGAGAATACACATGGACTGCGATACGTGCCACCCGGAACGAAACCAATGATGAAGGTCAAGATAATGTAAATGTTTTGATTAAATAAAACGTGCATATACTGGTAACTCATGGATATGTAAATATTCACTTCTGCATACAACTCCCTATGAAATGCTTCAAGCCCTCATATTGAAGATGGCCCCATGCTAACAGCCATACATACCAAGCTACTAGGTTTGGGACATCACAACATTGGTTCAGCTGTTTTCCTATTTCTATATATTTAGCAAAACTTAGTTTTGGATTCTAAACTCATTAATTACCATGAAATAATTATTTTCCTGAATACGTGCCTGCTATGACTTATGGGAGGCCGACACCCATTAGGTACATATTGAAACCAACAGCAGATAGGAATACTTGATGATGAACGTGTGATCAGGTATGTGGTCAAAACAAGACAAGTTTGGATTTGTCAATGTAAACTTCTGCATCGTAATGCATGATAGGAATCCTAACCACAATGCCTTAATAATGGATCATGGGTTTGAATTTGTTTAAATTATTTCAAATTATTACTGTTGATATGGATGGAAATATAACAAAGGATACAACCTACATTATCAAACATCAGTCTTCATATTTATACCTTCAGGGCGGGATCATATAATTTATAATGCATTATTGGCGCATAATTGGCCATGCATAGATGAATAGGGTGGGAAACATGGGAGTGAATCAGCATCCTGTGCAAAGTCCAACAAGTGAAATGATTTCAGTCTGCAAAATGCAAAGACAGCAATTCCGATACTGCAATGCAAGCATTTCAACCTTTCAGAGAACAAAAAAAACCCAGTGAGAGTAAATTTGAATACAAAACATGCCAAAATGGCCATATTATTCATAGATGAGATAATGCTTCAAAGCTTTACCACATGTGCACTAAACATGAATCTAGACAAGTAGCTACTCTAGAGCCACTACCATTAGGAAGTCCAGAATATTTTGGGTTTACTAATTTAATACACTCTGAGTGCGTTGGTGGGCATATAGATCGAAATGGATATCTTCAACCTTTCATACTAATATCTTCGAGTCCGACGCTATAACAATGGTTTTTAAAGTATGGGTCGCAACCCAAACATGGGTCTATAAATGAGTCGCAACAAGGTCGTCAATGTAAGGGCTATCCAAGAGAAAGTGGCTGAATATTTGAGCTGGTCCAATATCCCAATTTACCCTCTTAAGTTTGGTATTTAAAACAATGAAATATAAAGAAAGAACTGTCTTGAGTTCATTGTTACATCACAATTTATATACCAGTCTCGTGTCTTGTTCTATGGGTGTCAGTAACCATGCACCAAGGCAGTAACCAGGCTTGTTGTTGAGTTGACTGCACAGAATGACATCATTTTAAAGCAAAAATGGATCCCTTTATTGGTAATGTGAATCCTAATAGAGAAAATGTGGCTTCAGCTCAAGCTTCATCAACTGCGAACGAAGCACTGTGATCACATTTGATGAGTGAAAGGTTGCGAGAGAGAATGAAGGCTTAGGCAGGATGTCATGTTTGCTACGGACAGCGGCATAGATGATTGGAAACAAAGTAATGACTTTTCTGTACCATTCACGACTGCGTAGCTATACAAGCAGGGATTTTCAGCACTGAAGGTTCGCCTAAATTCCAGTGCTGACTGCCTGACTTGCACATTTAGCTCAGTAAACTAGAGCGGTGTATAGAGATATAATAAAGGACTGTGTCAATGGACTGTTTCTGATAAATCGTTGTCTGTATTTGAGTCTAAAGAGTACTAACACCGAAAATAGATTTTTGTTAAGAATTGGGTCACGAGTATTCATAAATCTCAAATTTGGATCGCGCTCAAAAAAGTTTGAGAACCACTGCGCAATAAGTTATAACAGCCTGAACACTGCACCAAACACCTAACTTAGTCATTTGACAAAGAATTCAGCAGAATTAAGAATGATACCAGGGATGACAATTCTGAGTGAAATTACCTGTAGGTGGTAACTGGTAACAAAGTGTTGGATCACAAATAAAAAGAAAACTATACAAATAAGGTTTTCAGGCCAGTTGGATATTATACAGGTAGTAAAATGAAGAATGAAAAAGTAAACCTTGAATAAATCCCCTAATCGTAACAACTTTGTTCTATTCCCAGTTAGTTAATAAATCAGTTCCATATTTCGTAAACATTTCTGATGTTTATCAGCTAATTTTGATTTTGTAGTCTATGTTTGACGTTTGACGCTTTACTATGATAAGCAAATATTTGAAGCAGTTTATAGTTTCAAAACAATGATACTGCCACATTCAATGATTGGCTGAGAGGTGGGTGGCGTTTCGTGGGGTGGGAACTTTCTGCTGCATTGCAGTTTAAGTTATAAGGATTCATGTCAATATCAACTCAGAACGAATACATGTCTTAAAAATAGTCTTATATTAATAAGGAGTTTGTTGTTCTGTTCCAGGGCCAAGAATAAGTCGATAAAGCTAATACAATGAACAGCAACATTAGCCAGCATAGCATGGCAGGAATATATCACACATCAACAATTGGTATTAAATATTGCATATGGCCCAAACTAAAATATTCAGATAGATATTTCTCATTTAAAACTTGTGATTTTCATCGGTGTTTAGTTTTAGATGACATTCTGAAAATATTTTCGATATTTAAAATTCAGTAACTTTAAATAAAAAGTTTGATGTTCAATCTTAGTTAGTAGGTAATACTATGGGTAATTCTCCTTAGACTGAAACGCTCCAATATGCATCCCATGGATATCTATTCCTAATAGCCAAATGCTATGAGTTCCAATTTTTCAATTGATTTCTTTCAACTATTTTAGACGCATTAAATTTATTAAAGCAGAACCATGAAATAAATTTCCTCGGTAAATCTTGATATCCGAATTCACATAATAGTTTCCTCAAATGGTATTTAATAGCGTTGCGTTTGCAGCAGCTTAAATCCAGCAATATTAATTAAAAGATAAGTTCTAGTGTGTATACCGTCCCAAGTGCAATGCAAGGACAGACTAGTTGGATCTCTCGGGAATAATTGGAATTAACAAATCTTCCTATGAAGTTTATTTGAAATGGGTTTGCTTCAAACAAGCCACTGAGCAAGCGACTGAATATAGTCATTCAATAGAATAATATCTTGCTAGATAATTCAATTCAATGCATGGATCTAGTATATAAATCACAAAAAACAAACCTGTGTATGCGTCCGATATTATTGACGTTGCCACAACCTTTCTTGAGAATGGGACGTAGCATGACTTTGTTGACATGAGATGGCTTGTTCTGAATCCTGTGAGAAAATTTAACATGTTGTTCAACTCAGATGAATACGCAATGCGAGAGAGTGGGAATGGCAGGTAACCATCGGCAACAACCAACCATATATAAGTTGAACTACCTTTATTCCATTCTGGGATCACAAAACTATGGACTAAGTGACAATGTCAAAAATTATTATTCAGATTTCCTAATTTGACATTCATTTTTTTTCATTCTCGTACTGTTGATAGTGATAACTGATAACAAATAAATTCAAATTTCCTTAGGACTAACACTCCTAGGTACTACTTGCGTTTTTGTGGTCAAAAATCCGTTTTTTTTTTTCAGAGTTAAGAGCTGGAGTTGGAATCAAAAGCCAGAGTCGAAATTTATGTTAAGTTGGGGGTCATTTTTTGAATAGTTTGGAGTTTCGTCCACTCGGCAGCCCTGATCATCTAGTTCCAAGGTAAATTTCAATACAAAAGAATAACGCCCTCGTAGACTTCAATCCATGGATTCATTCAAAACTTTCAACAACTCACCATAACCTCAGGATAGCGTTCCTGATATTAAGATATTTTCCCGGACAATATTTTGTTTGGCCGCTAAAGAATTCAGGAAACACTTCTCGCTCTTCCTCACTGATGACATCGAGTGGTAGTTCTCGCTCCCTCTTGGGGGGTAAAAATATATCACCAGAATCATCATAGTAGGTGACATCTGTCAAAATAATATTATCAGGAAGGAATAAACAAGAGCTCAAATATACAAAAATAGGGGCATAGGTTCATGCTATCACCACAAGCTCATACTATCACCGCAATATACAGTTTACTTAGAAACAGAAAAATTTGGGGAAAACAACTGGATAAAGCAAATCTAGCTATTTTTTACTATTGAAAATTTGAAACAGGACAATGGAAACCATTTTTGTCTCATCAACAACAACTTAACAAAACAAAATAGATTTACTACGTTGATGAAGGTTTGCAACCGATCACTCAGTTAACTTAAAAGTTGGCAATAAACCAAGGTTCAGTCTAGATTTAAATCTTGGAATCTAGCTCCAACTCAGATTAAATAGTTTCAACATTTCGTTTCAAATTCTCTAAAAGACATTCATTAAGATTGACATATGAAGACAAGGCATCCCGATAAATCTAGATTGAATGAAATTCAAAATCAATATCTTTTTAATTTTAAAATATTTTCAAATATTCGAATTCTCCTAATTTTTTTCAAATAGAATTCAGATTAACGAGACAAGAAAAATTCAGTAGGCTATTCCAACTACAATCATAGAAATCAGAGAAAACTCAAATCCATGATGAACAAGAATAAAAGTATGACTACTCGTTCATCTGTGTTCGAGGATGTCAAGAATCAAACAGAGCGATTGGGAAATATATTTCCTGTATTTAACAACAGTGTAACATTAGGTCAGAGCAACAAAGCCACAAAATACAAAGAATTTACAGCAAGAATGAAACAATATCTTCGTCAAAGTGTTTTCCAGACAACTGAACCTTCCCCCTCCTAACAATTTCAATGCAAATCAGTCTTTTAATCTGATTATCCAACACTTTATGATTTGAAATAACGGAAGAAAATGTCAGCGGCGTCTCAGTCACTTTTATTAATCCATAACAATTGAATTACAGAACAAGATTTCTCTCTAAATTTAACCGGTTAAGTCCAATTGTGAGGAAAAACAAGATCAATATAAAAATTCAAAATACAACATCTCCCTACCAGTGTTCGCCTCTCCTTCTGTTGCCGACATTCCAGAACTATCTGATGATACTGGTTCCCGCAACATTGGATCAAGTTCTAAATGCCTGAATAAAATAGATTTCTTTTAAAATGCTGATGCATAGAACAGGGCTACATTCTCACAATGTGCACCATTAGATTAAGAAGTTGTCTCACCCAGGTCCGTCCTGTGCATCACTCGCGTTGTTACTTCCTGGTACGTTTGACCTCTTGAACTCATTCGCTGACCTCCACCATCTAGTGAGATCGTTCTCATGAACTAACTCAGTTGATTTTCCTATTTTGTCAGTTTTAGTTCGTTTGAATGGAAGGTTTGTGTCATCATAACGTGAATTTCCACCATTGGGAGAAATATTGATTGTTTCTTGATGAAGAATTGTTTTGTTGGTTACTGATGAATCAATTGTGACATCATCATAAGCACAATTTCCGAATGTGGCATCATCATTTTCTATATCGACTAGTTCATCTTCGTTTGTGCTCGCTACGATGATTGTTGAGTCCATTGCATTGTGGGAAATGCTATTGCATTGTGGGTAACTATCTTGGCTGACACATTATGAGATCACATAACTTTACTATAACTAGAATTATGAGTAACTTAGAATTATGGGTAATCTGAAACTAATTAATTACAACAGTGATAATTATAAATCATGAAACAATGAACAAACACACAACACTACAAAAAGAAAAAAAGGCAGGAAATGCAAAAGTTATTATTTACAGTAGAGCCAGGGGGACATGGATGGTGTTTTTATATATAAAACTATAACAAACTGACACAAAGAACAATCTGTTATATTGTCACAGACGAGTGAAATCTTTAACAACCCTATAGATAACTCTTCCGCCAGATAGGTACACAAAAAGTGTAGAGATTGATATGACGTGCAAGGGGTCTCCATTATTAGTTTATCCAGTCGAAACAAAAATCAAAAAGAATGTTGAGATATCTTAATAAAAGTGAACAATGAACATTCCCAAATCAGAAATTTTCAAACCAATAAATGGCAAAGGACAATCATTCTGTATACATGCCAATGATTAACATCAGCATGTGATTTGAGACTAACGACACCTATCTACAGCATTCAGTTGAAATGAATTTCAAAATTGATTGAAATATTTAAGGTTGAAATATATTTGGAGAATCAGAAATTTTCAAATCATTACAGGAAAGGGCTTATATACATGCTGAGGCTCAATAACAGTGTGATTTGAGAGCATTAATAATACCAGTGGGTAATAAAATGCTATTGCCCAAAGTAGTCACAATTCTGGGATCCTCATCTGGTAAAATATTCAATATTCCAAAGCTCAATGTTAAACAGGTATGTTCTGGTGCTGAGGTTGTAATGTTTATTATTCAACCCCCTCCAACATGTGAACCCATCCGTCAATATTTACATCCATATCTATCAAGACACGTTGGTCTCGTTTGAGCACAGTAAACAAGTACACACCTCCAACACACCTCATAATGAGGCTGTACTGACATGATGTCAAACAAAAGGTTATGATTATTAGCTCACAAATCAATGTAATGTTGGCCTGCTTTTCAGCAAAACCAGTGAATATGAATTTTGTACAACAGGTATTTATTAACTACAGAATAACAATTTTGGTTCCCAAATCCCTAATGGAAAATATAACTTTTGAATGAGTAGTCCAGGGTTGTGAAAGTGTTCTGTGTTGTATCATAGCCAAATATAACAATTCCCAAGGTATGAAATGATATTGAGCTGAATGGATGAGAAGAATATTGGGTAATTCGTGAAAAATGAAAACAAAAAATTAAACAAGCATGAATTAATAAAGCACCTTAAACCAAAATTAACCCATTTTCAGCTTGAGGGCAATAAATTTCAATGTTTTGTGATATTTGTCAGATTGTCACAAATCATAACTTCACAATCATTGGTTTTACTTTACATAGAAAATGTTAAAATTCTATCATTATTATTATGAGGAATTTTATTTAGAATATTGGAACCATATTTTTTCCTAAAGTGGCCAAATGTTGACAATTATCCTGAAAATGGGTCAAGAGAAAAAACAACTAATAAGGAAATTAAAAAACAAACAATAATTATAGGCTCGTTACAGACTACAAGGACAAAGTGTTAGTATTCTGGTCAACAGGGGGGAGGGGTCATGAGTTTAATAAAAATAACAAACAGATTTGTTGGGAATGAATTATAACAGATTTATGCAAATTCCATATTAAACAAGCCTGAAGCATGAGAACTCATGCCATACTAGCACAGAGTTTAAGTAAGAAATAATCTGTGATCCCTAATCTACATTACAAGTCAGGGTCGGCATCTAATCAAAAAGGAACTATATTATACCACAATAATACAGGTTGGATATGCATCTGCTTCAAAAACATATAGGTAGGAAATCTCGTAGCATACGCCAATTTTATTTAATGAGTCCGCTACAAATTAATGAAGTTAATTGTCCATCCTCCGAAACGAGCGACACTAGCAAAACACGAACATTAATAAATCCCAACAGTCAGTCTGAATACAATAATACGTATGTTACAGTTTAGCAGACGCCCTCAGTAACAAGCCTTGCCTTGTCAGACGTCTTGGCTATGATGTCATCTCCCGCTGCCACCTCTTCAATAATCGGTTTCTGCAGTGGAGTGTCTCCTGCCGCTATGTCCTTCCCCATGGAGCCGCCAGAAAGCGTACGGATGCGATTCTTTGTGTCTTGATCCTGTGATCCCGTGGAACAGCCAGAATATGTACGAGATCGTGCGAGACGTGACATGATGACAGATGGGATGTAGCCAAGACCTGTTGATGAAGAAAATAAAATTACACGAGATAAAGAAAAGTCAGGCACTACATATAATAACACTATGATATTAAAAAATAGGGATTTAAAAAATACAAGATTAAAAACTTGTTTTGAGGATATTATAAGGAGGAGATATCTGTCATTTGAATTAGGATGATAAACATAATTTATGAAAGAGGTGGGACAGTAATTTTCACTCAAATTCAATGTCAATTCGAACCTTGCAGGAAGTAAGTGATGGCTTCCGCAACCTTGAATGTCTGTTCTTCGAGGATCATCCCGCCCGCATCAGCCATCTTCAAGAATGTTGTTTTTCTTGGGTTGAGTCGAGAGTTGAGTTCCACGACCTCCTCAACAAATGGAGACATATCACCCACTAGGAGGAGTGTGGAGCACGGAATTGAATGCTTTTCGCCCTCTTCTGTAGTGGGTCCGACAGTGCGAAACACGTTGATTTCAGTGCGACGTTCGTACTCCTTCAGCAACAGTTGAACGTTGTTTGCGTTCATGTTGTTCTGCAGATGTTTGCGATGAGCCTCGACTAATTCATGGTTGGCGCGTTCAACTTCCTCTTTTGAGAAATGGTAATTCAGTAGCTGCTCGTGGAGGGGAGTTGCCCAGTTGGTGATCTTACTGCCCAGCCATGAAAGATTTCCAACAGCTCCTCTAGTGGCATTGACAGCAATCAGGCCATCAACAAGAGTGGGATTCTTCATAGCGAAGCGAGTTAGAACATTTGCTCCAAGTCCGCATCCAATGCAGATGGCCTCCTTGATGGAAAACTTGGTAAAAACCTTGGCGACCATATCGGAAAGATTCTCGATGGATGGATAAGCAAATCCCGTCTCCTTACTGAGATCGGGAGCGTTTTCTTGCATCCCTGGTGCATCAATGTGATAGACGCAGAAACGATTGCGAATGGATTCCATGTGCTCTGAGTTGAACAAAGAGCTGAAGTTGGATACGTGATTCATCCCGATGTCATGGAAAGTGATGAAAGGCTTTCCGGTTGAGCGATCACCTTGAATGGTGACATGTACATCAACAGAGTGTGATGCGCCATTGTAAATATACGAGCATTCCACAACAACCGTTTCACCAGCCGTTGACTTCTCAAACAGCAGAGGTTTGGCTTCGGATATGTTAATTTCTTGAAGCTCCATGTCTGCTTTGGGGCTATAGTAATTCTTGACAGACTAGGTTTAGGCTGATATGAGTCTAGAAACCGAAAGTTTGAAGACTGGAATATCTTTAAAAATTCTAACTCACCACTATTTTGTCTAGTGAAAGTACCTGTGAAATTTTTCAAATAGACGACTGGTTATCAATTGTTGCATCAATCTATTCTCACTCAGTATTATATACTTTTGTATTGTAATGGCCTGAATCGGTAACCAAGTTGAATAATTAGAATATCAAACTTTCCGGACACAATCCAAGCCCTATACTGCATTTTCCATTCACACACAATATTTATGAGCTCAAAATTGTGTAGTCAAACTTTGGTGTGTAAACAGTTAAACACCGAGATAATTATGATGATAGCTGGGATGATAACAATAGTCCTAAGCAAAAGCCTGCTTGGGCCAGGGATAAACACTCAGGCAAAGTACACTCCAGACATGGTCTGTGTGTGTATTCAACTTGCCAGACAACAAGAATGACGGAAATAAAACCTGGGTAAACAGAATGTTCCGCGTTGTTTGCTTCAATAGGAACCAAAACATCGGGTTTCAAATTTCGAGTGTGATTATGATGTCACCTTTTATTGGCGGCTGGTTGCGCAACATTGAAATTAATTAAGTTTGAAATACATTAAAAACTATATCTCATTTCACAAACAGTTTCATTGTAAGATTTTGCCAAATTAAGTCCTTGTCATATTTCCTTATACAGCAAATAATGACTTTTGTAAACAGCTGATAAAAAACTTTTGGCAACCAAAATCATAAACGCAAGTTATAATCACCAGTAGTGAGGTCTTGCTATATGCTTCGAGAAAGCTTGAATGCCCAAGCGAAATACCCTGCAATTTTCCAAATTGGTATAACATACAAATCCAGACCGATTTATTATAGACACCTGTGTAACTTTGTGAAATTACTCTGTAGTATTCTCACTGCTGAATTATGTTTGTCGAAACTACATTAGCATCTCCTATTCCTTGCTGAACATTCATTAAATATATTATATTAAAATGTAGCAAAGAATCCAACCAGACACTGTACAATATGGTTACATTTGCTCAATTTACACTTCATTGGTGATTCAGACAAAGAATATGGCAACACTCATCTATCGACGTCATCACTTTTTGTTAAATCAAAACCAAAACACAGAGTCGAGTTTCAAATCAACACAAAGAAATGTCTGAAGAACAGACGACACAGGAAGATTTTTCATGTTGTTCATATCCAGGCCTGTTGTTTATCAGATTAGCAAAATAAAAAACTCTTGCCAATGTACAAATGTATAACAAATAAATACAGAGAAATGTATTACATTCTTTGTCATAATCTAATGAAAAGTTTAAGGATTAATTTGAATATGATAGATCTTGTGGAAATGAGTCATTGTTAGAAAATAATAAATAATTTAGATCGTGATTATGATATAATAGACATGATATGATAGTATGATTAATTTTGGTAGGAAGCCAAATCTGCAATTTCTATAATAGAGATAACGAAATTTCTAAGCTATTATTATGAGATATAAAGATATTTATATTCTTTATTAAATGTGTCCATTTATCAAGTAACTACAGGGACAGCTGATTTGTCAAAAACGATTGATCTCTACAAATTTCTTTGCCGAAAATTTAAAAATAGGAGAGAGCTTTTATGAAAAGTGATTCAATTGGTTCTCTTCTTTTGCAGTTTTCAGAAATTGAACGCTCTCTGAGACTTCAGTTGCTCAAAATGACAAATTTTGAAATAAAATTATTCGTTCTGGACATCTCCGCCTATTATCCCCTTTGTGATGTATCTGAGCACAACCCTGAATATGACTAGAATGAGCAATGAAGCGAAGTAATTGATTTCATGCCCTGATAACCAAGCAATGTCCTGCTGTTTCTATTGAGTTTAATTAGGAAACTCAGCATGTTGGAGGATAATCTAGGTTTCCACTGGGAAGCTTTAATGCAATAACACATGGGTCCTGAAAGAACTCGATATTCAATATGGAATATAAACAGGGCTGCCATCGATATGAACCCAAAAATAAGGACGTCGGTGAAACATGATAATAAGATAACAAAGAACGTACTTGCATCGCAAAAAAACTAAGGAAGATAAATGAACAAGCTTTTTATGTGAAACTACATAGCACCTCATACACTAAAGCACAGCACTACAACGGATTTTATTTATGATGAAGAATTCCATATAAAGACATTTTGTCCCGATTTTCTCCATTATTCTGTGTGTTTATTCTTACGTTTTGTGTGTTAATTGTTTGTTTCGTGTATTTTTTTTAGGGGAGATCGAAATAAACTTATACTTATAATAAACAAAATGTGTTCATGCCAGTGTGACCCATGTCTAATCATACTTTGCCCTAGAAATGATTTGCTCCAGCAGTTCTTCATTCTTAGAAACGACCTATTCCATCTCACTTCTATTTCGATTCAAGTTAACACAAACTAATCCGGAAAGCTAAGATTTTGTCATTGTGACTGTAATTACGTCATGAAAGCCCGTAGCAATGAATGAGGTTCTAATATCATCTCTAGTATATAAATCATTGGAACTGACCAATCTATGTGCCTGGTATAAGAACCTTTACCCCTAAAACAATAAAAATAAGGACACATGTCAAAATAATGACTTTTCTTAGAAATAAGGACTAAATAATTTTCTAAGACGAATCCTTCAAAATAAGGACAAATCTTAGAAATAAGGACATTATGGCAGCCCTGAAAATAAATGAAACTCTCAAGGGTTGATATGTAACTCTGATGATCTGAATATTCATTTATAGGTTTATAGAAAAACAGCTTGGACAGGACTAACCAAGATTATCAGAGATTACTGGCTCAGCCTCGTGGTCTCAAATGACATAGCATATTTATAAGAGGAACAAAGAACTAGCGCTGTACCAATCAGTCAATGCAATAATACCCCATGCTATCATATGAAATAACGAATGTATCTGAACAGCAACGCACTCTGACACTGCAGTTCCACAAATGGAACATCTTGTTAGAACATTAACAATGACAAATATTTTCGCTGTCAGTCTGAGTTTTTCCCAACGAAATGTTTTAATTCAATTTCCATGGATGCAGGGATGACAAGCCAGTACCTTTTAGCACATCTTATACTGCAGTACTGGCTTGCTCTGTGGGGTGAGATTGGTTATTACAATATTTTTCTATTGCACTATTTTATCCCAGACGTAGGATATAACTAATACTGTAATATGGTGTACCGGTAATAGACTAATAACAGTAATGACAGACACCATTCTGCCAGTATTAATAATTTACTGACTTTCATTTTTGAGATTCACTTTCTGTTATAGCTATATACAGATATATTTTTTACTTCACATATTGATTCTTGCAGGACAAAAACAAACATCAGAATCTTAAAGCTGTAAAGAATTATATTGTTATACAGACTGACAGATCAGTAGATACTGCCAGTACTGCAGCTATACGGTACTGCAGTAGGCTACTGCTATAAGTACGATATATCTGTATTTCAATATTTGGCATACAAGCATAGGATACCGTATCTGGATACGGTCTGTGAGTGGGTTTGATTTTACCTGAACGCTTCTGTCAAAAACTTCATTCCATCCAGTTACGTCGTTCACATCGCTAAACCCCGTTTTTGTATATTTCAGTACCGTACCGGTATTTGCTCGACAAAATCTGAAAAAAAATAAACCTAGTCTCCATGCTCACAGTACCCTAACCCTTTTCAACTGCAAACATAAAAGATAACAATACTGTAACACGGTATGTCAGTATGTCGTTTTATCAATTACTTTATATTCGAATAAATATGCACGACACTCGACCGCTTAAGTTCGAACCAACGATTGCCTGTGGATGTGAAACAAACAAACGCGCACGAGAACGACGCAGCTCGCATTTAAGCTGCAGCAAACGTAGAGGGATGTCGGAAAACAACTCTCGAGAACAATGAAATATATTTGTGCAAATAAAACCCACGCAGATAATATGTTCAGTGACATTTTTTTAAATTTTTCCGACCAAATGCAAATATTTTAAAAACTTGATTATCTAAAATATCTATCAAAATGTAATGAAATGTTTTGAAAAATTCCTCCCAAAAGTTGCACTTGATTTACAAAAAATATATTTAAACATGACGTCAATTTTCTCGCGTAGGAAACGCGACTATTATGACTGAGATTATTTTTTTGAGACAGACGAGGAGGCAAATAGGTACCTATTGCTCTCTACTGGCATATAGCGGCATCACATATTTCTGTTTATCAAATTTTCAAAATATTAAGCGTTTTGTCTGAGTTCGTTCAATTCAAGGTCGCGATTACGAGGCATCAAAACAATTATATTGCTAAGGAAGTTATTGCTGGTATCTACTGACAAGCTAAGAATATACTTGATACTTCACTTGATTTTACCTATTATTTCTGTTTCCATTACATTTGAACCCACGTACATTTGAACCCACGACGATTGCACCTGCATACTATTGCAAAAAGTTGTTACAGCTTACGGGGCATATTTTTTTCCAGTATTTTGTTTTTCGTTGTAGAATAACCTAAGCAATGCATTTGAGCGTAACAAATCGACGTCCCCCAAACAATCAAACTTCTAAATCCAAAATCATGCATGGCTCTGGCTAGAATATTCTGGGCTCACCCGGAACGTTGGTGTCCTGCGGCTCATTGTTTCACAATAAAAAGATTTAGTAGTGTTATTGTTCTACAATTATGAAGCAATTTTGTAATCAAATAACATTTATTCGATCCGACAAAAGGCCAGAAGTCATAATTTTTTTTATATAGCCTACTGCTAGTAATGTTCAGCAAAATATCTCGAAATAGAATAGTAATTGTGAATTGTATAATATCCGATTATAGTGTCTATTTATTTTGCTAATCCACGTAATGGGAAGCCATATTTACTGTTAATGCATTCATAAAAACGAAACGAATCGATTCGAACCCTCCGAAAGCGACCGGATAAAAATGTTAACATAAACAATGCGAAGAGTTATGCAAAAGGTAACGGGATTTTGATTTTCAAATTAATTTATTTTGTCATTCGAATAAGCTTTACATCACATATATACACCATCACAGAAACAGAAAGTAGGATGTGCAGATCCAGTATCCGTCCTACTCGACTACAAAAACAATTTTAATCCAAAACCCGTGTGATCTACTCTCAGTATTTTAAAGTAGATTTAACGAAATACCTAAAAAAAAATCGATTGTAAATTTAACAATACATTTGGTGTAAATCCCGAATACAATTACCTCGAAATGCTTCTAAACCCATTTCATTTTTCTCAACGTTTTGTTAATACGGATTCCATTAATCCTTTGTTTTTACAACATCGGCTCAATAACAAGATGAGATGCGTTTGTTGGGTTAAGGTTTTGAGGGATGTAGTTGTTAGTAGCAACGGGTGTGTCCATGTTTGGCAGAGTCTGGGTCAGTGACAGATGGAAATAGCCGGAGCCAACATAGCGTGGTTGCAACAACAAATGGACTTGCCAAAATCAATTATAGTTTACAGAGAGATTCCCCGTGGGAAGCCGCACTCGAATTGTTCATCGCATTGACAATTCTCATTGGTTGAGCGATAGCAGAGATGCTGGAATATGGAATAAGAGACGAGTTAAAAGCCCCTCACCCATCGATATGACGTACCAACATGGCAATTTTTATTGAATAACCTTAAGATATTAGAATCTATGCAAAGAGAAAATTTAGAGAGGAATAGCTGAATAATTAGTCTTCTTGATAACTGAATTGTTTTTATCGCGTCACACGAAGATGGACGAACCAGTTGACCACGAGTTGTTACAAGATCTCTCTCTGAATATTTGCCGAGGATTAAAATTGTCAAATTTCAAGTGCAGGAAAGCTTTTGGCAGCTGCGAATAATTGCGGTGCTTCACGAAACAATATTGAGAAACATATAGAGTTTTCTATGATTTAAAGGTAAATCATAATTAAACCACTATTTCTATTATTCCCAACGAGAACAAAGCAGTTGAAAAATGCCAGTATATTTGCTTATTACTTTAAAGAAAGTCAAGTGAAAAAAGATACATTTACAGTTAGAGTCATTTCTCCTTGTTACCACATCAAACGGAAAATTGCACTTTCAAATGCGACAGATCAGATTATTCTGAAAGGTGGGTCAATATGTTTCGTAGAAATCATTTGAGAGTAGAAATGCTTGATTTAAAGCTTGACCAGTGAAAAGAGAATAGTTGTTACAGGCCAAGCTGGGAAAAATATCGCCTTATTGACTGGGATACATGCGAGCAGTTGACTTAAAACTTCCCGTATTAGATCGGCCAGTAAAACACCATGATCAAACTTTCTGGGAAAAACATTTATTGCTGAAATTCGGAAATTCGTAAAATATTGAAATGAAGAGCCTCGGGCTGACTTAAAGTATGAATTATCGAAGAGTATCAAAACGAGGAAACGTTTCATACAAAATCAGTAAAAATGTTGAAAAACGGGCATCGTTTTGACGGGCATCGTTAGTTCAAGTGTTGTAAAGTTCTCATACCGCGTTGCTTGGATACGTTCGTTACCATGGTGACATGTAACTTAATTTAGCGAGCTCTTAAATTATCTCCGCGTCGAAGAAACATTTTTAATTTAACATTGTTATGTTTGCAAACTTGTTCTACAACACAAAGCCCTCAGTTGAGAAAGTGCAGGCCATACTATTAGGAATATTCAGAGAAATTAGTTACAATTCTAAGTTATTCAAACAAACATTACAATACACAAGGACAACTATGACACGAAGGTGACTAGTGTTCAAGTAGCTCAAGCTCGACAAAGAATGGTTTTATACTGAGACAGTCGGGCAGGAAATATTGACAATTACAACAAAATAGACAATAATATTACCTTATGTTTTTGCAGCATTGAAGTGAGAAATCCCATTCGGATTTAATTTGACGATACGCACTTTTAGATCTGAGATTTACTGTCAATCATGCTCGGCCCGAGTTAGTTGAAGAAGCAATATTTTTCATTATCGCCTTTGTTTGACGATTCGTGTGGATAGGGATTAAGCGTTGTCAACTTTAATGAGATGAAAGCTTTTTCCACTCGAAGTTTTATACGCGAATATCTTTAAAATATATTACGCTTCCGCTATATTCATGACATTCTTATTATTAATTTTGGACTTTTCTCTTGTGAACGAGAAAGTTAAAACACATATTGTCAGTCTAAGCTCTAAACAAGGCAGTGAACAAGCAACGATATAGTCATTTATTTTAAATTTGAAGAGAACCATTGTTTTCGTCACTTTGAAAGAATATTAATATTCATATGATGAATTTGGGAACACTCATTGATTGGATCTATAGGAACACCGAATTTTGCTGACAACAAAAAGTCTTTTATATTTTTCGCGAGGTCCCGACCCATTTATTGTTTCTCCCGCCCGATCTGTGTTTCCCATTGTTTGTCACCTTGTAAAGTAATACGAGGCTGGAAGGTTGTGTGTTGTAACAATGGAAACAAGAATTCTCATTATGATAAACAATGGGGGCGATAATAATAAGGCGGGATTTATTAGATGGGTTTCGCAGGAGTCCGCGCGTGTTGCGAGTTTCGCGATAGATAGTAATTATTCGTTTTCTATGAACGAAAGCAACAATTGTGATTTTAATGCTAAAGTGAGATTTAGTTTAAATGTAATAAATATCATGCGGTGGTAGAGTGGTGCGTTTGAAACTCCGAACCGGAAATATGTTCATGTCGACATTGCTAAAATAAGCGATTACCGCCCAAGTCGCCCCAACAGCGTTATAGAAGTATAAACACTGCGAGGAAAGAGGTAGCGTTTTAAAATTATATCATTCATTATTCATGCGAGTTTTCAACGACACCCAGAACTATAGGTTGATAGTTTATTTAGACAGAATTGAATATTTTACAAATCCACTCTCATCCATTCCTCTGCTTCTCGGATTTATATTTTAGAAAGGAAAGCGACTATTGGTTCACTCTGTCATTTATTCCGCTCAAAAAACATGACATAAGTTTTAGGAAAATGCAGAAGGTATGTGCAAGAACCTTCGTATGAGGTAGATGGTACGAACATTTTCGAAAACGGCGCTTTATGCTAGGCAGGGATGGGAAGGAAAAATGTGCGAGAATAGGGTGTCGCATTTATCATTCACTACCGTTTGGTGGAGGATTTAGTGATAATTTGCTCTTTGGCTATTTACTTTGCTAGGAGGTTAATGGATAGTATTCACGAACTGATTTATTCGAGACAAGTGAAATTTCTCGATATCTAGGTGATGTATATTCGACCAGATTTCCCATGGCCAAGCATGAAAAGCCACTTTTCTGGCTGACTGTTGTTGCCCATTGCCGAAGAAGAGAAATTTAACAAAAAAAAATGTTCCGTATGTTTAAATCCGGCAGATTCGAACCATATTATTTCTGGCGCTCAGTAGTAATCGCTCAATTCCGCGATTCAAACCATAGTTAGCTCATTACTTTACAGCGGTCGCTTTTGCAGAGCCTTTTTTCGCGGGAAAAGGTGGATGTACATCATGGGATAATTTGCTCTTTTATTCCCAACAGATCTTATTGTAGTATCAATGCAGGCAGGAACATATGGCATAGATTGATCAGAAGAGGCGAAAAAATAAACACAAGGTAAGATCAAGTAGTTTTGATTTCAAGAAATAAACCACCGCCGCCAAGTGTGGCCGCACATAAAACACATGTTTGCTTCTGTGTACTTGTATTTTGACTGACTAGGCTTCGATTAAACGAGGGATTGTATTCAATCCAAGATGTAAGGTTTAATTCAGTAGCGAATTGCATCCAAAATACAAGGCAATTGCGCTGTTGGCCCGTCGAAATGAAATGACTGGTTTTAGGTCCACTTGATCATCTAATCCTCACGTATTGCGCCAAACCAAAACAGTGTATAGAAGAAATGTTCGTTGGTGGCCATATACACATTTTCCCGGAACAATGATATTTATGAGCGTATGTTCATATTTAGTTCTCCATTGTTTTTTAAACACGGGACCACTGGAAAAAATTGATAAACAATGATCATGCTAGCTCGGTTTTCAGTATGAGGCTATTTCCGGTTTCAACATAGTCAGACTAAATATTTAAAATAGTTTTCACTCCAATTTTTTTTTTTCAGAAATCTTTCCAACGCAAAATGTCAATTCTAAAGCCGGAAGACAAACACCAAAACATCAGGGCGAGTGTTCTGGCACCGAAGGAGCCGTATCATATACCAGGGTACGTGGAATTTATTTCCCCAAATTATTGATTCCGGAACTAGAGCAATATATACTACCTATGAGAAGTTTTCACACTTTCACTTTCACAAAAGGATTTGTATAAATAGGAGATAATATTTCTGTAAAGAACGGAATCTTCATGGTGTGGCATTGCCTACACAACCTATACGATAGGTAAAATGATAGGCTATCGAGAAGCCAACATGATTGAAGTTTATTGTTTTGACCCTGTGGCGTATCTAGGATATTGCAGCTATGGCTCGTGCCATGGGCGCCGTTAGGACAGGGGCGCAACAAAGATGAAAAGTTTTAAGCGTAAAATGTTTTTCAATAGAATAATTCCGAATTGGAAATAATTGAATCTCGTATATTTACTTAAATAATTACGTACGAGTATCTCAATTCAACAACAGTAGTTGAAAATTCAACGATCAAGGGGGCATTTTGCCATGAGCGCCGTTTTGCGCAGATACGCCACTGTTTTCCCTACAAAGCAATTGTTTCTCATCTCCACTCCAAACAATGCTACCGCATTGTATGTACGAAACCCTGTACAGGCCTTGAATCAGGGTTTACAAAAACAAAATAACATCCCTTTGCATCTACAAAGAACAATTACTGTCCATTAGTTCCAAATATAATACCTCACATATAGATTCCACAAAGATTCACCGTTTAGTAATTTATTTTTTCCAGATATGTAGGGCACAAACACCAGTACAAATATCAGTGTGGAGATACGTTCGGCGTAACAACAAATCGTTTACTGATGTCAGCCGGACCTCACCGAGCAGTGGGAGATCTCATGCGACCCATTGACCCCCCTCGTGCCCACACTGTTGCACTTGGATATCACGAAGTACCAAAGGTAAGGATCGTGATTACAAACTTTGAGAAGGGATTCCGGGCGGATCAAAACAAATTGGGAAACTTTCATCGAATGAAAGTAATCAAACAAGACGAAATTTTGACATCAGCAGATATGACGTCATGAAATTTAAATATTCCCTCCTAATGCAATATTTTGAACCAAGAATGAAGCTTTTTTAAAAGTGATTAATATAACGCGAGATATCAGAGACCGCTTGTATAGGGGATTTCGTATGGGGTCTGGTTTGGAGACTTCCTATAAATAATTTGGCTAGATCATGAAGAACACTAGGTTGCTTCGATCAAACTCTCGAGCAAATAAATAGGAAAAGGAAGTGATGTGACCTCCCCATCCTATCCCCACAACACATAAATTTCTATCAAAGAGGAAAAGGTTTTTATGGATATGATGCTTCCTATTTTGATTCGAAAATTCAAATAATAATGACGTAACAATAAATGAGTCGTAATGGTTGAATTATGATATCAAATTCATCATAATGGACAATTGTCCGAACTATTCATTGCTATTCAAGCCGTAGGAAATTACTCATGTATTGATCAAACCTAACCGTTTAAGCGTCACCTAGTATGAGCCAAGTAGTTATTCTGTAGAATTCGGTCACGTCACGGATGATTGCCCAGTGTCATCCGTTTCGGTGATCTGCCTGTCTCGGACTATTTATGGAAATGTGAAAGCAGCTCGTGATTGCTGCGTGAAGCGACAAAGCCATTGAAAAATTGAACATAATATCCCAGAGCATCATTTGGAGCAAAAACTGTAATGAACGTCGTATAAAAAAAATAGCATTCTCCGTAACTGGTAATTAATTTTACGTATTCGTTTCAGTTGGCTGATGACAATTATGACGTCAAATCACTTTTGAACGGAAGGCGGGAAAACTTTGGAGATCAGCTTTACAAACCGGATATGAGGAGCGGATATATGGGTTAGTTTTGTCTGGATTTCTGGACACAGAGCCAGTGATTGGGCCAGTGATTGGGGTTGGAATTCGATAAGACGACTCAATCACGTGGCGTAACGCAGCTTTTCGTCAAGTTACCAGTCCATGTTGGTATGGGAATATTTAACCATTTTTTTGTTTTCGATGCTCAGACATACTTGAATATCATCATATTTTTTAAAAGATATTTCAGAACAATGCACATATCGATGGCGCTAGATCCGCGTTCCTGATACCCAACCCCTCCCACCCTTATCTATTGGGATCATTGGTGTATTGCCGAACAATAATTGCTATTTCTAACCTTGAGAATTGTAAGTAGCGACTACTTGCACGGGACTTGTTCGGAGAACACATTGTGACCATTGATTTCACTCACAGTGACAAATTATTTAGGTTAATTCAAGTATAGCCCAGTGGTGAATCGGGATTTTCAAGCTTGGCCCATGTATTGTACATGCTTTCCTTTGAGGCCACCGCAACGAAAATACATTGTCTGTAATCTGATCGTATCATTATTGTCAGGGTTGAGGCATACAAAACTTATATGAACCATTCTTGAGTCAGCGAGAAGATTTTCCCATTAATAGTTAGGGGTGTGGATTGTCATCAATGTGTAGCAATACTAATGGTTGTCAATTTAGTGTGAAACAATTCGATTCGATATCTTTGTTATCACGTGAGCTATGTTTCGATCATTTTCACCCAACCTAAGAGCTAGGAATTTTTAATCGAATATTAAATTATTCGAATCGGTTTAGAAAAAGGTTGGAATCGCCGCCATTTTGTTGTTTATTGAAGTCATATTTTCAAAATGCAATTCTGACATACGACTATTTATTCCTAGTAAGTTATTAATGGAACTTGTATCTTATTGTGTGTGTACGCTCAAAGAACTGATTGAGTGATGGATTCTATATTTTTCAGTGATTTATGCCTGAAGAACCCATTACAAATAAATAATAGCATTCGATTAAATATCTTCCAAGTATATTAGATTCGATTCGAAAATAATATTTGATTCGATTCTGAAATTGTCAGGTATTCGAAAACGTCCACCCTGCATACGATGAAACTACCGACGATGTATGTTCTTTGTATATATATTTACTGTGATGAAATCCGGCGCTCCCGTAGTATGTGAACCAAGATGGCGGACACCTGAACATAGTATGTGTTCCAGGTTAGGGTTAGGCCATAATTTTATTGCAATTTTCGCCATTTTAGTTCTATTACGAGTTCGGGGACTAACCAAGTGACTCCCGTAGTATTTGTACCTGGAATTTTGGCATAACCCCAACCTAGTACACATACTACGTTCCGGTGTCCGCCCTCATGGTTCCCATATTAGGGAGTCCCGGATATCCTTGTCTATTCGTAAATGTGTAAATGTGACACAAGCTTTCTGATTCTCAGGTTTTGTTCCGAAATCTCATTTCTCTTCGTATCACGCAAAAACTTTCCCGAATATCTGCAACGACGCTTTGAAGGATTTCTCAATTGACCAAAGAAGCCACCAAGGGCGCAGGAGAGCACTAGCAGATACGATGAAAATGCAATATGCTAGAGAGATGTTGTCAGGCGAGAGAAATGTGAGACATTTTTGACATGAAAGGATACTTACAGATCGTCTTGTTATTTTTTTATTGTTGTTAGAATTCTTTTTTGTTGTTGTTATGATAAAATCGGTTTACTGAACCAATTCAGTGGTTGAGGATTGTATTTACCGATAGTAAGCTATTACTTTTATTTATTTTGAAAATTTCCCATGGCTCTACGTGATTCGTTTTTTTTTATGTGCGATGACGTAATCAAAAGAAAACTGCGCCCCTTGTGGCGGTTCCGCGTTCTTGATTTATAGTCAGGCGGAGTCGTGAAGACTGCGGTACCGTTAGTCTACTGTAAAATATATCCCCACTAGTTCGTTTTGATTTTCGTGTCCATATTATTTGAGAATTGCTCTCTTGTTATTCATATCAGGATGACTGACACGCCTCTCTATGCCTAAACATCTGACTGATTCTATTTCCACCTCCTAAATCTGTTCCCTCCAATTTTTTCATTTCTTCATCTCGAGTGAATTTCAGCCATAAGCTGACAAGAGCGTGTAAGTCTTGCGACCCGAATATTATTAGCCTATAGATTTCACTCTGCCGCATATTAAATGGCAAATCCGCGAACAGAGATCCCACCTTGCTCTCAACTATGTATTTCATGATTGTCATCAGTCTTATCCAATCCAGTCCTTCTCCTTTTACAGATGCTCGGGACAAAACACAAACTCCCTCTACGAGCTGTTCGTAACTCTCTACCGCCGTATATGTCGGAAAGTGCGATTGAGCGTCATGATTCTCCATACTTTCTTCCTACGTCACATCCGGAGAAATACTTCAAGTCCGGTAAGTAATTGCGACTTATAATAATGGAACGCCATGACTGGCAAGTATAAGCGAAACTGTAGCTGAGTCGCATCCTCTTTTAAAAATTAAAGAATTTTATAGTTCATACAATACGATGGAGCAATCGTATTTTGGAAGGGGGCACAAATGGAATAGCCTGGGACTCTTACCGCCTTAATCCGGCCCGTGATATAAAGTAAAACAGATTACGAATACTAGTTGCCATCCCCATGTACCATGTGCTGATGTGGGACTATTTTTTTAAGCTACTGATATTTTAACTTTGCTTAAATATTGTCATCTTTGCTTTACATAATTTGCTGTTTAAAACTTACGTCGGTCTTACTTACAGGTTACGCCGGTCACGTGCCTTTCTATAAAGATTTGGCGGGAAACAGTTACCCTGTTGTGACCAATCAAGCATTAAAAATGTTCACGGATGACTTAACTAGAACAAAGGAACAAAAGGACAAAACCTTGTCGCATGACGTCATAAATAAACGAAGAACCCCACGCCCACCATTGATGACGTCAAAGCCCAAGGTTTATCTGGTAGATTCAGGAATCATTCCGCGATATGGAGGATACGTACCAGGTGAGTTATATGAAATAGAACTCTAGCACCACAGTTTGACCGCTGTGATTACAATTTACTGGTTGAGCCCTAATTTGCACAAATGCGATCTCAGCGGTTGTGTGAGTGTGCGATGAGAGGTTATAATATAATATTTGTGAAGCCTGTCTTTAACACTGACGCTAAAGAAATTCAGTTCAGTTCCTGTCGAGTATGTGATTAGTCTCTTGTTTCGGATGCGTAGACTCGATGGTGGAGGAAGTTGTAACTGACCAGCGTCCATGTGAACCACCTCAGGACAAGGAATTCAGCAATCCTGTCCTACATAATCATTTCCACGGGATTCGCAGGGTAAACAGCGGCAATCGTGCTCCCATCGTTTAGCGCGAACCGCCGAATCTTCACTTTATCAATGTACAGTGGTTGCGATCGTTGTCACACTTAATATGCCATTCTTGCATTTCAGGCCAAAAGTTTCGATTCGGGCACACATTCACCAATCTCACTGTCAACCCGTTGAAACTGAAGGAATCTTCGGCAATAAAGATGATGTCATAAATCCATGACGTCACTGAACAATAGACACATCATATCGCAGCAAAACTTTACATTTTAAATCTCCAATTGACAACTTAGTCACGTTTATACATGGTTATTCGACCTGCTGTCTTCATATCTACTACTGTAGTCGACATGGAATTATATTTAGCCGAAGGGTTAGAATTTATCCAGGTCATATCACGTCACTAGAACGTTACATGACGTCACAGTTCCTATTTAAAATTATGATTTCCGTGGCAAACAATTTGTCATACATCCCTGATGGTTGTGGATACGAAATGATTAAGGTTCAAACAGTGGCGCTGCAAGACTCTCTGCCCCCCCCCCCCCCGCAAAAATATTTCGTGGAACTGACTTTAAAAAACTATCGGACATAAGCTAAAACAACGCTTTTTTGATTTCGTCAAAAAGCACAACATGTCTCTATTAAAAGGTAATGGTAACCTAAAATTTGATGTTTATCTTGGTTACTTTAATTTTTTTCATACGTGCTTCCTCTTCTGCCCTTTTTCTGCGTTTCTGTGTGCCACTGAGAGGTTTTGCTTTCGACATCATTCTGACAGCCTTCGTAATTTTGCCGGTGCGATCAAACCACAAGACGCCGAAAATCGACGATTACCTGGCATAGTTACGTAACAAAACGATTTGAGCAGAACTAACATCAACGTTATAGAATGTGCATTACTGGTTTTGCAATGCATCTTTTGGTTTTGCGGCTTAAATTTCTAAATTCTAACCTCTTGGGCCCCTTTGTGCTGTGGGCCCTCCCGCGACCGCGGGGGTTTGGGGGTGGATGCTACGCCACTGGGTTCAAATAATTTTGGCCATCAGGGTTGATCTCATAACCTGTTTGACACATCCGACGAATTCCGATGTTTTTTCTCAGATATAAAAAATAGGTTTCAACGACAATTGCCCCTCCGTCAACTTATAAAACGAATGTAGATTGAACGTTCAAGTGTCTGAAGTTTCTCAAAGTTCTGTTGTTGCTCGAAATTATGAATTTAACATCATTATGTACGAACAATACCCCTTTTTCTAAGTCTAGGGCAGCTCATTATATTCCCAAATATTCGCCAATTTTAACCTCAGGCGTACGCATAATAATTATATATTTTTCTAAAATCTTATTTTAATTATCATGTTATTCTCAGATTGTTTATTTTATGGGTAATAAATATTCATTCCTACCTATGTTCTGTTTTACAATCGGTGAGGGTAGGGATACTAGAACAGGGTGGTCCAAGGTTGTCGGCTTCGCGGGCCACAAAGTTATTTTTGCACACAACCTGCAAAAGTCTTTCTATATCTACATATAGTGTAAGATTTTAAACTCTTTAAAATGGAAAAAATGCTTGCGCGAGAGTAAATGCTTTAAAGCAAAATCTTAAGTTTGGAAAATGCTCATTGCTCGAAATATTCTAAAATGATGTTTAAAATTTAATTCTTTCATCACCGATACCACTTGCAGATATATATATCATAAAAGCATTGTGATATCGTCCAGCAAAAAATTTGTTTGAATTCGTAAGCTTTTTTTTCGAACTCATGTTTACAAAATAACTTACATATAACTGAATATTGCTTGATTGATTACTATATAGACTGGTTGCGAAAAACACCCAGCATGAATTACATTGTTAAGCGTAACATTAGTATTTAGTTATCAGGCATAGTCAACCTATGCTAATAGAATCCGCATTCGATTTTTAGTTTTCTATGATGCCAGAATTGTTAGCATATATCCCCGACCAAAACGATAGAATGGCAGATAACAATTTAGACTGCCAAGCACACTTCGCTAGTTGCCTCAGCTAGCAATCAGTAATCAGTAGTTTATTTTTCACCATACTTAAAATAGACACAAACAAACAAATCGCAATAAAATATAAATAGGCCATAAGGAGACGCGGAAAACCTCAGCTAGCAATTCCATGACATTATTGATGTAACAATATGTCAAAAGATTTATCTGGTTAATTTTATGACGAAACAACACAAAATGTGATTTTTTGAATACCCTCCGAATCCGACGCGGGCCACAGAAAATGAAGCGGTGGGCCACATGTGGCCCGCGGGCCTGGGTTTGGACCACCCTGTACTAGAATATAACTAGATATTTGAAATCCATAGTGAAGCGCCACCTGGAGGCCATGGAGTGTGATAAGTTTGACTATTTTTTCATGTCTTGAAACACATTTCACCTGCCCTTTCTGCAATCACGAACGTGCTTGTGAAGAAGCTTGTGACCTTATTTATTGATGCTAAATATAATATAGGAAAATATGTTTATATGTTGCGGCTCCATCCTGCCATATAAAATTTGACCAGCCATTCTAAAGCAATGCCAGAGTGTCACTAACGTGGATGATCTTACACCAATACATGCCTTATCAGTGTTGCTTACTGCTCAAGTATTAGCATGTCATGTTACTACTCATATATATCCAGTACCTAGGCCGCTTTGCTTGAGAACTCGGGTGTCACTAAACTGATCCCTTGAATTCCGCGAAAATTAAAACCAAAGGCCCTTGCTACCAAATAGAAGCGACAAATTAGAGGAGAATTTACTTCTAAATAGTTGTCTTTAACATATGTCGCTGATATTAACGCATGGTTCTCCCAGGAATATAAAGCAAAACTTCGACCTTCGCCGTTGCGTAAGAACTGGTCCTTGTAATAAAAAAGAGGACGGGTGGAAATAGCTCACCAACATTATAATGTTTAGCGTTCGTGATGCATGTTGTATACATATTAAAAATACCTGATTTTCAACAATTCGGTAAAAATATTCGATTCGATAAAAATATTCTATTTTGTCCACCGTTGCGATCTGTAATCACGCCAGTAATCTGGCGAAACGCATGGTATCCCAAACACTGATGCATAAAATAAAACCTTCATTAATTTTAGTAAATTGCACTATTTCGCGTGGTGGAATTGACGATTATTTCGTATCTCAAACACAAAAAACGGTTATCTTTTTCAGATAGTGTCGGCGGAGTTAAAAGTCGAATAAGCGTTTCGACACAGTAAATGCTATGATCTTTGCCATCAAATTATGCTCGGGCCTTGCACGAAATTCATAACGTGAAAAGATACGTCCAGTGGTGAAATTTGTTTAAACAACTTAACCTATTTAGTGTTTTTAACAATAATAATTAATTATTGAAATGCAATAATAACATCGTTGAATGATTTTGGCAATGGGAGAAACATATTAAACTGTAACAAAAATGAATTAAGTTGTGCAAAAGTGAGAATACCTGTGATAATAATAAGGGCGTGACGTAAACGGGGAAGGGCGAGAAAATACCAAAACGTATTAGCGACGGGTATTACCTGTGCGCCGCACATCTTTTACAATAATGTGAGGTGTTCTCGTGTACATTATTTGTGAGACACAGTTATAATATCGGTAACTATTAACCATTTGTTCGCGCTCGACTATCGCACTTTTCGGAAATGATAATTTTGTAAGGCGGGACAACAGGTGTATAAATACAGACGAAATTATTGGAGGTGGATGGGAAGGCCACAGGCATAACAGTCCCACTAACGTTCACCATTATCATTCTTACCTACTAAATACAGGGTATGTTGTATTTACAAGAATAAAATTTCCCTCATCTGATCTTCTTTGTTTTTTTATTATTTTACAGCAAAATGGCTTTACGAGTAGGAAATTTCCATGTTTTGTGATAGGTGTACCGTGAATATTTAAAGAGCTCAATAGTGTGCCGCAACATAAAAAAGGTTGAGAACCACTGGTCTAACATATAAAAAATCAGAGAATTGAAGTTGACTGCTGCGACCATTCCCACAAAAAAAAAAAAACGTTTCAATTTAAACCATTAGTACATTATCAGAGTCAGGCGGTGAGCACTGACCATCATACTATAATAAAATTCGAATTCTCACATGAGCCCTATATCACAGCGTTCTACCCAGCATGGATGCTCGGGGGCGCGGTGATGTCCTTATTTTACGTCATTCAGCTCCCGTGGTAAGATTTACAAGATTAATCCAGATACTTCTCTTATTATTTTATTAAAAAACACGGACAATAAGGTAAGGAATAGGACTTCAAAATAATTGTAAAACAGAGTTGATATTGTTCCTCATGACTAAACTTATTTTGCGAATTCAACTGAAAACCAGTTTATGGAAATTTTTTGAAAAATTAGACTTTACTTGATAGGAAGCACAGAAGAACTGAATATCCAGATGTGCCTTTTTGTCAGATGCCCAGACTAAACAGATAAAATTCAACCATAACACAGCAGAATTGTCACACCAATAGTCTTCAAACCAATAATGGTGATCACCACACCAGATAGTCAGTTGGACAACTCAATCAAAACATGCCCAAGTTCATGCATCAATAAAACACAAATCATTAATTTCATAAAAATACGAAATAATTAAAAAAAAAATTCCCAAGTAAAATTCAGTACATACTGGGGATTGAAATCTGTGGCCTGATAAGATATATCTGATGAGTAATTTTGCCCTACACTACACACAAAACAAATATAAAATGCAATGGATTTTGTAGCATGTAGGAAGCATTGTTAGATTGGCGCCCTACGTCTTGGTTCTAATTTGTTGTATTTCCTAATTACATTGGGCCTAAATTCAATTGCATTTCACTGAATCGATGCATCTTTCTCTAAACTACTAGATAAACACCAGTCTATATAATGATTTAAAACATCCAGCATCTTGGTTGCACTCTTTTACAAAAATATAAATAAATCTCCAAATTCTATTGATTCGCAGCTTCGCATGCATCAATCCAGTCGCTATAGACATCAATCGCTTCTGAAAGATCTGAAGTTGTCGAGTCATAGAAAATTTTTTATTATATTTCTGCAAAGTAAATGTCAGCAAAATCGTACACAAACTTATCTTTATTGTCTATAGAAGATAACATATCATTGTGATTTTAACTGTAATTTCCATAATGAATAAGCTATCAAAATTTACAATGAATCATCATACTAAACACCCCACATCATACGCAACCAATAAGTTAAATTTATCATCAAATAGAAGGGTGTGGTTCACTAACAATTATCTAACAAAACTGAAATCATTTGTGATTTATACAAACAGTTATAAATATTGCCCACACCATGATTTGTTCAGATACTTTGGTTATTTTCAAATAATGAACTGATCATTCAGAATACCGGAATGAAAAATGTAATTAAAGGATACAATTTATTGTTGTTTGAAATTCCTCCATGCAAACAGTACACGACACCATTCCTGTGTTCCGAGCACGGTCCCTGTGAAAAAAAATGCAACAGTACAAAAGGGCGGAGTGATCTTGATCTTTTTATCCAAGCCACTCATCTCTGCGTCTGGTTGCTATTGCAGTATTCACTGACTGGTAAGGAGAGAGTACCATACTATACGACTGGTAAGGAGAGAGTACCATACTATACGACTGGTAAGGAGAGAGTACCATACTATACGACTGGTAAGGAGAGAGTACCATACTATACAGCCACAACCAGTCCAGCAGTCGTTTGTTTGGGATACACAGAGAGAAGTTATCACAAACAAAATCAACACGGTGATCAGTTAAGTCAAAGCGAAAAATGGTTGAATACGCCTGTATGTATTATTTGTTATTTATTACATTCAACACACAAACATATATTCAAAATAAAAGAGACGAAGACACGAACGGATATCGTTCGGGCATCAAACTTGTGTTGATAGAATGGAATACATGGCTATGCATTCCATGTGACACTCTGGCATTGCTTTAGGATGAATGGTCAAATCATATGACAGGATGGAGCCGCAACATATAAACATCTTTTCCTATATTATAATTAGCATCAATAAATAAGGTCATATAAACTTACATTTTAACTTCACAAGCACGTTCGTGATTGCAGAAAGGACAGGTGAAATGTGTTTCAAGACTTTCAGTCAATTTTTTCTTCGCTGGTGGTTTCCTTTTAGACCTTCGACGTCCCATGTCCTTGATGAAATTCCGCTTGTTCGTATATTATTTAAATAAAATAGACCACGATAAACCGACAAGAAGAACCTACGCGAAAGAATTAACTATCTATCCAAGACTGTAAGATAGAAACTCGGAACCGTGGCTGAGGCTGACAATGCCAACGCGACTGTTATGTTATTGCTCTGTAGTTCCCACTAGTGCTATGTGATAACGCTATTGCTAGGGTCCATCAAAAGCAAGGTTGGCCATATATAACGTACAAAGAAAAGTCATGAAACAAGTTAATATTTATTTTACATAAATTGTCATTGTAAATCTGATTACGGTACCGGTACCCTGTGCGGTTTCCCTAATTTGAATCCCGCTGGTGATATTCATGTGCGAGTGCGACACGATTGCTGAACTCCAAGTCGCTTCTCAGCCCAGAAGCCTATTGATTTGGATTGATGGACCTTTCCCCGAGCATCGACTTCCTTGTTTACATCGTGACATTGGCCAATCAGCAAGATGCAAAAAGTGACGTAACAATGCCCCCTTTTCGCATTCGCTCAGACACTTTTCTCACTCAGACAGATTTAGGATAGGATAGGATAGGATTTACATATTTATCCCGGGGGAGAGGAAATCCGATAAGACGGCTTATCCATATGGCGAACCACGGCCTCTCGTCCGGTTACCATTCCGAGTCGGGTATGGGATTAGTTATATTGTTTTGTTTTCGGAAGCATGGACTTGGTGGTGGAGGAAGCCGTAACCGACCAGCGGTTACGTGAACCACCCAACGACGGCGAGGAGTCCAGCAATCCTCTCGCACATAATCATCCCTGCATGAGATTCGAACCTGCGAACCCACGCAGAGTAATCAGAGGTGCGGTGGCCAGCGTATTCCTAACGCTTAGCCCGTTGAGCCACACCGCCGCGCGTGGTTGTAAACATTACTTCGTTTCCGCGATTTTGAACTCTATTCGTTAGTTTTCAGTTGTGTTTAGGAAACTTAAATATAAATCAGATAATTCAATGATCACACTGTCTTCCTAGGAGCTTTAATTTAATTGCAGTAATAAAAATTAGTGTAAAAATAGCTGTGATAGACTAGCCTGAAATTCTTTACCGGTACTTTTAAAAAACAGATTGTTGTATGCGATGAATCATAATGATGGTTTGAAACACATACCCCATTTTAGAGGCGCTAACTCGCAAAAGCACTCTTAAAATAGCCCTGAAAGTTTTGCAATGGTAGAGTATAGGGAGAATTTTCCGGGGGTCAAAGGTCGGGGAAAGGTCCATTGGATGAATTATGTCGTATAATTAGCGAGTTATCAGTGATGCCACACGCGGTGTCGCTATTAAGTCAAAGCAAATCCTACACGCCACTAGATCAATAACTCGACGGTCTTTGATCGCTATCCCGTTTATATTGTTAGGCTATAACATTAATATTTTGTGACAGTTGTGAATTGACAATATGCTAAAAAAATTTTCTGGTTAATTTTATTACGAAACAACACGAAATGCGTTTATATAATACTTTCCGAATGCGACGCGGGCCACAGATAATGAAGCGACTGGCCAGGGTTTGAACCATCCTGATCTATGTTTTGCAGTTATTTTGAATAAAAACTTGTTATTTATTAGTAAATGGATATCGCTTTTCATATTTTGTTTATTTCAAAATCTCGCAATTCTCTACTTTGTAATTTTATACTGATGAAAATATGGGTCATCCCCCTAAAATAAGCCCTAGCGTTATTTTTCGGAAGAAGACTGAAATAAGACCCAGTCTTATTCTCGAGGAAACACGGTATCCCCTATAACGGGAGAGGTACCGTGCCTGGGGTGTCAGTGGGCTTGATTCCCTTGGAACGAGATTTGTTATATAATGAATGACATCAGGTATTGGTTCCCCTTCCCCTGTTCCCCTTCACCCAATCATTGAAACATCTACTCGCAGTTTTATTTTTTGTTTTTCAGGTTACTTCAAAGTGATTAAATGAAGTAAAACACATAAGGAAAAAAACAAAAAAAGACTCCCGATATCCTGTGAAATAACAACCTCATTCCCATATTCTTGTCTGAAATCAATACCCAAGAATGAAAAACCTCACTTACACCCTTTGTAACCAATTTATTTCCACATCCTACTTTACTTAATTATAGTAATTTTACTGTTACCCGTAACTTAATTACTTATTACAATCTGGACTATAATTTGGCAATAATAGGCTCTAATTTGGGGAATGAAATGGTCTCGCCCACCTCTTCATGCACCCAATTCTGGCAACTTTGGTTGGGCAACTTGGCATTTGACTCCAACTATAATCAGCTTGGCAATATGTTTTCAATAGAATCTTCCTTTTATATACCTAATTAACGATTAGAAGATCGATCAATTTGGCAATGGCAACCATTACAAAAATATCAATATGGTGTGGCAGATAATTTTCTTTTCTAGTATTTATTTATTTATTTTTTTGTTTACTGTATAGTATACCCTAAATTTATCGCGTTTCATTCTTACTTAAATAACTTCTCAGTGGTTGTGTGTGTGTGTGGCTGGTGGGTGCATGTGAGCGTGTGTGAAATAACTTGATAATTTTAGGTGAGTAAACACGTACCACTTCCTCTTGGCAAAACCTTTCATCTTATATTTTGTACGTTATAAACCTTATCTAAGGTTTTGTTTGCTCCCCTGATTTCATAATCAGGTTTTATTTATTTGTTTTTATCTGTCAAATGTATTGTTATGCTGATTATGGAGTCGAAATAAACTTATACTTATACTTATATACTTATGGTTATAAAATGTAGGTCCTAATAATCGTTGAAAAGTTTAGCCGTAACAGGAGTTAAAATTGCACACAACATTATTTGTCTTTTTTGGCCTCTTTGCACCACCAAATATGACGTCATATTATTTACGGCAGGATCAACAACGAAGCACGAGGGCGGGTTAACTTGTTGTCAAAGAATACGATTTACTTTTAATAATGGCAATGACCGCGATATCTTTCGAAAATGTTGTGTTGTCATATTTGCCCGTCGAGGGGGAGGAAGAGAAAAATAATAAAGGAAAAGAAAATGTTAAAGTTGACGTCAAACGCGTATCAGAAGAAGCTCTTGTGACCTGCCTTCGAAGCAAAGGTAGGAAATCTGGAAATTGCTAATCACAGAAATAATCCAACTTCTGATTCCGATCCTTGAGAAATGCCAAGTTCATATACCCAGTAACATTAAATAATGGTAAATGATGCTGTTCAACCAGAGCTATTAATAATTTGTTATGGATTGTACCAATCCAACAATCCCGCCTGCATATTGCTGTATGTGTGTATTGGCACAAAATTCTGAAACAACCTAATAGAACTTACCGTATTGACTTCTGGGTTAGTCAGAATCAAACACTGCAAAATCACTCACTATGGACAGATGGAAGAATTCCTGTCCATTTGGATGTAGTAGTGGTGGGTAACATTTTTGAATTCATTGTAAAAAATCGTTGGCAGGAGAGTCATGTGATGCACATTCAGACATTGCAATCAATTGATTCAAATTATTACAGATACATGCATGACTCGTTCTAACGCATCTGCCATCGTGTTACACACCCTCGTTTTTGCAACAAACAGTAGCCTACGTCACACTTTACAGATCGAAAGACATTGTCTCGTTTCAGAGAATCCCATCTTGCCGATGAACAAACACCCCTTTTTTGGGGGACGTCTGGACATTGTTGTCTTTCAATATCTGTAAAAATACAGTAAAATGAAGTTGCGCAAAAGAACTACAAAGAAGCGCAATCCAAAAACATCATCAATTCTCTGAAAAAAATGATCCGATTTATTGAATGAAAAATTTTTCTACCATGGCATTCGAGAGTTTTTAGCAAAATACGGCAATTTTTGTCACGTGACGTCCACGATTAATTTAGATTATTATTGAGACAAGCATGGTGTGATATGACGCATCTGCCGTCGTGCCAGGCGCCCCTCGTTTGTGAGACGCATGGAGTGTTTGTTTTATTGAACCAAATGACGAGACGTTCTTGGAATTTGGATAGTGTGCCGTAGTGACAAATGGAGTGTTTTATTGAACAAAATCTTGGGACATATCAGAATCTAAGAACTGATACTGGCTGTGGTTTAATTAATCATCCCCATTCCCCCTGTGATCGAATATGAAGGTCTTATATTTTTTTACCAGATAATACAACAGCATTGAAATGCAACGTTACTCGAGAGAGCGACAATTGTTGCGCAGGAAAGCAAGTTTATTTAATTCGAGTCCATGGAGATGAAACTGTTCTGTTAAAGTTCCCTTCTACAGACGGTAAGGGCTCTAATCATACTTGATCTGCCACTTGGGAAATCTTCATGAATGTTCATTCAGTAGAGATATTGCTACTGAACCAACATAAGGTTTGGGTCCATGATGTTTTGTGGAAATAAAATCTCACGAATATTGAAAACTTTTTCACACAAAAAAGGCTCATTCTGTGTCCATCCTTATCAATTTTTACATTTTCTTATACTTTTTATCCCATCAAGCCCATGCTCCTGAAAACTGATATCTGGCTATCCAATACCATACCTGACATGAACTGGTAACCAGATGAGAGATCGTGGTTCACCATATGAGAGCCGTCTTATCGACTTCCCTCTCCCCGGGTTAATATCTTATTTCTTATTAAATGAAATAATTCTTTGTTTCTAGAACTTTGTCGGTTTTCATCGCTTGTTGAATTTAATTCCAAATCTCAGTCTGTGTTTGATCGAAGAACGGAAGATTCTTCAGCTGTTCAGTATTTCCAGGTAAATTTGTATTGAATCCGAACATTGGCTTCCAGTTCCACCCAGCTGTGACCTAAAGTGAATGCAAAAGCTACTTCTACAATCTATCATTATTTAAATCAAGTGTAGAAGGCATTTGTGCGAATGATCCACATTCTTCTCATGTTAGGCTAGTTTCGATCTGTGGGAACATTATTAGGTTGAATTAAATCATGGCTGTACATTTATGTTTCAGTTTTATGGCTACCTCTCGCAACAACAGAACATGATGCAGGATTATATTCGGACCGGTACATATCAGAAAGCTATGCTTCAAAACTATATCAATTTCAGAGATAAGGTCAGTTTTTCTTTTTTAATCTATTCAATTTTATTTTATCCCAAGGTATTTCAAATATTTAGCTTGTAGAATTTGTTACAAACAGGTCGCGCTCTAACCTATCAGTAGCATCTGGGTCAAACTGCTTAGACATGAAGAACTTTTGCTCAATAATATTCACATTTACCAGGTCGTCCTAGATGTTGGGGCAGGTTCCGGTATTTTATCATTCTTTGCTATGCAAGCCGGAGCTCGGAAGGTTTATGCGGTGGAAGCCAGTACAATGGCTGAATATACAAAGAAGTTGGTTCAAAGAAGTCAGTACGCAGGTGTGTTCATGTAAACTCGTTGGTTTAGTCAAAACTTTCTACTCTGATGTATTGACAATGTATTTCTTTGATGTTAGGTAGAATAATAGTGATACCTGGCAAAATAGAAGAAATCAAACTTCCAGAGAAAGTAGACGTGATCGTATCAGAACCGATGGGGTACATGCTGTTCAATGAACGAATGTTGGAAACATATCTTCATGCCAAGAAGTTCTTGAAACAACCAAATGGTAAGAACTGATAGCAAATTACACAAAGCTAGTTCTTGGAAAAAATTTGGTATTTTGTACGCAAGTGTTTGAATATTCGATTGAAACTTCAAACATCTCAACTCTCAATATTAGTGAATTTGAATTCTCAACCTTTAATTGTTGTGTTGCTCAATAATGAATTCTTTGTTAAGGAATGATGTTTCCAACAATCGGTGATCTTCACATTGCACCATTCTCAGATGAGCAGCTATACATGGAGCAATTCACAAAAGCCAACTTTTGGTATCAGCAGTCATTTCATGGCATTGATTTGAGTCCATTGCGGGATGACGCAGTAAGTTTATAATATCCACCATCTTAAGATTCTGCTTGGATTTGCACCATGTAATTTGGTGACTTAAAAGAGAATGGAGTGAATTTTGGCGATAATTTAACCGACAGTTTTGTTGTTACAGGTGAACGAATATTTCCGCCAACCCATTGTCGATACGTTTGATGTTCGGATACTGATGGCAAAGAGTGTGAAACACACAGTCAATTTTTTAACGGCAAAAGAAGAAGATTTGCACAGAATTGAAATTCCATTGAGATTCACTGCTCACACTTCAGGAACGGTACATGGCCTTGCATTTTGGTTTGACATGGCATTTGTGGGAACAATGTGAGTATTCAAGGTTTTAGTGGAAACAATTTTGCATGTTGAGATGCGTGAAATAATATTTTTCACTTTTCAAACTGATAATTATAATCATAATTATAAAAACCCATGAAAAATTTATTCGTACTTATTTCTGCCCCTCCCTTAAGTTCTGGCCATATGTTAAGTAAATGGACAACAGCAGCAAGGTTCTCTTATCTGTCATCATTTTTATTTCAGACTTCCATAATAACAAGTCGTGTTTTTCATTTTACAGAGCAACGATATGGCTCTCTACTGCCCCTACAGAAGCACTCACACATTGGTATCAAGTACGATGTCTTCTACGTTCTCCGTTGTTTATCAAAGCCGGTGAAGTTTTGGTCGGAAAAGTTCTCCTGAGATCGAATAAAAGGTAAGTTGCCTATTTTTATTTCTGATTGTGATTCAGAGAGTAAAGCAACTATTTCTATGAATCAAACATCAGAATTAAAATTGTTTAATTTTCAGACAAAGTTATGACATCGACATCGAAGCAATGGTTGAATCGACCCGATGCAAATCTGAGAACACACTGGATTTGAAGAATCCTTTCTTCCATTACAATGGACAGTCGCCTTCCGCACCACCAGGTGTGTGAAGTTATTTTATAGGACTGACAATGTTTGGTAGCATGTTTATCAAGAAATGGTAATCATCCTGGTTAAATTATCTGAACAGCTCCCCTCCTAAATAATATCAAAATCTCACCTTATCTGCCAATCCTTACGTAATAGGGAATCACACGGTGGCGCCATCAGACCCATACAGCTCAGGGATGGTTTCAGGAACAGCTGCTTATGATGCCGATAGCAACGGTGTTCAACAGCAACAACAACAGTTGCCTAGCAACAATGTACAGCAAGGAAATCTATGCTACCAGGTATATGAATAATCTCTTTCTGATTTTGACAACCATCTCCTGTTGAAGGGTGTATTTCAAATTATAATATTTTTGAAATTTAACCCAGTAAATAGTTTAAACACTTCTAAAATTTGTCAAAATATAAGTACATCTCAGAATGTTTTCCCGACTAATTACTGCTAGTGTGATGTAATATAATTTCGCACATTTTTCAGCAAATGCTTGACCCGACAATGCAGAATTATCCTTCAGCTCAGTGCAATGTTGTTCCTTTACGTAAGTTGTTAAATGTCTTATTTGCTTCCTACCTGGGTGTTCTGAAAAGCTTTCCGGCCTTCAGTCCGCCCATGGGCGCTTGTATTAGGTGGGCAATTGCTTTTTCCGTGCCCTAATTATATATCCATTTTGCCAAGCCAAAAGCAAAATCTCACTTTGTGTGACATGGATATTTATCTCAGAGCAACTAGATGCCTTTTTTCCAGACACGTGAATGACCAGCTGTTTAATGAGAGAGAGTCAAAGGCAATATGCAACTGCCTTATAACATCCCAAGCGGCTACTTGTTCCATGTTTCATTTTCCAGATTAATGGCCATCTGGAAAACCCAGATACTAAGACTAGTCTATGTGTTGGTGTCTGCAGTACCTCACTTTCCTCCTTATTAGGTTGTCACTAATTTCTGATGACAAAAATAAACTGATAGTGAAATCAAATTAAAGGTCTGTTGATCAAAATTGAATGCTTTAATTGCAGACACCATATTTCTTGTGACAGGATCTGTAGCAATGAAACGCACAATAACTTCTCCCTATGAAACTGGCATTTTTCTCATTTCAGTAACTGGAGGTTCAATCCCTCACCCGGGCACGATGGCTGGATCTGCGATGAAATCAACAATGTCTGGAGCGGTGAACAGTTCTCAGAGAGAACAGACGCAACAATACAATGCCAGTTCACCAAATCAACAGCAGTACGTGCATTACTGAGAACTATAATGGACAGTCATGAACTGAAGTTGTTGGAATTATTGTTGTGCCCGTTGATCTCCATCGTTTTGTATAATTCTGGTGACGCACCCCGATAAGCACCTTGCGAGTACTTGTTTGATTTTAGCCGAGACAGAATAATATATGGGATTCTTTGTCATGTCTAGTGGTTGATCACAACTACGGGGCCTGTGCTTAGGTTTGAATATTTGTTGCCCGCTTGCCTTGTGTTCAACCATATCTTTATAGAGACTCTGGTCTGGTTTTATATTAGGTTTGCTTGAATACAATTCTATAAATTAGGTTTAATTGGGCGGTTGCATTTGGGCAAACATTTTGATAGAATATCCTGCACCCATATTGGGATTGAATTATGTTCAAGCAGGTCGATCTCATTTCTTTGTAGGACTTTGATACAAATGAACTGTTTTGTAATAATACTGTCATATTAATTAAAAGTGTTACATCACAAGTCTATTCTTTATTGAACTCTAGGTTTGTGGAAGAAATAGGGTTTCAGACTGTTTGTTGGGGAAGTTATGTAAATTAAATCCAGGGTTTTGAATTCTAGAAATATTTCGGGATCGAAGGCTGAGTCTCATCTCATCTATGGGTGGGTGCATGCCTCGTTCCATCTCGGGCAGAGCTTGTCAACTTTTTTCAGAATAGACCTTGTTGTCCTCCCCATCAAGGTAAACTTGTTTCAGATACCCCTCTTATTGGTGTATCTGTATCCTTTTGAGTGAATTTCCTTTTTAATTGCAGCAGAAAGCCCTTGTTCGATAAGGTAGACATTCAGACAAGATGGAAACAATTTCTTGTATAAGACTGTAATACTCCTAAACTTCTATTGGTGCCGCTCAGAATTCAGTGTTACATGTAATGAACTCTTTTTGTGCCAAATCTAATCTGATTCATAAATTGATTTCCACTACAGCAGCTCAATTTCCCCTCCCCACACATATTATGCTTGGAGACGTTGATAACAAATGACATTTTCTCAAGCTTCTGTCTAAACCATTTTCAGCGGATAGTAATAATTCAATGGGTTCTTATTATGACAATCGAGTAACAAAAGTGTGGGAAACGCCGGACATAAGTTTAAACACAAGTGTTACACTTCATTTGTGAGAAACTGCTGAACTATACACGACGAGTACTGATCTGTGGGTTTCTGGTAACTTATGGGATGAATTTTGGAGATGTCCTGTACTGTGCAGAAAATACCCCTATTGGAAGCCAAAAAATGTTGCCCGAATCCCACTCATAGCGTCTGACTGGTTGGAGGAATGAGATTAGAAAGCCTAAAATACTACTATTTTTATTAAATAACATTATCATGCACAGTGAAAAACAGTCATATAGATATTCCATAACTCTCCAGTCCCAGAAAACAATTCGTAAATAAAGAATTCAATGAAAATTTCATCAAGATACAGCCATTCTCCTTAAAATATCACTACATTTTGCATTAATCTTCAAATCTAGTTTATCATCTGCACGGGTTGGTCCAATGTTCACACAGGCGGTTGGGATTCCAAGTTCTAGAGCTCGTACAATAAATCGATAACCAGACCAGACAAACAGGGACGATCCAAGAACCAACATGGAGTCACATGATGAAAGAATGCTGAATGACCTTTCCACCTAAACAAAGAAACCAGTTATTTATCACAATCAAATGGAACCTTGTTATTGCAGAACTATCAGTGAAATATCAGTCACTGTAAGAATGCTTCGGCTTGCAAGCTTTCACTACTATATTAACATGAATATTTTCGGATTGCGAGTACACTGAATTCAGTACACCCTGGGTGAGATACTAACGGTTTCCAAGCTACAACATTATACCACAAGAACTATAGTATTGTCTATAATACAGTGGAGTCAACATCCAGTAAAGGCTCCAAACAAATATCTTGAACTCACTTTGATCCTTCCGACTGAATCACCAAAGAAGACAACGTCAGGCTTCAATCTCCCCCCACATGAACGGCAGTCCGCAATGTTGAATGTTCGTACATCCTCATCTTGTAGGAACATATCCGCATCAGGACCCATACCGAATGATTTTACGCTCCAGTGCTTGTTAAGTTCATCCAGCTGTGTCTGCAGTTCGTATCGGGATGAAACCTCTCCGCAGTCCAAACATAGGACTCTGATTAACAATAATAACAAAATTGCTCGATAAAAATTTGATAGTTAAAAGTTGTAAAGAAGCATTCATTGCAAAAAGGTCTGTGAAATGGATTGGATTATTAGACAGGTGGCTCAGGCCTTCTAAAGTAGGCTGTCGCCACCAATGCTATTCATACTAACCTATTTAAACATCCATGCAACTCAGTCAGGTTCTGCGACCCAGCTGCGGTGTGAAGTGCATCAACATTTTGTGTCACGGTCCAATATACTTTCTCCTGCTTCTCCCAGTCAGCCAATAAAAAGTGGTTTACATTTGGGCGATGTTCTCGAAATTTCTGCCACCCCATATAATTTCGGGCCCAGTATTTCTGACGTCCCGATTTATTGGAAATAAATTCTGCATGTTGCATAGGTCGGTGGTTCACCCTAAAATCAGATAAGTGATATATTATAACGAATAAAAGAATGAACAAATTAATATACAGATATTCAGTCTATATATTCTGCGGTAGATAAACCATTTATGATACATTCTGACAATAGTATGGAAACTTCAAACCTGTCATAAAGTCCAACTCCCTTCGATCTATAGTCAGGGATGCCAGATTCAGTTGATATACCAGCACCAGTGAGGACAAATATTCTTGAACTTTTATTGATGAATTGTTGAAGTTTGTCTGCACATTCTTCTGATAATGGTTCTGATTCGGGTATAAATGTTGACAATCTAAAATCAGAAGAAGACAAAATCCTGAACAAATATTTCTGGCGACGTGGTGTGCTAAGCGTTGATTACCCTTCTTTTAGTCTTTGGTTCGCAGAATCTTGTGTGGGATAATAATGTGCGAGAGAATTGCTGAATTCCATGCAACTGTAAGCCAGTCTGGATTTCATGGCCTATCTGAACAAGTGCAGTTTTAAGTATTCTGTGGCGTCTGCAGCTGCCGCAAAACCATGGCGGTATTTCTATACTATGGCCGCTACGATCAAACCGACATTTTAGCTGCCACAAACCAATGACGAGCTGCCGTTAACGCGGCAGCAAATTGAAAACCAATGATAGGTAAAATTTTGCTGCCGTAACCACGGCAGGTGAGCCGTAAAGACAGGGCTGTCCCTTATGGTGACAAATATTGAATGAGTTGGAACGTTTTTTTTCATGGATACAGTTTTGATGAATTTGGGGTTAGGGCCGCATGATCAATTTAAATAGGGTCTTACTACTTACTGAAAGAGCGCAAAACCGCGCGAAACAAAATGAAACCAGCACAAAACAGAGGTAAACAGCGCAAAACAGAAGACGCAGTCATTACCACCTTACGCCCCTCTCGCCATGGTTTTATGGCGCTATTTCCGGTATATTTACAAGGTTATGTACCGGATTATAGGTCATCATGCGAAATTTTATCTACCTTTTTGGTGCTCCAGAAGTATGTGCAGCAATATGTCGCACAACCTGAATCCGTTACACACACACATACTATTTTCAGGTTGTGGGCCATCTTGGTGCACATACTTCTGGAGGTCCCATTTGGGTCTCATGTAGTTTCTTACCTAACATACTTCTAGTGGGCGTAACATGACAATATTTCTACATATCAATCCTAACCCCCACCTGACCACACCATCCAAAAATTACGTCACTTCGACGTCACAGTGACGTAATAGAGCCCTTCAAACTATGCGAACTGTCATCCAAGACGCGCAGACGAGAACCCGAAATCGAACAGCCATTTCTCTTGTTTCCTCGTCGCAACGATCCCGATAGGAGAGAGGTCGCTGATGTCAGTCAGTTCTTTATCGTCGGCGCCGATGCTATTTCGGGCGATCGTACGAGTATTTGGCAAGCTCTATGACGTGATTGTGACGTCGTAGTGACATAATTTTTGGATGGCGTAGTCAGGTGAGGGTTAGGATTGGCATGTCAAAAAATTGTTATGCTACGCCTACTAGAAGTACGTTAGGTACGAAACTACACGAGACCCGATTTAAATCTAGTAAATTAATTTGTGAATATACCGTTAATACTGAATAGCGCTATAAAACTATGCCGAGAGCTGCCGCGGTTCGTTCGTGGCAGGAGCTGCCATGAAGTGGTAAGAACTGCGCCTCTTTCTGAACGAGGTACTGGTTCAGTACATCCACGTAAAATTATTGGATTTTGTACAAACCAAGCTTCGTTGGACTCCATGCGGTACATTGTTAAATTTGTATTGTAGTATGTTACCGACCTTTCATCCTCTTCTTCTAACAAATTCGAAAGAGTTCGAATTGAATAGGAACTTCTCAAACCTCCTCCCAGCACAATTTGACCCCACTTCCGCCACAATGTAATCATTATCAATATCTACCAGTCACACAGATATTTCGAGCAACATTGAATGTGGTGATTGGAGTCCATAAAACTTTTAATTCACAAGTGAGAAATTTGATGCGGTGGAATTATTTAACATATTCTAACAAAAAAGTGTTTAACTCAAATATATTAAATATTGAAGTAAAAATTCGGGTATACTAACTGCATATTTTCATTTGGCGCGTCGGTGTGGCTCATCGTGCTGAGCGTTAGGAATACGCTCGCCACTGCACCTCACCTCTACTCTGCGTGGGTTCGTATCCCATGCGGGATGGTTATGTGCGAAAGGATTGCTGGACTCCTCGCCGCCGTAGGGTGGTTCACGTAACCGCTGGTCGGTTACGGCTTCCTTCACCATCAAGTCCATGCTTCCGGAAACAAATAACTAACTAATCCCATACCCGACATGGAATGGTAACCGGACGAGAGGCCGTGGTTCGCCCTATGGTTAAACCGTCTCATCGGCTTTCCATTCCCCCGAGATAAATATGTAAATCCTTATCCCTAATGAAATCAAGAAAATGGCATAGCATACTGATATTAAAACTGCGAATACCACGACTCGCTCATTACTCGGCAACACACATAAATTGCGACAACATGCAAAGAACCCTATACCACGGATGTCGTAAAAGCTACACATCATAACATAATGCGCGGTATTAGGTGAGAACAAATGTGACTTCATAGCACAGTTTTTCACACTTCACACCTAATCTCTCAATGGCGCCACAATAGTTTGCAATGTGACGCAATAGCGTTGTTATTGTTGTATAGAATAAACTGATCATGTGGTGTCGTCATTGCTGTTTAAAATTATGTTTCAGTTATCTCAGGAAGGGTAAATTTTTCATATTTAGCTTAAATCTGTTTTACTGAATTAGATTTCGAGATTTAGCTGTTCATTTTATATAATATTCTCATGTGTTTATTTCTGACATTAAAAGTTCCTCATTCGCATATTTGCACCTAAAATAGAAGTATGGAAATAACTTAATTAACACTAAAATATTTTTGATTTTATATCTATAGATGAATATAGTATTGAACTGGTTTGTGCAGTTATTGTCATGGAATTAATTGTAACTTCTTTTTATATGATTCACGCCTTTGACCCGAACAAGGCTCTGAAACCTATTTCTTAATAATCCTATTAATTCAAGTTTGATTGAGAGGTTGGATAAAATGAGTGAATTTTCATTGTAAATATTTTTTAGATTCGTCTATTTTTCTGATGATATTATCTTTGACTAGAAATCGTCAGACAATTGTTAGTTACAATTAACAAATTCCTGACATAATTACATTTGTCATGTTAAGATATCACGAATAAATGATTTTGTTCGATATATGTTTGATTGAATTGAAATAACCATGAGTAAATAATATACGAAGGAAAATTCACGAATACTTCCATAGTAGATCACGAAATTCGGAAATAAATCTTATAATTGTTGGTAATTTTATCTAATCTAATACTAGGCGGCATTTTTGAGATCTTTTGTCTAATTTCCTGCTAAAAATACGCCAATTACGCCACAATAGGAAGTTGAAGTAGTAATTATTACTTAGCAGTATGATTAGGCGTTGCGTTGCCACGCTGATTTTAATTTCTGCTTTCATGTCGATGTAAGATTATCTATTTATCACCGAAGTAGCACTTAGCACTTGTAACTGTTGTTAACATTATTCGTTTCATAAAATCTTGTTAAAACGGTTTCCAGAGAATATTTATATGTTGCGACCGCTCCATAACATGTCACCCGCTGCATCTATATTTTTTCAAAGTTGCGACAGCAAACTTTGATCTTCATTTCACAGTAAATGGGATTCAACCTAAACATTCCGACACTAAATCGTAGTTCATGGACCGAATTATCCAATAATTCACAACAGGTTTACTTGCTCCAGATATGCTCTACAATGATTAATTTTACAACGTTTTTTTCATATTGACGTAACGGAAAAAACAAAATATTTGAATAAAATAGGGTGTATGCTTTACGTCAGAGCAATAATTCTCTTACCAATTATTTCTAATTTTATCTCGTTATTAAACAAAACAAAGTGATTTTATGAAAAAAAATAAACTACAACATCGCATGACTATGTGTCCAAATATAGCAACTAAATTTTAATTACATTTAATTTACCAAATTTCACGCCAAAATGAAAAGGTATATTTTTGATCGCGATGAAAGCGACAGCCAATACGTAAATTAAACTGAATCGCCAAGTTGCGTTGAAAACGGCTATAACCAGGCTGATAGAAACATTCACAGTTTGTTCATACATCTGTTATATTATTAAAAATAAAATGGTAAACACGTCCATATTGAGACGTTAGAGCAATCTGAAATGATTGGTTGGTCCACATACTTTCTGCGAAAATAATTTTGATTTACTTTTTTTTTCAAATTTTCATACGTTCTACGGCTCGACATCGCGCATATCCAAAATATCAAACTATTCGGATATGAAAATAAATTGAAAGAAATAAAGTTTAACATTTTCAAAACTAAATAAAAAATCGGAATAATATTTTGAATGAATCATTTTAATTTAAATAATTACATGGTTTGTACTCCAAACAATTTCATTAACTTGGTTGCGTGGGAAACCTCTCTGTGAGAAAGGGTTTTAATTTTGAGAAGAAATTTTCCCAGAAGTTCATACTGTAGTCGAGCATGGGACAATAATGAATCTCGCTAACGAAGTGTTATGACTGGCCCATGCTATGTCCTGATAAGAGCATCATGCGCACTGCAGGCTCTTCATGGCCATATTCGTCTGAAAATATTTTCATTTTTTGATAATTTATTCGTCACAAACAACACCATGCTTGATAAAAAATGTCGGGGTCGGGAGTCTAAATATAAAGAATTCGTTGACTTTTTTCACCAATATTTGATCAGAGAACCCTTAACAGCCACATCCTGTTGTTTATTTAAATAAACTTAATCTGACGAGGAATCGCTGCCCTTAGGCCAATTAGTATCGTGACGTCAAACATACGATTGTGTCGTGTGCAAGCACGCAGTTTATTCGTTTCTTACGCGTTGAATTACAACCAGTGTGTTACAGCTTGTTGTGATATTGATGTATCAAGTTTTAAACAGAATGCATAAGTAATACATTGATATATGAGCGGAGTCATTCGATAGAATGATGCGGAAATAGTGAAGAACCTACTTAAATTTCACGTCTCGGCTACAAGATGAAGTATATTGGGTTATGTTGACTGTCGGCTCATAAAGGATTTTTGGAATAGTTTGAAAGGCCTTATAACAAATTTGTTTTACTCAATATAGATGAGAAATTTACGTAAAGTAAGATATTGTTGACTTATTTGGTTACATTTTTGTCTAGTTTACACAAACCCTTATATCAAGGTCTCCGGGTCAAATTTTACTAATTTTATGGAATTGCTTAAAATGATGTCTATTGTAAGAATTGCAATGGAGTCTAAGAAAACGGCAGCTCTATGAATAATAATTGGAATTTGAATAAATTAGGAATTGGAGAGTTTCATTCCTCTGTAAACGAATAGCCGAATCTCACTTGAACATCGATTAATCGTAGCAATTCTCGATTTTGCAATTGTAATTTATTGACATATTATTAGAAATTTCATGTGTCTACTTTGAGAAATAATTTTGTAAAAGTTACAAAAGTATGAGCTAATCACGTTATTGAATCAAGGAACGGTCAATTTGGAGTATATATGATGGCCATATGCGGCCATTTATGGGAGAGTGCAAGATGAAAGTGCATTGAGTGCAATGTGGGATGCTGGAATAATATTAATAATAGGTAATGAAAAACATTGCGCGGGAGAAAAATAAATCCTCTACACGGAAATGCACACTCCGCCGTCTAAATTAATTTTTTGAAAAACTAATATAGTTTTGGATATATCTAACTGCACCTACTCTATCATTTTCATCTGAAGGATAACCGATTATGTTAAGTGGCTTCAAAACATTTCTACTTATACTGCATTTAGTCAACCCTCGGGATTCACTCGAAATTAAAGTATCTGTCAAATGAGTGGCACTGAATCTGTTTTCCAAATATTCATTTGCTATTAGTATCAAAATAATTGCATGAAAAGATGTGGGCCTATCCGATTTTTTACGTATAATTGTTACGCCAATGTATTGCTGAAAACATCGATTCAGGAGAGAGATGAGTGGTTGTATTGTTCACTAAACATATTCAGTTATTTTTTCTATCAAGGAATATCGGTATGAATTGTTTCGTTCTTTTTTCGGCTATACAGCAATGTAGTCAACAAGCTTGCGGGTCGCTATAAACGACCCTTATCTTTTTATATCTTCAAAATGATGGAGGCTCCTATGAATCATGGATATTATTTACTACATGATTCGAAAATTTGCAACATCCCCATCTCTTTAAAATTGCTTCAGGCACACGTTGCTATGACTACCGTTGCGTCAATACGCAGCTTACACACGAGAAGACGCACGTATCTCGTGCATCCGACGTCCATCTTTGCATCCGACGTAAATGGTACCAACCACTTTGACGTATTTTGTACGATTTATCAGACAATCATTCGTAAATCGTTGGCATTCAAGCGTGTGTTATGAATTAGTGAACAGCGTTTGACGTTGGTATTTTATAAACGCCAGATACAAATTTGTTATGTAATATTCAGTATAGAGGAATAAGTTTGGTGGTTAGTTAGTATGTCCCTGCGACTTAAATGTGGGAGTACGATGTACCGGAGCGGCCAAGTTTATCCGAGGGCATAGTCCGGATGGTATTCGCGAGACTGTTTTTATTTATAATTTCTCGATGCTAGTGTATGCGGGTTATTCAGTGATAATCTCCGATTTCACCGTTTGCCCTCGAGCTACTTGACAGATATAGATACAAATGGTTTAGCCCAATTACCATCCATTGCTATATTTCTGAATATGAAGCTGCTTGATTTTCTGGTTTCGAAATCTAATCTAAAAGTCCAAGTTGGGAAAGTTTGAGTCTAGGCCAGAGAAATATAATATAAGTTGTAATTGAGATATTAATCGGAAGTTTAGAGCAAAATTATACAACACGAATGCATTGCAACGTTAACGCTGGTGAAATAATAGATTTTATCAAAGTTAGCGAAACTGCAATTTATACTATGAGATTTGTTCACCTACATTTTCAATATGTAAGTGTGATTTATTGTTCGAAATACGAAATCAAAATGATGAATTTTTTATATTTTAACACAGTTACCATTTGTAAATATATAAGTAATAGACACAATGAAGCCGGGAATCTACGCAATATATTTTATGTTTGCCTCTATGTCGGAATTGTCATTCGCTGCTCCTGCTAAACACACAGGCGAGTAAAGTTTTATCTTTTAGTCTATTATGAACAGACTTTCGCTCTAGTCTAGATGTTCAAGTCATGATTTACCCAAATTCCAACTTGATTATTCGCCTCATCAATACAAAGACTTGGGCTGTCATATCATTTTTGTTCCGTTTGGTTTGGTAAATGTAACTTCCTTTCAAAAGTAACCGCTGTCGCAAGACTATATTTCAATTTCTAAGCGACTAAATTTCTCGGAAATATTACAAATGTAAATATTTTCCTAATCTAACAATTGATTCTCTTACAGAGATTTTCACAAAGTGCAAGGCAACGTACAAAACACTGGTTGAGCATATAGTAGGTAAGGGGAAATAAAATACTACTTTGATAAATATTTTATTTTTTGAAATAACGTTTTATTCTGTTCAAATCACCCATTATTGTCATATTGTTTGGTAACAGTTTTACAGTAATACATATGTTTGATAGATATAAGTGCTTTAGTTAGAATGCTTTAGTTGGCTGGGTGCACAGTTATAATTTCAGTATACCCTCATCCTCTATATAACGCTGTTTAACTTTTCAGCTTCTGAAGGGGAAGTAGCAAAGTCAACAATTTGGAAATTTCTATTTCACGATATCGACCTCGATGCGAATGGACAAATAGCCGCTTCAGAGATTGCATTGTTTTTGGAGAAAGAGCACTACAGTGAGTAGCATCATTTTACTATACCAATCTCGATGAAATATACGTGAGACTAGGGTACTAAACCATCTGAAATTAATTATAATAATTATGTACGACAATATTTTTTTTAGTTCACGACAGCGATATCATGGAAACAATGATTGAATCGTCCAACTGGATTGAAGTCGCTGATTCGAATCAAGATGAAGAGTTAACGATTGAAGAATTCATGACTGCTGTACAAAAGACCATAGTAGAAAGCAATGGTGAGTGTGTTTACTTGTAAATGATGGAATAAACTATCTTTTTGTATATTGCCTAATAAATTTAATATTCATTCAATATAAAAAAGATCAAACTAAAGACACTGATTTGTGATAATATCCGTGTAATTTTTTATGGTGATTCACATGGATATGTTATGTGGCAGTTCATTTTAACGTCAATTGCCCGAATCATACATTCGTTCTCCATTTATCGAATAACACAGACAAATAGAATTTGAATTGTTTATTCCATTCCATTTGAATGCCTAAAAGGGTTTTGCTTACTTGTGTAGGACTAAGTTGAAAAATTTTGGTTTCTTCATAAGATATTAGCTTTCTTCTCGTTTTTAATCGCGTTAAAGACGTTAAGGTGTAACGGACGGCATACAAATATATGACATGTGTTAGCTTTAGTTAATTTTAAAAAATACATTCAGTGAAATTTTGCTATTTCAGCTATGAACAAATATTACCTTAATTCTTTCATTTTTCTTCTAGATTTGAAGGGGGGGAAATTTTCTGAAGTGCCAAACAACATTTGTCATCTATTCATCAATAAAATCCCTCACCTCGCAGAAGTAATGACAGGTTAGTTACGTGCATAGGCTACATTAATCGAAGAAACTATTGGTTACGACAATAAATATAAGCAAATCAAGTATACAAAATATATTACTACTGTGTGGTATGGTAAATTTTCAAAGACAAACAATTTGGCAGGTTTTCTCAAAAATCTCTTTTTTAAATTTTTTAGAATTGGAATCCTGTACGAAGCATCTTGAAGAATCAATGCTAAGTGAGTATATTTGTTTTTCATAAGCGATACAACGATCGGAAACAACAATAGAGTAGCGTAAATTATTTTCTCGTTTGAATATTCTTGCTTTAAAACTAGTCTGAATGATCAGACTGTAAATTTTTTTCATAGCGGATAACTCTGAAAGAGCAGAATTCAATTCTTGGGCAGCAATATTTAAAACAATGGATGAAAACCAGGATGGGAGAATCGACTTCGGGGAACTGAGAACAACAATTGGCCATTCCTTGGTCAGTGAAAATTTTGAGTCTCAAAACTCCACTATTTATTCCATCTTCAAATTTATTCACTCCATTATTATTCTAGGAAATTATTTCGTTTTCTTAATTGGACACGAAATGGACCTATGGATCGTTTTGTTATTTTGTTGATATTCTTTTTGTTGTTGTTTATTCTCTGTAACTACCAGACAAATTGCTTTGAATTTTTTGTTGTTGAAGTTATCGCTAGAAGTCTATTTCCTATTTCATTTCAAAAATGTTAACAGCTCTATAGGATTCGTGTTTTGGTGTGATGACGTTATCGAAATAAAATGTGCGCACCTCGTGGCGACTCCGCGTTCGCTGCGGCCTGTGAAGGATGAGATAGCCGTACTGCTTCGTTTTGGCTATTGTTTATATATGTTTGAGAATTGTCCTCTTGTTTAATAATAACCAGATTATGAAATAATAGATATGATCTTAGCCACGGTTTAGCTCTAATGTGTTTATATTATATTTTCAAAATATAGTTTATAAGCTTATCGTAAAGTCTAACAATATCTTTATCGCAGACGAACGACGAAGACATTGCTCTTGCTAACGCTCTTGGACATGCAATATATGGTGACATTATGCATGATGTGGAAGATCTCACAGAGAAGCATTTCTACATGTTCGTTCACGAGTTGCTCTACGGAAGTGAGTGATACTACTATGCAAATTCTCATTTAAACTCGTTTAAATTCCCAAAACGTCTATGATAGGTATTGGTTTAAAGAAAAATGAGAATTAGATTTCACACTTATAACAGTGAAGTAGCAGACTATGGGAGTGTCCAAACACTTCGCAAATCAAGGGTACATATACCAGATCTATGCCTCGGGTTCATCAACATCGCCACCTGACGACGATGATTCATGTATTCCGCACCATGCACCGATAGCCTGTGTCTGCTCCATAGATAGCCTTTGCGATATGAAACGCGTTCATATTAATAATATATGTGAGCAAGCATAGTCTGTTCGATTTTAAAAATGAAAATCCATTTACCTATTTTTATACTGACCAATATTTAATTTTCCCAATCCACATTCAGTGACATACTAACGTTTCCATTTACTTTTCAAGTCAAAGAATCGAATAGGAAGAATGTCTGGGAAGATATCGTCTCAGAACATGAGCTAAGAGGAAGATCAATGATGTGCAAGGCCATTCGTGATGTAAGAATGCAACTGTCAAATCAACGTGACGTCATGAATGATTGCATCAAATCCTATGAGGCAACGAGAAACTCGTAAGTTGTTTTCTCTTCTGGAAAGTTATTCTTGTTTACTAGTTTGGCAGTTATGTTTTGTTCCCGTGTTTTTTATACGGCGCTTACTCACCCCTTCTCCCGGAAGAATGCTCCATACATGCAACGACTGAAATCTAACGATATGTAATCTACTATTATTTACAAGGCGGAATATCCAATTTATTACTCCCGAGAAGGGATCTGATTTAACCCTGACATGTGTTACCTGCAACGACAACACAGTTAAGTCTGGCGCTTCAACTGCTAGGCCATCGCGCCGCATGAATTATAATATCATTCGATGACAAAATTGTATACGACACTTAATCAAAAAATATATCACAAAAATATCAATGATTTAAAATTCGCAGTGATCCGATAATAAATCTCAATGCCGTATATTCGTTTTCACAGAATACTGGGAGCTGATGGCGTATTCGCTCCAGAGATCGTTTTCACTATGGCGGACGGAGACAGAGATGGAGAAATATCTCAAGAAGAATTCGACATATTCATCGGGAGTCATTCAACTCTCTACAGCCTGATTGAAAGAAAACACGCATCAAAAGACATGAAAATAGGTCAGTTCAGATCAGTGATGCCAGATGCCATAGTTACGGCTAGAAAAGAGAATGACGCAAGGAGCATGCTTGAGTCGTCGTCGATGACAGCATTAGAATTACATGACGCCGAGAAACTTTGTTCGGCAATCATTTCCTCTGTGGAAAAATACCCTTCACACGAAGATCACACTGTCACAACTGCTGAGAATTATGAATCAAATTATCCCCAAAACTTGAGTTATAAAGGTATGGGGGAATATACCTTTCGTGAACACACATTGCCACATGAAGAAGAAAGCACGACTCCTGCAAATACGGATGTAATGCATCTAGTAGATCACAATGGAAATCCAATGGAAATAGTTATCAAGCATCCTGAGGGATTTCCAGCTGCCAGTAGTTTCAAAGGATCGGGTGAATATATTTGGAAGGAACACACTTTACCTGCTGAAGAAGTGAAAGCAACTCCCGGGCCAGCACCCGGAGAATTAGTAGAAGCCCCTCTTGGCAGCGAGTCTATTCATCCTATAGGTGAAAAGGTGCATCCTAATGGCGAAGTGGTGTATCACATGGTGGATGCTGAAGGAAATCAAATAGAGTTGACGTTCACCAGAAAAGAGATAGATGATATCGAACATCGAATGGCAGAGGCCAAAGGTGCGCCTGTTGAACCTCACCATACTGAATCACCGAGCAAACAGCCTCCCAGCGATTCTGAAGAAAGTGAACTCATGAAGGAGATTGAAAAAATATTAGCAGAAAAAGATAGTGCTGCCGAAGAAAAATTGCCCGAGTCAAATGGCGAAACAGAAGAAGAAAAAGAATTACAGGAATTACTGAAAGAAATGGAGTCATCGCGCGAATCAAGTTAATGAATGGCACGAACAATAGTATTTCTCAAAACGCCAAATATGTTATTCTCATGTCCGTTCTTAAAAATATCTTTTACAAGTAAAACTTGCCTTGTCTGACGTGCAGAGGGCACCATTGTTATTTTTGTTGTTATATTTTAAATAAAATGTAAGACATTGTAAATGTGCTATTCTAAATTTTAGTTCATTGACGCAACAAGCTCCACTGGGTTATTCAATCGTTTAGATCGTGAGCTTTGTCTAGCGTTAGTCTTGCCAATGAGGGTATGTATAATGGTTAGGCTATAAGGGATGTATAAAGGTTTAGATATATTACTTTCAATTCAATATTAACTGACTAGTGGTTTGACATGTTTAGCTGGGGCAGTGTTTGGGCGGGCTCAATCGAATTCCTGGGGCCCGGTGGAGCTGTTCAAAGAGTTTGACGAAGATCCTCTGAAACCTTCGTACATAATGAAGTATTTGCATTACCGCGAATTCATGCAGTCATCCACACTTTGGCGATCGAACAACTCATAAAACAGATACATACCTATATGTTGTTTTAGATCAGGGGCGTGAAACTGTTAATCGCAACGGCCTAATTGTAAAATTTTGATGACGCTTTAGCCATCGAAAAAACATCGGACTGTACAATATTACGGAAGTAAAAAAGGTAATCGATGCCCAGAGGAACATTTATTTCTATCTGTTTTTGTATAAATATGTTCCACGTGAAAATGACTTTATTGGAGTACAATATAGATTTGTTTTCTTAAAGCAATTTATGTTAATATACGTAATCACAGCCAAACGGGGTAATTATCGCTACTTTGTTTGTAAGGTGGCTTCGATCAACCCTTTCTTACATCATAAGGTAAAAACCCTATTTAGGGGGTTCTTCACATTCATGATAATACTTGTATCGGATGTGAAGAGTCATTATGTCTATTACAAATAAACATACTGCAATACTTTTATTACTTTCGATTCGAAACCTGCCTCTAGATAAGGTTTAATGTAGGACATTTCCATACACATCACGGACGGCAATTTACAAATCGATCGCAATATCATTGGGTACATTTTGTTATTATTATGTTGTTGTTCTTCTTTATTTTCTTCATGTTGTTGCTGTTGCTGCAAAAATATCATTTTTCTCATTAACTACTCGACCAATTGCTTTCAAATTTTCGGTATTTGAAAAGTGTTGTTGTTGCTAGAAAGCTATTAGTTCCATTTGTTTCAAAATATTAACTGACCTTTTGGGGATTCGTTCTTGACTTTGATGAAGATTTATGTGATGATGCACCGTTCTGTTCCACAATTGCACTCAGCAATCTGGTGCTTTGCGGATTCCGTAATTTTTACCGATACTATAGGTAGAAGTTTGGTGACAGCACATTTTACCCGTAAACAGCACCCAGGACATTTGCACCTACATACTTTTGCATCCATTGATATTTGCAAACATATATTTCCATCATGAGATTTTGGCACCCGCATATAGATTACACCCGAGAACATTTGCACACATGGATATTTGCACCCGCGTACATTCCCACCCACGGGCATTTGTACCTCCGAACATTTGCACCCACCGACATTTGCACCAGCGTACATTCGCAAACGCAGTTGCGGGTTTGCTGTGAGTTCATCTTCACTGCCTTCACCACATAATGATGTCCGTGTTTAAGGGAAAATGGTAATGAATCCCTTTTAATTCAAAAACTAGCGTCCGTGGGCGTAAATGTTCACGGGTGCAAATATCCGTGGGTGCAATTGTCCATGTCCGTGGGTGCAAAAGTATACAGGTGCAAATATCTTAGATGCAAAACTTACGTGGGTGCAAAAATATCAAAACATAAAAGATAAGATGCTACAGTTGTGACTCAAATCGTTTGGCTTTTCGGTTTACATTCAGACTCGATGTCTGATACAACATCGCAACAGCACCCGTGAAAGCTAGGACAATTCGGGTACCGGAATCTTGGGTCGGGTACGGCGAGTTACGGCAGCTCTTCCACAATTCAATATCGTTTAGAAAATAGCTTTTTGTGGGAATTGTTGGTAACATATTGTGCTTTGGTCTTCCTGTCGATGTATGTGATCATTGCTTTCTTTTATTATATGTACTATAGATTTTCACAGATGATCAAAATAAAAAGACCAAGATATATCAATCTGAGTCTAAGCAGTCAGTTGCCATTCAACAAAAAAAATTCAACTCCAATGAGCAAACATGAACATTACTAAAGTTACTTTCCATCCAGTTAAACGATGCACAACCATCGTTGTAGCACAAATCAAATTGACTTTGGTTCTAGGCAACAGTGACGAATCAACCCTCAGAACATGCTTTCTTAGTGAATCATTGTTGGATGAAAGAGTATAATCCGTGTGCTTGCCTGTTTCAAAAAGACGTGCCCTGGTATTATTTACATTCTTCATATCCTCTCCATAGAGTGAACAAACAAATTCCTCAGCTTTGTTTATTTATGCGTTGTTAACCTCAGAAGATCTCCATAGTTGAGAAAAAATTCAATGAATTTCGAGTCCTCAAATATCAGTGTCCTCTCCATACAGTGAACAAACAAATTCCTCAGCTTTGTTTATTTATGCCTTGTTAACCTCAGAAGATCTCCATAGTTGAGAAAAAATTCAGTGAATTTTGAGTCCTCCAACATCAGTGTCCTCTCCATACAGTGAACAAACAAATTTCTTATCTTAGTTTAATAATGCCTCGTAAACCTCAGAAGATCTCCATAGTTGAGAAAAAATTCAATGAATTTCGAGTCCTCCAACATCAGTTTGATGGGCAGTTTCCATAGCAGAAGTATGCCAAAGTAGGCTATTTCAATATTAGCCCATCTAAGCTGTTTGTAACTTTTATGATACTCATATACCTTTACGCTTTTCTTCAAGACTTCTTCTCTGAACCATTCTATTCTTACAGGTGTAGTCAGGGTTGCCATCAATATGAACCCAAAAATAAGGACGCCGGGGAAACATGATAATAAGATAACAAAAAGCGAAACGTAATAAACAAAATGCATTCAAGCCTCTGCGACGCGTGTATATTCATTAACTCTTGGAAAAGATATTTATAGATTGGTTTGAATTAATTTTTTGAGCAGAGTCCCTATGCTTCTGAGTTGCATTGTGAGCAGAAATTGTTGCTTTACCTATGAATTCCAGATTATTGTCACATTCTCTAAAGCTGCAGTGCGCGAAACACTGACCCTTCGTTTTGTTTGACGACGTTGAATTTTTTCCCATAGTCATCACGGCAAATGTTTTTACGTTTACTCATTTCATCTCTTATGAAATTTCAGATCTAGACTAAATTTAAAGTTTAATTTACAGGTATATTCCTGTTTTTGTCTAAAGCACTGATTCTTGACTAACTTCAAAGTCGAAATTAACACGTGCTGAAATGCTTGGGAAGAAAACAGTCGCTTAGAATGCCAGAAAACTAAATCAGTAGGCTACTGCTACACTTATCAAATCTATCAGATCTTGAATGGTTCTCGCTCCCATTTACTAGTATATTTTGATTCATGTTACACAAAAAGATCTTTGCCAGTAGGCTATTGTTTTGTCGCTGTGATAATTAGTTTGATGTTATTACGTCACGAATGTAGCGATAGCAATCAATGAGGTTCCAATCATTTCTAGCATTTAATCATTTCTAGCAAACTCATTATCCGAATTGACCAAACTAAGTGATCGGTATAAAAATCTCTACCTCTAAAATAAGGAAAAAAAATAAGGACACATGTCAAAATAAGGACGTTTCTAAGACAATGTAAGGACGTATAAGGACGTTTCTAAGACAAAGTAAGGACATAATATAAGGACAAATCTTGGAGATAAGGACGTTATGGAACCCTGGGTGTAGCGCTGATAGCATGCGTTAGGTTGAATTGGTGGAACATTGCCGTTTATTTTGTAGTACAGTATCTAAAATAAGGAAGAAAATCATATTTGGAACAACTTGAGTGTTTTTCGACAAATAAAAATACCACTAAATACTGACTAATACATAATGCATTTTTTATCTGATGTACCACAGTCCCGCAGCGTTTGCATACTAGACTAAACTATATATATACTGAATCTCGATGAATCACACACTCTGAAATGCCCTGTATATTTCAAAACATCAGCTGCCAGCCTACAACTTGATACATGATTTCTCACCTCTCAATCGCTTCATTTCTTTCAACTCCTGCATAACTTATTATTGCTGCATTGCTGCCCAGATTCTTGTTGACTTTATGAATTTAGACAAATCAGTAAAATTGGTTATTTTCCCCTCTTTCTCACAAACCTGCAATACACAAAGGGTCATTATTTTCTGAATCAAATATGCTGTAGCCCAGAGATGTCAAACTCGTGCGTTTTCGAGGGCCACATTGCATTTTGGGAATTGTGCAAAGGGCCGCAAAAAGTTTTTGATATATTTTGATAATGTATACCTAAAGCATATTTTTAGATAGGTGTAGTTTGTGACATATATTGTGACGTAATTAAACAGCCGAATAAAGTTTTGTTATTTTCATAAATTTCAAATGCCATTTAAATATTAATTTCTTGCATTTCACTATTATTGCAATTTATTGTACTTATTATAAAAAATCATAAATTTTTACATACAACTATCTAAAACATTTTTGAATAAACTTATGATAAGAAAAGAATAATACATACACTAAAAATGACTTAATCTTAATATATAGACCTCAAATTTACAAAAATACAGAATAAATTTAATGTTTTTTGTTACATTTGTCCTGACGTTTGACATCTCCTTTGGGTTACCAGCTCACTAATATCAGACTGATATGATTTTACAGTACCAACTCTAATTAACGAGGTCACATGATCATCGGTTAATGCGGATGTTTGATTATTTCAGAAATAAAAACAGCTGTTCACATCTATATCTGTTTCAAACTTTGCTAAGATGTAGCATGCTGTATTACTCTCAGTAGAATTCAAAAACTCTAACGGCATCATAATGTGCCTTTACAATAGGGTCGGATTGCATTTTTAGTTCCATTTGGAGATTTCCTCCTGCTAAGCTAGCATCAAGTGTAAATGGCGCTGGGAATAATGCAAATTTGCATTCAAACGAAGAAACATTGGAGAATCTACGCCTGAACTCATTTAAAAGCAAAT